GATGCAAAAGTATGTGATTGAATCTTAATATATGAAATATTCCCACATAAATACGTATTTATTAGTACCTCACTGGTTGTAGATTTCTAAAGGAATACCATATAACTTTTTGTTGTATAACTAATAGATACAATTAATAAAATTTTCTATTACTCTATTGCAGAGTAATAGAAAAAAATCTACACAGAGGCTTATGCTTGTGTAGCAGTGTGGTTGTAAAATAAAAGTTCCTAATTTTCTAACTGTTCTGCATTAAAAAAACAAAAACAAAAACAACATAATACTGATAAGATTCCACACAACAATAAGATAGTTTTAATCTACAATAGTGTCAGGCCTTATAATAAATATTAAGTAGCTTTACAAAGCTAAAACTTCACCACATTTAATAATATACAAATTCATAATTGTATGACACTTATGGATTGGATTTAAAAAATGATCATAAACACATTAAAGACAATAGGAAAACGATTTTGTCTAGCAAGCACCTCAGTATTTTCTTTCATATTAAGGATGAAATAAGACTTCTGCAGAAAAGGAAGCAAATCTATGAGTAAAACTTTGAAGATTGCAAAGTAATCACACTATTACAAAATTACACAAAGAACAAAAGCATATTCTTATTTTTACGGATTAAAGATCCACAGTGAAAGATCAGACCTAACAACTTTAATGTAAAATCCTTGCAACCCTGTATTTTCCTTACAAAAGACAAATGCGAAGGAGTTACTGATTTATTTCACTAATAAAAGAACTTATTTGCCTTAAAATGAATGCCATTCTTCAAGATATTCTGCAGATGGCCTCCTGCATGAACACAAATAAAAACCAGTAGTTTTGAATAAAAAAGTCTGTGTATATAGCAAAGCTTCCCTAGCATCATAAAAGCGGTAAGCAACAGGGCAAATCCAGGTCCTACCTATGCCCGCTTGGCCTGTCAGAACCCAGGTGAAAAATCTGATATGAAGATAAGAAAGATGAGTTGTGGCATTCCCAGGCATAATACAAGTGAAAAAAAAATCAGTTCTGGTAACACTGGCAATTGCTTATCTGTATATTTCCCTGAAGCCCACTTAGCAAATAGAAGACACTTCTCTCATAAGGCAGCTGAGTAACCACCTGTCAAACATTCCCACAAATGTCTCTGCCTTCAGCTAATGCTCAGTTCACCTGAGAATCATTGTGAATTTTGTTTCTTACCACAAAACAGAACTTATATAATAAAAACTACAAAATCAGAGACAATTGATAAGCAGATAACATAACCCGAGTTGGATGATAGCTTGCTTTCCCCAGCTGTCTACCCTTTCTGACATTTTTTTGGCCAACAGTGAGCAGAGCTGCTCACAAATCACCTCAAACAACATTATCTGACTTTACATCAGTGACATATCAAGAGCTCAGTTCGACCTCAGCTTGAATTGTTTCTTTTTAGCTCACAAATGAGATTACTACACAGACTCAAATAATCACTACAAATGGCTGTAATGGCCTAAGATGTTTTTGTTCTCTTCTGAAGTTGTTGCACCCACAGCTTTGCTGGCAGATTGAATCATCTGAGATCTCCTAATGCATTTCATGCAAAGATATGCGAGTTAGCTGAAATGACACTCAGAAGCACTTTGGGCTGTTGGTTGGCGTTGCATCAAATGAACAAGGAACATTCTCATTGTCTTTGGGATTGGTAACAAGGGCAAGAACTTTAACTGAAGGCTCGTAAAAACAAGCAGTTCAGAAATTCTCAAACATCAAGCCTACCACAGATATATACTTTTTTTTTTTTTTACAATAATTCTTTCTTATTGCAGCCTGAAATACTGCTTTAGAATCAGTATGACAAGCAAAGTGTTTTTATTACAGTAGAACACATATATATCACTCAATAAGTTATCTTCCATAAAAGGCTGGAGTTTTTTTGTTTGTTTGTTTTTTTTAATGGACAAGGCTCACCTTCCCTCCAGATACCTTCAGCAAATTTTCATCAATGTTTCTGAAAAAAACATTTGAAAACATTTCTCTAACTTTCTCTACTCTTGGAAAAATGCTTCCACATAGCAGATGACATTTTCACATTGTGTAAGAAACTCATTAAAGTGAAAAAATAAATATTTAAATTTTGTCAGATTTGAATGAAAATTCAATCAATTGCTCTTAATCACAAAATCCATCAAAGAGATGTTCCTTGTTCAGCCCTTGCTCTCTCTTTTGTCTTCCCAGGCCTGTTTACCTGCTAGATGTTCTAGCAAGAATACGTGTCCATGTGCTCTGGAGAGTCTACTCTGGTGATGCAACTCCTATTCACCATCACATCACAGTCTTGACTCACCATCTGCACCACTGTGTCGGTACTGCTGTAATACTCTTCTTTTTGGGCAGAAATGTTACAATTTAATCATTAACGGTTATTAAAACAAACAAAACCAATTCCAACAGCTAAGGAGCCGCCCTCTAAAAAAGTCAGGAAATGGAATGCTGTAGCAACATGGTATCAAAGATGGTAAGAAGAAATCAAGGACTTCATGGACACCTTTGCTGCCTGCACATACAGGCTGAGGAGTCTGGCATTACTCAGAGCTTGCACATATCCCAGGGGATTTTGATGGCCAAAACTTCAATTACATAAGCAACAGCTGTATTATTCATCTACTACCTAGTTTAGTGACACTAATTAACAGGAACATTATAAATTACCTGTGAACAATGAAATGTGTAAAAGCAAATTATTTTTACATACTCTTACCAGTATGATCCAAGAGCCCAGCAAATCTTGGGAAATTAACAGGATTACCTGGTGCTTAAAAAGCAATTAAGTTCACAGTTTGGGTGGAATATATAAGGTTTTTTTTTTTTTTTTTTTTTTTTTTTCCTCCATGCTAAGGGCAGATTAAACAGACAAAAAGAGGATTCACAGCCAGATTGTTTTGAAGAAAAAAAAACTCTATAGTTTGATTTTTGAATTCTACTTGATACTGTTGATACTGACCTCACTAAAACTGTTAGGAATATTATCTTAACCACTCTGAAACAGGTAAGAGCTGGGATTTTGGGAGCTAATTAGTCTTCTTTCCCTTTTTTCCAGAGAAAGCCTGGAATCTGAGAGAACATCTGTGTGATGAAACAAGGGCCAAACTCAGATGAATGACATTCCTGATCTGGGTGCTCAGCAATAGCTTGTCAGCAAGGACCACAGCCATCTTCCAGCATAACCACATCCCCAGTTTCACCTCTGCCCCATCTCTGATTAAATTTAAAACAATGACACCTAGGTTGACTTAGCCTTGTTTGTATGTGGTAACACTCCCTAATATGTGTTATGTAATAGCTATTCCACAATGGCCTGCCATCACTGACAGTTTTATTTGACACTAAAGGTGACTTTCTGAGGTTTAGCTTAGTCTGAGGTAGGTGAAGCCAAACCACAAAAAGGCATTCCTAGCATAGAACATGTATCCACAAGGCAAGTCAGTGCAGAATGGCTACTGCGTTTTAAATTCACACCTAAGATTATTTCACAACAGCTTCCCTTCCAAGTAAGCAGTAGTCAACGAGAGACAGACAGTAGTGGGAGAAAAGGGAGTAAAAGGGTTCAGTTGAAATTGCAGGTGACTGCTGTAACACCTTTCACAATAACTTTGTTTTATAAAGCCACCACAGGCTAGGCAAGACAAAGTGGGCTCATCCAGAGATTCTCATTGCTCTCTTAAATACTTCATATAAATACAAAACTCATTAAAGTAGTATTGCCTCTGTATAGTATCTAGAAACAAAATTATGCACATATGACCATATGCAGCAAAGTTTTCATCAGTATTCTTCCAACTATCAATAGTCATCAAGATATACTACATTAACACATAACATGTAATCTTCTCTTCCTGTTTGTTCCTTTAATGACACACAACATTACAGAAGTAATTATTTCAGAAGCTAATGTTATTTTCTTGCATGTATGAGGCAAGTGAGCATTCATCATTAGAGAAGGCCATCTCTGTACAGGATACATCCACTCAAAACTACAGAAGCAACTTCAGACTTAAAATCTTACTTTGAGAGTTAGTCCTGGTGAAGGTGTTCTCTCTCATTAGTCCAGCTGATGTAGTTGAGAAAAGAATATGGAGGTGTAAGTCTTCTTGTTACTCCTCTTTTCTAGACCAGTACCAAATATGTTACTTCAAATCCCGTGGAACATGATGTCATGTTGGCACAGATGCAGATGATTCTTGGATATACTAAAATGCCATGGCTAAAGCTATAGCAGAAAGATCTTGCTTTTATGCAAGAGGCAGGGCAGAGTCACTGGGACAATTAACCTAGAAGAGTTTTGCAGTCCTTGAAGTGGTCGGTTTGCACAGCACAGCAGTTTCCAGGGACACAGTGCCCACTTCACAGACCGGTTTGCCTTTCCCAGTCAGCCCCACAGCTGGTGGGTGTGTGGGGCAGCCTGGGGACTCGTGCAGGGAGAGCCTAGCTTTTTCATGGCTCATCCTCTTACTACCACTTCTTCAAATGAAGATGCCTCTTCATCCCTCCACACTCATACTGCAAGTGCATGTATAGCCTGTGCAAGTATTCTTGTAATTCTATATATATATAGAATTACATTGTATACAAGAGCAACTTTGCTGGAAATTTAGGAGCGGCCACAAAGCTATACATAATACAGCCTTGTATTACATCAGCGAACAGAAATCTCATCCACTGACACAGAAGAAGCACGTATCGCTCAGTGTTACCCTTAAAAGTGAAAAACAAACCCCCTTCACAAGCAGCAAGTGTCCGCACAGCTCAGTCTCCCTGGGATGAAGGAACGTAAGACACAGCGCCCGGCCGCCAACAAGAGACGACCCTCCCACCTCAGCCCTTCCCGCCTCTCTCACAGCGCTCGCGCCCGGGACTCGGCCACTTTAAGCGGAGGCACGCGGCGCGCAGGCTTTGTGCGCATGCGCAGGGGGCGGGGCGCCGGGTCGCCCGTTCGCGCCGTGGGGGCCTTGCTGGGGCGCCGCAGGAGGGGTTTGAGGTGAGCGGGGTTGCGTGGCTGCCGGTGCGAGTTGTCACCAACCGTCGCTCCCGCGCGCCGGGCTCTGAGTGAGTAGGCGGCGCGGCTCTGAGGCACCGTCTGGGTCCCTCTCCGTCAGCTGGGGCAGTGCCCGGCCCGCCCTCGGGGCCGCTGTTGCTTCTGAGCTCTCTTCGTTTCTCTCTCCTATGCTGTTCTGCCCGCAGCTTTGGAAACTGTGGTGTTGAACTATCCACAGACGGTCTCCAGTGTCCCTCCCGCCTTGGGCAGCGGTGATTCCTCGCAGTCTTTGTTCACACCCTGGCAGGTGTTCAGTCAGTGCGCTCTGGGGCTGCCCCGTGTGTGGGGGTCCCCGTGCTGCGTCAGAGCATTCACAGCAGCATCAGGTGTTTCTCAGGTGTTTCTCCCAGAATGATGCTCCGGCCTTTCTGGGAGCCATCTGCACCCGTGACTTCATCTGTGACTTGAAATTCTAAGGGAAAATAAGCCTGAGGAGTTGGTAATTCTAAACAATTTTCATCAACTCTAACACAAGGCAGCTATTAAAAAAAAAAAAAAAACAACAAAAACAACACACCCAAACCTGCCCAAGAGGTGGTACTTGGGAGTTTCCATTCTTTATGACACCTAAATCTGAGAAAAATTGAAGTTTATACAGTCCAACTGTATGTAGATATGAGTCTGTGTACCTACTGGAATTTTGATTTGTATGTCAGTCCAGTTTGACTGTAGGACAAACTGTGGGAATTCACCTTGAGAATTAAATGAAGCATGAGACATTGGGAAAGCTGAAATTATTAGTTCAGCTCAGAAAAGTACTTTTTTTTTTTTTTAATGGTATGCACTTTCTTTTCATCATAGTCTGTACCAATTGTGGCTTCTACTTTTTGAAAACTTGACTTTGCAATGTAATTAATGTTGTGTTCTAATGTACTGCATCTTAGGGGAGTGGTGAACTTTGATGCCTAATACATTACATTCACTTTTTTGTTCTTTTCAGTTACTTACATTTTCTCTCCCTTCCCTCCCCCATAGTCCTAAACTCCTTGCCCATCTTTCCTCATCTCTGTTTTCTTGGTCTCACCTCTTCATTTGTTGTTCCCAGTTCTTCCATTTCTTCCATTATATTTCTGAGTTTTGCTGTCCTTTATGTTGCTATTCCTTGCACATTTATTTGCTCTCACTGATTCATAATACCAGTCCTTCCTGCATGTTCCTCATTCAAAATCATTCTTCCTTGAGAGCTCTTTCTTAGGAAACACGGATCCTAAGACATTTTGATACAGTTTTAGAAGACTTCAAGTCTTGTCTTCTGCTTATATTGGCTGCCTGGGCCTGATACAGGAGGAATAAACTACCCACTCTTCCTTTTTTTTTTTTTTAAACCAGACCACACCTGATGTGGGCTTTGACAACTTGGAAGCAGATGAATTATTTTGTCAGAAGTACATGCAACTGAAAACTGTCTTATAAACAGTGTCAGAAACAAGTAGATCTCTGCACCAAGCCCAAGACAAACAAACTGGAGTTTTAGTGCTGATGAATGTACACTTTGTAAAAGGAATAGTCATGTGTCAGTTTGCAAAAATGTGAGAAGAAAGACAAGAGAAGGAAATAAGAGCAAAAATGGGCTAGAATGTATTTGAGAGTGCCCTGGAGATGCTGCTGTTGTGCATCCTAATGCTGCTTACTCAAAATGTGGGTCAGACGATCTTGGCCTAGAAAGATGTCAAAACTCACAATTTTTACTCCATTTGTTTTAAAGAACAAAAAACTCAGACTATTTTTTTTTTGAAAAGCCAGAATGGCAGAACATGCTACTTCCTTTTGGTCTTTTCAAAATTTAAACAAAACAAAACAAACAAACAAAAAAATCCAAGTATCCTTAATACTTGCATGAAATGTATGTTGAAAAGCCTTATGTATATGGGACAAAACCACTTTATTTCACTTAAAAAAATCTGTTCTCTTCCTCCCAAAGCTTTCTTCAGTTAATAGCACTAAACAATGGCACTTCTACTTTCTTTCTTTATTCAATTACTTATTGCTTATGAAATGAGGAAAGACAGATTCTTTTGTATTATGTTTTGATATTAGTGTGAACGTTTGCTTGTGTGCTTACTGGCTTGCATTGTAGGACAAGTGCAATCATATCTATAAGTAAACGTCCATCTCCAATGGTATATATTACTGTCATGGGTGGCATTTCATTTGCCAGCCTCTTTTTCTTCCTGTCCTCCCGCTTGCTGTATCTGGAAGATCTTCAGACTGAATTAGTACACAGGCTTCTCAGCCTAAAGCTGTGAAAATGGCCTGGGAAACCAATAGCATTTTTGTTCCCTCAGAACTTCTGTTGTTCAGAGAAGCAATCCAAACTTATGTTGTATATTTTTTCCACTTGCATTTTCCTGTGCCATTCTGTACTGCCTTTCCTTTGTTTTAGTATGTTGATATCTTTATTCAACACTTCTTTAAGAACTGCATTTTTTTCCTCTGTACCGTAGTAGAAAGCAGATATTTCAAATATGTGTTGGGCACAGTAAAAATGCTTTTTATGACCTCATGTTCAGATTGGGGTTTTGTGCTTGCATAATAAGGGTATTTGATTTCAGGATAACAAAAATAGAATCAGTTTTGAGCATGGATACTTCTGTAAAGCATGAGCTGTACAGTGATTCTGCCTACTTTGTGTAGTTTATAAACAGTGGGTCAAACACGTAATACCATGGATAGATTTGAATTGAATATGAATAGTACTTAGAGGAATTATTTGTCCAGATTTCTTGTGAACTGTCATGCTGATGTCAGTTGATATTCACTACATTCTTAACTCATTGTTTCTGCACAGAGCAGTGTCATTAGTGGCTATAAACTTAAGCCAAGCTCTGTATGCGTGCAAATCATTTACCGGAAGATTTTTAATTGTATTCCCTGCATCTGGCCATTTGTAAAATGCTCATGGAATTAACACAGATTCTCAGATGCTAAGACAATTGCTATGTGGACCACTTGAATGTACTTGAATTACTTGAATGTAATTTTGTTATGCACATACTATCAGCCAAGGTAGCGTAAGAGGATTCAGATACTCAAGAATGCAAAATTAGATCATTTATGCTTGAGTTGGCTCAGGAATGACACAAAATATAAAGTAAAAATATGTAATTTCATGTTTATAAAGTCTGAGTCCATTGTGAGAACAGACTTGCTCACTTCAAAGTTTAGAAGAATATGGATTTTTGTTCTGAAAATATTTTATGAAATGGCTAGAAAACAAGATCACACAGGACATCTGTAGTGGAGTATGATGCTGAACCCATGATTTGCCAAAATTTGCCTTAGACTGTCCTTAGGATTTTACGTGAGGGTAAACAGACATTGTTTTAACTGCACGGGTGTAAAGTTCATGAGTCTGTTTATTTTTCATTTGAGATTGTTTTATATGACTATTGGGCATGAATATCAAAAGTGGAGAGGCTCGTATTTCACTCTTCTCAAATTTGTAATGAAGCCACTATGTGGCCTCCTCTTGGCAATTGCTTTGACGGGATATCAGGCCATTGCAGATGGATGCAACTGCATCAGAGCAAAAGCAGAGCACTGCATTTTGGCAGTGTTATCTGAGAAGTACAAGCTTTGGCAGAACAGGTGAAATTCTGGCAGTCTGGAAATGTGTCTGCAGGATTTCACTTGCACCACACCTCTAAATCTAGTTTGTTTTGGATGAGCTGTTTGTATTTGCATCCATTTGTTAGTTCTTCCTCTCTTCCGCAGCTCTCGATGGTTGCTCATCAGGTTGCCCTCACTACAAATGCCAGTAGAGCAGTAGGAGAGCAGAGCAGTGCCTGGTGGGATGCTCCTTGCTCAGCGGAGGTTGCAGCTCTCCCTTACTGCTGTGTAGGGGACAGAGTGGATGTTAGGTTTCCCATGGGATTTGTAAGTGGTTTCAAAATGTGTGTTACGTAACTCCTGTACCCCCATTTCCAAATTGCTGAGTACTTTGCCCCATTTTCTTTTTCAAGGGATTTTATGTTTCAGCCCTTCAAGGAGTGTTTTCCTTTGTAGGAGTCCAGTGTGAAATTGCTGCAAGAGCAGGGATGATTATCCAAAGAGTAGTGCTGAATTCACGCCCTGGTATGTATTTTATTGCAATAAGGGAGCAGTGTGTTTGTCATGGTTGCCTAATAGTCTGAAGTGGTGAGAGTAGAAGCAGAAACTAACTTCAGATTTGCATATCTTAATACCGCATGCAACAGTAAACAAAGTTTATTATGAAGTGTATTTATTTAATCTCTACACGCAGACTTCTAAACTTGTGGTTGAGAAAAATAATGCATAATTATGAGAAAACTCTAGGAGTAGAGACTCAGTGTGAAGAAAGATTATCAAGCATTGCTTTTTAGTTCTGACATTTTTTATTTGTAAGATTATTAGAATATTTTTATAAAGTTTGCTGCAACAAGCAGCATGGAAACTATCAGTAAGTGATAAATGATCTGTCTTTTTGTACCAAGTCAGCAGGGAAAGAAAGATCTAAGAGAAGATTATGAATATTTGGGGCTTATTGAGAGATTTTTGAATACAAGTACCTTGTACTGGCCAGTGAAGCATAATGCCATCAGATCCACTAACATGAAAGTCTACATTGTTTGTTTAGATTTACACAAAATGTAGATCAAAAGGTTGCTTGCAAATCAGAATAGACTTGGCAAGGATAATTGGAATAGTGGTTAGTGTACAACACTGTGTGCTGCATACCCAGAATGGTTTGAAACAAGTTATTTAATACTTCACAAGCCTTTGGAGATCATTCTTGCAGAAATTAGTCCTCAGTAGTCAGGAGGGGTTAGCTGAGCATTTCGGAATGTCTGTTATGGCTGTGTCTTCAGTTTGGGTGCTGGGAATACACCTGTTTAAATCTCAGTCTGCTGAGTTAGCTGATAGTTGTATAGCTGTGAATAGAGACAAGCTAACATATTTTAAAAGGGATTACCATAATTAAAAAATGCCTTCCCTATTGATTAAAGGAAGCTCCACATTGATTCACTTATTTGTTTCATTTCAAAATAATTCTAGGTAAGAATGGAGTGCCAGTGGCTGAAAACTTCAGACTGGAGCAAAGTACAATACCAGACACAGTGCAAGAGGGACAAGTACGTGTTAGAACCCTGTATCTCTCTGTGGATCCATACATGGTAGGTGGTAAGCTTACAACTAAGTGAGAACTTCTTTAAAAATTATCTTAAACTCTGTACCTCTCATGATGTTTAACACAGAAGTTAACAATCATAAAATGTCTAGTATAACATGGGGAAATACAAAGAAAATATTTAAATGCCAAGTTGTTTTGTTAAATATTTCTTTCTGAGGGATGATCTGAACGTATTTTGCTGTTCTCCAGTGCATGGGGATGGACTAAATGACTTCTGGCTGTTTTTTGCAATCCTACATTTCTGTGATTCGTGCAGTTAAGGAATGGCATATGAGGAAATCTTGTCAGGTCCAAGCCAGCTGCCTTTGGATATGAGGCTGACTTTGAGGCAGTGTTTGTAGAACATGTTGACTTTGGTAGCGCTGGTGAAGGAGATTAAAATGATCTGTCTTTTTGTACCAAGTCAGCAGGGAAAGAAAGATCTAAGAGAAGATTATGAATATTTGGGGCTTATTGAGAGATTTTTGAATAGCCCATTGTGTCTCACGTTTTAAACACATCTCATCCCCAGCTTCATTTGAACTTCTTAAAACCAAACGATGTGTTCCACCAGAGCTTCTCATTAAAGTCTTGTCTTTCAGCGCTGCCGGATGAATGAGGATACGGGTTCAGATTACCTCCTGCCTTGGCAGCTATCTGAAGTTGCCGATGGTGGGGGCATTGGGGTTGTGGAGGAAAGCAAGCATAACAACTTCGCTAAAGGAGACTTTGTCACTTCCTTCAATTGGCCCTGGCAGACAGTGGCCATTCTGGATGGAAGCTTGCTACAAAAGGTATACAAAACCCAGATTGTCACTGTTTTATCTCTTGTCACAGTATTATCTATTTTTTTTTTTAAAGAGTAATTAATGATACTATTTCTTAATCAAAATCAAGTTGGTATTACTGAAGAAACCCATTCTCAAAAGGCAGACAAACTCACAGTTGGCAAAATATGTAACAGTTTTTCCACTTTTAACAAAGAAAAAGATGAATGCTTTTGCTGGCTATCAGGCATGCCAATATTATTTCACTTGCTGTGTTTTTAATAAACTTCTGTTAATTAATTCTGTTAGTTATCCTAATTCTAGATAGATCTACTCCTGATCCCTGGAGGTGTAGTCATGAAAGGTTTTAGGCACATTTAATTCAATTTATTTACCAACACGTTATTGAAAGCTTGTACTTCTTCCATAGAAGAAGTGCCACTGATCTGCAATCCTAATGTTTGATAACACTGCTATTTTGTCCTTTATGCTAACATAGGGATAGTTTGCCATTGCCTGAGACTTCTAATCTGCTGGACACTTTTTGATATTTCCATCATTTAAGCTCTCGTGAATGATTTTACTCACAACCTTTTTCTAAAACTGTGGACATATAATCTTTGTTTCATTTTATATAAACTTCTTGTTAAGGTAGAACCAGTTTATAGCTAGCTTACTGCTGTCTGTTGTACCTTGCCTTGTAAATACCCTGAATTAGTCTTGTATCATCAGTCAAATAACAAACAGCAAAACCTCACCTTAGAAGAAATGAACACCATGTGATTTTGTTTTGTAGGTTGTTCCACAACTTGTGAATGGACACCTTTCCTACTTTCTTGGTGCAGCTGGATTGACAGGACTGACAGCCTTGCTAGGTATAAGAGAGAAAGGCCATGTGACTGTGGGTGCCAATCAGACCATGGTGGTGAGTGGAGCAGCTGGTGCCTGCGGTTCTTTGGCTGGCCAGGTAGGTTGTCTGAAGACACAAAGGGTATAGAATTACTAAATTTATAATATATAATAAATGATTAGTAAACACAGACAAAACCATTACAAATATAAACAAGTATAACTTCATGGGAAGGTTCACAGATTTGGCTCACACTCACTGAGAGATTTTAGGTACGAAACTCAAGTTTCCTGAAACTGGGATAGCAGAAAAGGTATGAGGTGAATGAAGTGGATACTCTAAAAACATACTCAGTGTGTTTTTTATAGTAGTCTGCCATTTGAATACAGTCTTTGAGTTGACTGGCAACTTCCGTTTTTCCTATATTATCAAATGCGGTAAACCTTTCCTCACATTGGCTCTCCAGTACTGCTAAGTGTTGGTAATTCCACAGTCAGTGATTTGGAAAGCCAGTGTAATTCTGCTGGCAACTGCCCCTTCTCTACATGTGACGAAGGAACAACAAGAGGCTCTTTTGCTGCAGTTACATCACATGAGATGGGAATTTATGCTAAAATTTGCTGTCTTGGGTTTAGTGGGATAAGACATCCCTAATTTTTATGCGTGGGGAAAATGATCAACTTCTCTGTATTGTTTTGTTTTAACAATAGATTGCCCATCTGGACGGATGCTCTAGAGTTGTGGGTATTGCTGGCACAGATGAAAAGTGCTCCATTTTGGTTTCAGAAATGGGGTTTGATGCTGCTATCAATTACAAGAAAGGGAATGTGGCACAGCAGCTCCGTGAACTCTGCCCAGGTGGTGTGGATGTTTACTTTGACAATGTTGGTGGAGACATCAGTGATACAGTTATAAGCCAGGTGGTTATGCCAACTATCATGTTTATTCTCATCATTCTCCAAAGTCTGTGTACCCAGATTTGAATTAAGTCTTCAATACAGTAGAATAGGCTTTCCACTTTGTTGATCTAATTTTGGTGCTAATCCTGATAAGGAATCAAACATTTGACATCAGTGCCTGTTACTTGGGCTAGCCTTACAGTACATTAGCGAAAACATAGTTTCTACTTCTGATCTCTTGTTTCATTGGCCAGGAGACAGTAACGTTCTTAAAATATTCTTTGTCAGTGCAGTAATCTTGTGTTTTCTTTCATGTTAACCCGAAACCAGTCTGTCCCATGGCAGAGAGGCCTTACTAGCAATGCTGTCTTTGGGATCTCTAAATCACAGCCTGTATCTAACAGCTGTATCCTATTACTCCCTCTCCTCACAAAAAAGGCACACAGTAAAAAAACCTACTTATTATTTTCCTCATATTTAATGCTACATATACTGCATTGCATGTTTTTCTTTGTCTGCCTTGTCTATGTGGTCGTCAGAGGTTGACTGGGGCTGAAATTCTGCTTTTCTAGGAGAGGTGACTCTAAATAAGGACACTTGCGTGAAAATTTTGTGATATATTCTAGTGCATCTCTAGAAAATGTGGTTTATGAGACCAAAGAATGTAATTTGTCTCACTTTGTGCTGTCCCAAATAGATGAATCAGAACAGCCATATCATCCTGTGTGGACAAATTTCTCAGTATAACAAAGATGTGCCTTATCCTCCTCCATTGCCTCCTGACACAGAAAAAATACAGAAAGAAAGAAACATCACAAGGTACATTTCTCCTTTCTCCTACATTTCTCTGACCAGATTTTAGGTCACAAGAGTTTTTGAGTCTGATGCTCAGAAGATATTTTGTAGATCCACACCAGGCACGTGTAATTGCAGCAGAATGTTGCAACAGCAGAAAAATTAAAACCACAGCATCATTAAATTCTCTCTCTTACATTTGTCTGTAATGGCATAAAAATGGGAAAGGATAATGTTACATGTTAACATAGATTTGTGATTGCTTAACTTAGTCTTGAAGTCTGAGATTCTTCAAAATAAGGGAACGTGTTGCCATGGTTCTGTTCTCAGATGTTTTGCAACATGCTGTATCTCCAAGTGGTTCAGGAGAAAATCAAATATTTTTTTAATGAAAGAATGCAGCTGAAGCTGTGGTTGTGTTTAAATTTCAGTTTTAGTATTTGAGTTTTCATTAGATAACAGGAACTTTTGGGAACTTGATTGCTTTAGGCAGCTGTGACAGCACCATATGCAAAATTTTGGGGAGCTAAAAAGTTAATTTATACTTACCATCTATTCCAGGTCCATTGTTCACTCCATTACAGAAAAAAAAAAGTCTGCACTTTAGGGACATTTGCTTGTTCTTGTGACAGTAGTTCTTGATTTTTGTCATGCTTCTCTCTGATGCTTGAAACAGAAATTTTTTTGTCCAAGATCAATGTTATTTTTAAGTTCCTGCTCCTGTCTTAACAAGCTTGCAAAGCTCTGCAAGCATAGTTGTAATCAGTACTGACATTCCTTCAGTTTCAATAATATTGTTGTGTTTCTTTAAAAATTTGCAGATTTCAGAACATGCTTATCAGCCTTTCCTAGCTCAAGGCTCACTCTTTTCTTTCACAGAGAAAGATTCTTGGTGTTGAACTATATGGACAAACAAGAAGCTAGTGTACTACAACTCTGTCAGTGGATCCAAGAAGGTAAACTGAAGGTAGGAATTTTTACATTTAATCTGTGGCCTTTGATATTATCTCCTCAGATTAGACTTCTTGTACTCATACCACTGTTGTTTTTGTCTCTGACTGTTTTACCGTGCTCCAGGATCAAAGAGAGATTTTCTTAAGAATGCTTAAGTACACTTGACAGCTTATCAGGTAGTACCTATAGTGAATACTTACCACGAATGGTGTGGCTGCAGTATAACAGACATGATGCTGATATCTGTACTCTTCCTTTCAGCATAGGATAGAAGTGCTTTTTGACTTAAGGGATCAGGCCTTCAAAAATTTTTACTTTTGAATACCTGATTAGTTCATGTTCTGAATGCTTTTGGGAATCTTGTCAGAAATTTAGTTTCAAGCTTTATAATCACTATTTGTTATTTTGAGATTAGTAGATTGTTGGTATCTTTCTTTTTCCCCGTAAAGTCTTTCTAAATAAGTTTTTGATTCTTCAGATGATCAGTATGTTTACCTGGAAGAATCCCAAAATATAGGATTTTGGCATGTGCACAAATCTTCCAATTCTGATTGAAGAACTAAATTAGCAATAGGTTTATCAAAGTATTGGCTTCTATCTTGATGTTGGAACATAGGTAGCTGAAACAGAGCACCGTCCATTGTAGCCAGAGAATCCTTAGCATTTCTGTGGCAATTCCTAAGAGATGTTAATCTTGTTTGACAAAAGCTAAGAGGACATTTTTGTATTGACAGGTCAGAGAGACAGTGGTAGAAGGCTTAGCGAATATTGGTGGTAAGCTTTTATAACATTTTCTAAAAACATCAAGTGCAACAATAGTAGAAGCCATTTGCCAATTCAGACTCTTGTTCTTTATTATAACACTAAAAATCATGTTCTAGATAATAAAAGTCACAAGGTATTAAAGTATTCTGTAAGAAACTCACGTACGTTTAAAAATTTATTGGATATAAAGTTTGCAGGTTTTCTCTCCCCAGATTTACAATGTGGGGAGGTGGGAGTTGGTTTAAACTGTTACCTTAGCATTCACAATCATCCTGGTCTTACTGATGTAAGGTACTGCCCATTTGTTGGAACTTGTATACAGAAGGGTCTTTTGGAAACTTTGAACTTAGGCTTCAAAACCAAAAAAGTCTGTCTCTAACAGTACTTGTTGCTGGATCTGCTAACAAAAAATAAATAGAAAGCTATGTACAAGGAAAGGGAAAACATACTAATCATGACAAAACAATCTAAGTATTTTTGGAGAAACAAGATAGCCTGCAGCCTCATCCAAAAATCTGTAATGAATATAAAAACCATGAGGGTCGTGACTCCAATGAGACAAAGCTAAAAAGCCAGGTGACTCAAGATACTCGGTAGGGATGCATTCTTACAGAACAACAGGAAAGAATAGGATGTAGCCCATTTATTTCTGTAAGACTGAAAATCAGTAGAAATAAGCATTGGCTCAAACATATAGGTATACATTTATTTCTACATTTTCACTTATTGTTGATACTTACTGGTAAAAATATGTATTTTGAGGGAATCAGAACAAATTTTGCAGGCATATTTCACACCTTATTTACTCATTCTTTTGGAATCAGTTTGTCACATTCCTTGCACTATGTTGCCTATAAGCACAGTACTTATAAGTCTGTCTGTTTCACAAAGGTTTGTGAAACTGATGGTGTTTGTGGGCTCTCCAGTCATGCTTCATCTTCATGTTTGGCATTTGTGTGCTCATAACAAAAGCAAAAAATATGAACTTATATTGGGTGAAACAGGTACTTAAAAATTGATTTAAAAAAAAAAAAAAAAATCACACAAAGCTGCCCATGGCAGTTTTAGTTGTTTTGTTTTTTTTTCCCCCCTCCATTAATTTGGCATATCATTAAGAATAAATATATAGTTGCTCCTGTTTGGGGAACTACTTCATATGTTTGCTTCTATCATTTTCTTTAAAAGAAGTTAATTGGCACATTTGATTGGGAACTAACTTATGTCATTATTTCTCTTGAAGCTGCTTTCCAGTCCATGATGAATGGAGGCAATATTGGAAAACAGATCGTCCTAGTTTCTAAGTAAAAGTCATTGCTTGGGAAAAAGTAATTGATTCTATCCATAGTAATAAGCAAGTTTTACTTATACTAATTACCACCTTAAATAAACAGTTGTTCTTTATATACTAAGAGCAGATATTTTAGGATGCTAAGACAAAAACCATGCTAATAAATTGAACAGAATTGGAAATAGGAATGCAATAGTTTAAACTAAAAATGGTTATATGACATGATTTGAGAGCTGTCAATTAGCACATTTGCAAATAATTCATGGGTATGGTTTGGAAGTTAGATCACCTCAGGAAATATCTCCAATAAGTAATTTGTATACAACCACCTGGTTTTAGATGTTGGAAGAATTTACTTGTGTACATGCGTGTTGTTCTTATGCTAATTTGTCTCACTGCCCAAGAACTTGATAATTTTTCATTTACTAGTATAAGCTTAGCTTGTCAGTCCAATCGATCTGGCTATCATCTTAAATTTTAAGTGTTCTCACTTCTTTTTTCCAGATAAGAGCAATCAGAAATTCCATTTCTACAACTCAAGTTCTATAATATCAAAGATATTTCTATTTGGCACATGGAACAAGTTTCCACTGATTGCATTTCTCATTTCTCTGTACTGTATCATTATATAGCCTATTTTCAGAGTACCTTAAACCTAGTTCATTTAGAATTCCATCTGCATGCTGCCTGAGACTTTCATCAGAGGAAGGTCCAGCTATAAGGGCTAGCTTGTTTTGGTATAACAATGCTCTTTTACCAATTTAGAAGCTTGAAAAGTGAGCCACCGTTTCCAAGTCTGACTAACATAACTTCAAACCAAGTGAGACTGATGCAATTTAAACATGTCTTCAAAATAAAGCCATTAGAATTCCACCATTATGTACATTTAGAAACATTGACACATTGATTTAGTGATTAGGATAATTTATGTGTAACTTATAAGCTATTGGTTTTGTTTTAAATATTTGCCTTTAAAAGGAGTGCTTCCAAGCAGTAGGGTAGGCTGAGAATGGATCTTCTAGATCTTGAGTCACTACCTATACTCAAACTAAATGGAAGCCAAGAATTAGGAGGGAAGCTGTTCTAGAAATTGGCATTTAAATCTTTTTGGACACTGTAGAAAGAACAGTTACCAGAACTACCTCATATCATTGCTAGCAATGTGAAAAACAGTCCCTGGATTTGCTAGTGCTGAAGCTGACCCTGAAAGAAAGCATACAGTGACTAATGCTTTAGGCTTTGAAGAGAAAGACACCTGCATAATAGGATTACATTCACTTCCAGCTAGATTCTTAATCCAGTATCACACTAATTCGAGCACTAGCAACAACATCATGCTGGGACAGAAGCCAAAAGTGTTGTGGAATAAAACCAGCATCATTGTAGTTGGCAAATGAAGATAACAAGCATCAGATGAAAGAAATTCTGTGAATTCCTGCTTATTGACTGTTCATAGATGACACTCATTCCTAAAATTTGGGCATTTCAAGCTTAAAGACTTGATAATTTGTATACAGATGAGAGAGAGAGGAGGGACTAAGGGGAATACAGCCTTTTCAAACAGAACCAGATGTTCTATTGAGTGTTCTGGTACATCAGATCATGTGGCTTAATTGTCACCTTTCCTTTTCTTCTCTCCCACGTACACGCACTGTAGATTGAAACAGCATCAGCCTGGAGGCTGTTGTGCAATGCATGCCCTTTTCTTCAGCAGGCTGGCCTTAATGCACTGTAGCAATCTTTCTGAATAGACTTTCTCCTCCTAAAGTCCAGTTCATTCCTAAAGTTCATCTCCAAATATAAAAAACAAAACAGCCCACTTCACACAAATTTAAACATCCTCTTGCTTACATTTCCCTATATTTGGCTTCCTCTAATCTACAATTTTATCTCAGTTTTATCTCATGATCTAAAAAATGAAGACGTTTTGTTTTAATTCAAAGCATTCTAGTTACTTACATTACTTACATCTATTTCGGAAGAGATTTCATCCACGACCTGTGGTCAGTTTGTACTGCAAGAACGTAAGGAAGGTAGCATAACAGTAACCACTGCTGAAAAGGTGTTAAAATGTTTTCACACATTATGGGTGAAGGCAACTTACTTATACTTCCAGAGTTGCATTTGCTTGTCCAAAGTACAGATGTTGGACTTCTGAACATCATTTGCTAGAGAGCTATTCCAGAGTGAGCTCATATGAGTGAGGACCATGAGCTGACACACCTTCCAAGAAAGACAGCCTCTAGGATCTGAATTTTCATAACTGAAAATATGATTAAATTTTAAAATTCCCAGCACTATGATTTTTACAGCAATTGCTTAGTAATCCATGCACACTGAAAGCCCATTGTAGTCTGATGATGTGCAGTCTGATGATGTGAAGCATGACCTAGAGTGAGGTCATGCTGAGATATTAATTCTTTACTATAATAAAAGCTGCTTGATTGCTGCAGCATTCCAGTAGATTAGGTAACTCACAAGGAGGAATATTCTGTCAGCGTAAGTCAGATGACTACAGGAAAAAAAAAAAGAGATACGGACAGTTAAAGTAGATTTCATCATGGTACTCCCAACACCTAGGAAACTTTTCTGCATTTGTGAACCCTAGATTAATGTTAACTCTCCAGAATAAATAAAAATCAAAGGAAGAAAATCTTTTAAATGAAGTGCCTATATTTGTTAATAAAAAAATATTAATTTTTTTTTTGCAACCTTGTCTTAATTTCTTATTGTAATAGTGTTACTCTTAGGCAATCATACATTTTGTACTGTTGGGGAGGTCTCATTTAACAGAAGGTAACATAACTGCTAAGGAAAATCCAGGCCATTCTGGATGTAGCACCACCACTGACTGCAGAGGACCCGTGCACGAAGCCTTACCATACAGAGGCAGTGCCTGGTAGTTCAGATGATCTTAAGCAAGGGCAGACATCAATGCAGAGTAGCGTATAGTCTGTGACCATAAGAAGGTACTGGAAGTTTGGATATGCAGTCTTTATCAGTAAGCATTTCATGTTGCAACTAGTAACGTGTAAACAGCATCAGACAGATAGCACTGAAAAAAGTTTGAGCCCATTTTAAACTTTTTATGTTTTACCTGTTTTATGCACTCCCATTTTCACCTCTTTTCCTTATGCACTGTGAAAAGTTACTGTTGGCTATAGATTAGTGCTAGGTCATGTGGTTTAGTGCAAGGATTTAATGGAAAATATCAAATACCCGGAAAAAGAGCTTACCAGCCCCCATATAGGGTGGTTCCTGTTGCAGTTCATAGCAGCAACTTCAGCCAAAGCAGAGAGAGAAGGCAGACATCTTTCAAGTAGCTTCACAGCTTTTTTCTTTTTAATGCATTGACAGTAGCAGCAGATGCAGGACTTTTTTTTGTCTTATACTGCTTTCCTGTATTGCAGCAAGAAAGTGGGAAATGTTTATGCAGTCCATAAACAGACTGCCAGGGATAAAAGTTCATAGGCAGAAGGATTATCCTGCAAGGGTAACAAGAGCTGGAATAAACTCCAGACCTAGAGAATAACTTGTGACACACAACTGAAAATTTCAGGAAAAAGCACAAAGGAAAATGAGTCAACTATTTAGTCACTCTTAGTTGCACAATTTTGCAACTAGAAAGATATGTTAGATAGTTACACTGAGTTAGGTACAGCACTCACTGTAGGTGAAATGGTGGTAAGAGTTTTTTTCTCCCCTTGTCTTTTTCAGTATGCCACAGAAAGTGTGAGAAAAGCACAAAGAAAAATTCTCTTTAGTTAGCCAACGATCTCACAAAGAGAAAGTTACAGATGCTTTTTTAAAGCTTAACAAAAACTTAAGCTTTAATAACAAAAAAGTATTTGAAAGCATCATCAGAACTTTTCTTTGCAAAAGAAAATTCATTTCCAGTTTCAAATAAGAATCAAGTATTTTAAGTCATTCTCACTATGCAGACTAAAAAGGGAAACCAGAAACACAACAGAACCATCCAAACATGCGAAGTACTTTAAAAGAAGCATTTATATAATGAAAGGCTGATTTTTCACAGATGTTACTGATGTCTGCTGGCAATATGCAGTGTATTTCAGCAGTCTGATTCCATGATCAGCTACTTGCTTTGCTTACTTCATGTCATGTCCTCTTACTGAACAGCTTAGAAAGGATACTCTTGGCTTCAGAAGATGTTTAGGTTCCTATGGTTACCCCCAACAGCCACATAACATTATTTTAAGAACCACATGCTAGAATTAATAAATGCCAAAGTTGTTTTATTTATAAACTTTAAGAAAGAAAGATAAACAAAATCTTTCCAGGCTTAACTCATCCCTGAACTGGAAAAACCATGCAACACTATGATATCTTTCTTAAAATAATGCAAATTGATATAAGAGGAACGCATCCTGTTAGTGAGTAGAAGAGCTTAATTTTGAAAGAGGACCCAAACTAGGCAATTAATTAGGTCAACACAGATCCTGCTATCACTGGAACATTTTACTTTAGTCCATTATGTTGATTTGCATCTTTTGGGCATCACAGAGCAACAGAGGAGAAAAGGCATATTTCTACAGGGTGGCTTCCAGATTTATTGTAATAGCACCTGCATATTTGTCTGAGCTTCATCCAGTTATTATCAGTTCCCTTAAGCAACTGGTGCTATCTTCCCAGAGACTGGCTATATTTCATGCAACCTATATACACACATTTCATTGCAAAGGAAAACTCACATACGTGGTGATTTTTGTTATCTGCACTTAAATTGGGCAACCTGTGCTTATACATGTAAGGACAGCTAAATTAGAAGCTATCTCCCTATGTGCTTTTGAGAACTTCCATTCTGCTGAGATAAACAATATAAAAAGATTTTCAAGCAAATATTGGTATAATAGAGTTTTCCCACGTTAAGTTGTATAGCTGAACTAGCAAAGTTAACATTTTACTGCTGAAGTTCCAGAATATTAGAAAGGAGATTAAGGAAAGAAATCTGAATTAATGTGAGACAAGGTCAGTTTTGCTTTTCTATGAAGCAACAAAGAACTGCAACAGATATACCCTAGAACAGGTCTTTCCTACATAGGGTAGAATTCTCAGTTTCTATACCACGCTTTTCATTGAGATCAGGACAGAAGGGTAGCCCCGCTCATCTCACACTTAAGATGTATATGCAAGTTCCACATACATATGTAACACACACATCAACCACGTGTCAAAAGCGTGTCCCTCTTAGGGAGGTCCTCAGGGCCAGGGACAACACATTTGAAAATAAAACACCTTTCCTTGCCACACTAAGACTAGTACGAACAAGTTCTTAAAATAATTCCATCTATCTACCAAACATCCAACAGAACCAAGAAGTATAGTTGATTATCGTGTAAGACAATGGGGTGGCAGATGACAGACAAGAAAGGTCCATCTTCTTTCAGGAAAAAGTTCTTCCCACAGGCTATAGGTATGAAGCATTTTATTGCCATATATTATTCATATACTCTCTGATAAAAAGTACTTGCATTCCTAGCAACATTATAAAATGCCATATTTGTCACTACATTTCCACTACTGTTTCTCACTAGTAAATGTTGAGCCCTGCCTTTCTGATTTTTTTTTTTTAAAACAGTTTTGCAAAACACATAGCAGCTAATGACATTGTGATAAGAAAAGTATTCTCTTAACAGGGTATTTAATTTACTAAAATGAGGGCTGTTGATATCTTTTTCCTGCTATATTGTCAGTCACAGTGGAATGGGAATTAAGGACTAGAAAGGCTCTCATTTTAGAGATAACAAGTCTTAGTTTTAAGTAGCATTTTCTTCTAATTTATTGTATTCTCATATTTCTACAGTACAGTTGCTGTCTTTTCTAAAGTGACATAAATAAGTTATCCCTCCTTTATCTTGACAAACCATAAATAAGTCACTGTAAAATTACATAAACTACTTCAAACGTTCCACTCACAACAGTGTTATGAAGTAGGCCAGTGTTCTCCTTATTTTAAAGATAGGGAAGCTGAGGCAGGAAGCTTGGCAATCACTTTAAGGTATGACAAAGAACCATTATTAGAATTAAGGACTTCAGGTTTTGCCTTTTTGTAAAAGAATGCTCCCAGAGGGGTTAAGAGGAAGGGCAGAATAGATTCATAATTAGTAAAGACAACTCAGCTCTTTTTGTTCTCGTTTCTTAAATTCTTCATAAATACAACTGTTCCATCATTTTTAGACAAGGAAGAACAAAAAAAAAAAAAAGAAATGAGTTTCCCAGGCACTGAGACCAGAAACACAGCCCTGACTCCTCTCAATTAGCGAGGATGCAGCCACTAAACCACAGGATTCCTTTTGGATCTTCCAACCCGAGACAGTTGTATCCATTCCTTGCTTTAAAGCTGAACTTTTGACTACAACTGTGAATTCCAATGGCAACTATTTACTGTCCTTTCAGTAGTCAACTGTGGGGAAAATCAGCAACCACAACAGTGGAAAACAACAATTTCCTTCCAGAGAAAGAGCACATTAATTAACTAGTGCTCCCAGGATAAGATTAGGACCATGGCTCAGGTGAACATATGCACAAGTACATATTTAAATAGCCAGCAGCCTATAAAGAACTCCTACAGACTGTTATGAACTGAAAAGTGTGTGTAAGCATTAGACTCTTACACTGAAGGCCATACAGAACCTTTGTAATAAATATTAATTTATAAGAACATCTGGTCTAATCCTCTAGAAATATATGCAAATCTTGAAATAAGCAGCAGTTACACACAAATCCTGGAGCTTGTTATCCAGATCTATTCACATTTTTCCCAGCATTATAAAAATCAAGAATTTAAGAATTAAAAATATTTTCCATTCAAAATAGTAACAAGTAAACATTTCTACTGGTGATCCATACAGACATACCTGCTTTGTGTCATAAAAACATGCTAGAGATTATTACACAATTTACTGCACACTGTATTAATGTATAATTGTATTATATAACATGTATTATACAGTATGCTGCATATGTATAATACAACACATGTATATAATACATACTGTCATACATTTACTACAGCTATGCAGCGATGGAGGTGCAGCATCTGATCTTACCACTTCATGGCTGGTCGGTACAGAATTCCAGCAACACAAAACAGTAGGTTGCATCTTAAGTTGAAGAACTTTGACTGCTGTGTTGCATTTCAGAAGCTCTGACAGTTTTTCATTTCTACTATGTAAGTTCTGAGCTCAGATGACTGAAACGTCCAGGTTTTATAAATCAGAAATGAGGTCAGGGCCACCAACCATGTTCTCATGGGAGAGAGGACAAAAGCCAAGGTCCCATAGGTTCGCTGCAAGAAATAGCAAGAATAGACCTGCCAAGCCAGCAGGAGTGCCATCGCCAGATGAATAAGCACAACCAAGAGGCGTCGGACATGATGGATATGAGAACAGAAACTGTGACCTTTGCACCGCAGGAAAAGGCACCAGCACAGATAGGCCATTAATGGCACATTGAAAAACAACATCTGAAAAAAAAGAGTAGAAAAAAAGACAACGATCAAGCCAAATACTCTGGGCAAGATGCAAAGCATGAAAAGATAAGAGCACACAAAACTGTCCCATTTCAAATGTTGAGTGCAATTCCCAAAGCTAGAAGCTCAGGCTGCACTTCCAAGACACTGCATCTAAGAGAAGTGAGCTTGCCTGAGCCTCAATCCCAGGCCAACTATTCCTGCCTGCTCTCTTGCAAGGCATGGCACTAATATTCACCTGATTCTTCCTGGATCTAGTTGAGGGAGCTAGACTTGGCAAAATACTAGTGTAACAAAAAAGTGAAAGCCTTTGCCCCAATTTAGCTCTGTGACCCAGCCCAGTGTGGTGTAAAACAAGTGTTAGCACTGGCATAAGGGAGGGACCCTGATGAAGGCAACAACGAAGTGTTCAGACTTTGATGCTGAGGAATTACACCCTGCCTTTCAGACTAAGGCAGCTGGGAAATGCAGAGGGCAGCCAGATCAAACTAGTGAGAAAACCAGACTCAGGTCTACTTGGAGAGTGACACCTGCTGATCTGAAGAATATTCAGTGTGCAACAACTGTCCGGGACATTTCTTATGCTTAATTACTGCAACTTCTTTGTAAGGACAAACAAAAAAAAATTCAGAGAGAAGGATAAATTTGTAGAGATTGGATGTCAGGATTAGAGGCAGAGTCTGAAACAACATAAAATAGGAGAAAAGAGAAGTGTGAGGCATATGCACAACTTCCTTCTGTCCTATCTTTTAAGTCTGAAGAAAGGTTAGAAAGCTTGCCATAGTCAGGTCTGGTTACTAATTTTCTTTATCCTTCCAAAACTCCTTTCTTTATAAAATTATATTAAAAAACCAACAAAATACTCTCAGAAGAGAGTAGTTCGTCAATATTCATCTCTAAACACATACCTGTAAAATTCCAACCACGTATGTGAGACCACCCCGTAAGAAGGAACCACCAACAAACACCCCAAAGGAAAAACAGGCTCCCACTTGGCCATCTATCAGTTCGCCTACAAACCATGGCCCTGAAAGAAAATAAACATACTTCTATATTATATTTTCAGGTGGTGCTGTAACTCTTTCACTAATTCTTAAATCAAAAATGCTTGACTGGGTACACTGACTATTGTTTGTCTGTAGTATTAAACGTGTTTCATGTTTAACAAACAGCAATCTGATGAACACTCCTGATGTGAATGAATCCTGACCTTTTGCTACGGTCCATCAATGAGCTGCAGTATGCAATACTTCTAAGTTGTTTTAATCTCAGTGAGAATTTATGACAACATAGGCAACATTTCTCTAACGAGAGAAATGAAAAAATGGATCCTTTCAAGTGCTGGCCCTACCACAGAATTACTAAACTAGTAAAATTTACAGACAGTCATAAACTGAGCCAAGCTGGAATTGTTTACAAGTCAAAATGCATATCATCCTGCACCATGTTACTTCCACAACAGTAGCTATTTTAGAAACATTTTAGAGAAAAGCTAGAATTCTTAATATCAGAGCTGACACATCTTAGCAATTTGTCATGTGAGATGCACACTCCATGTGCTTGTTTTATGCATGAGCTCTTACTCAAAGAATAAGTGAAACCCAAATTAAACATGAAAATACTAATTTTGCTTTCAAAATGTAATAATTTGCTAAATCTATTTGAGGATGTTTTAAGTCCAGCTCTTCATCATAAACCTTTATTCTCCTTAGACTTTTAAAGTTCCACATTAATTTTACAATATCTTTTCTCCATTATCCAAGATCTCTAAAATCCTATTTTTCAACAGAATCTGATATGTAATTTCAAAAAGTAACTTATGTCCTCCAGTACTCCAGGTTACTTACCCAGAACAGTGTATAAATTCAGAACCAGAACTGAATAATAGAAGGCATTTATTTTACTGAAGACATGAAGGGAAAATGAGGTCAGACCCAGTAGTCCTGGCTTTCCTAAATAGAGGCAACATTTCAGAAAAACAAACTTGATTCAGGCTATAACATGCATACGCACATCTTTCTGAAAGAAGTTTGTACATTACTCATTCAGTTAATTAAGAAATATAAAAATATTTGGTATGTCTACAGAACAAATGAAAGGTAATGCATTTCTAAAACGTGACAAATAAAAAATAAGAAACTAATAAATATTACAGTGCTAATAACAGCAGGAAAAGACTACCATTCTAAGCAAATGCACTTACTGTGTGCAAATAAAACTGAGTGACCATTCTATACCCAGAAAATGAAGTTAGCTAGAATGAAAAACATGGAGAAAGTTCATATTAAATGAAAAGTAAGAATTTGAAACAGTAACTGTGCAGGTCACAAAGAACTAGGCTTACAGGATACTCTTTGATCAGCTCTTCTTGATGAAGTTTACTAGTAACTCAGATAAAATTAATTTAAATGTTAAAACAACAGCATTCTGACAAGCATGTCACGCTAGCAAGAAAAAGCAACTACTATTCATTTCTTCTTTTAATTGCAGCAGTTAATTCATAGACTGAGATCCAAAGAGCCTTCCAAATGAAGTTAGCTTCTAGAAATTGGGCTTGTACATGGCTGCCCTTCCCACAAAGCACTAACTCCCAGAGGGCAAGCTTGAACTTCAGAAATCGACAGCTCTAAAATTTGTTCACTGATCTGTGAAACACTTGCTGTCTACAGGGACCTAGCTGATTGTGAAACACTAGCTCTTTCTACTTCTGAAACTGATGGAACTGCTGAATTCCATCAAATTAACTGAAAATCTTTTCTCTTTCTATGTAATAAGTTGCTGTAGCTGCCTCACAGTGCTACGTGATTATGGGTGTAAGGGAAGGAACATAAACTGACATGAATAGGAAAGGAGGTGGCTTCTAAAATAATCTCATTAGTAAGGTGTGGTTCAAACAATTGTTTAAAGGATAAACACCTCTAAGTTGAAAGTATTAATTCAATTACCAGATTTATCATGAACAAAATAAAGTTACAAGAACTGATATTATCTTGATAAAGACAGAAGCCTGTACATATTGTTTGCAAAGATCAAAAATTATTGTAGCAGGAAATCTTTCTCCACTCTGGTGACAGCAGTAAAGACAGAATTGTGCACTAGCTGTAGTGAAACAAATACACTTACACAGGACTGATGCAAAATATCCCTTTCCCTATGCATCAGATTTTCTCAGTGAAAAAATTAAGCTGAAACCTTTAGACTTCAATTAATTAATTCTTTTTTTTTTTTTTTTTTTTTTCTTAAATGGAGATACCTGATTGAGTTTTTAAGCTCTCCAGTGACTTTTGATATACTGGAGATTTTCCAGGCCCTCTTAAAAACAAAGCAGGAGCTTTTGAGAACCCAATCAAAATGCACAGTGCTAAATGCAAAACATAATGGTGACTAACAATTATTTATGTATTGTTAACGTGCAGATAAACAGTAAGTTTAGGCAAAATAAGATCCGCTTAAAAAAAAGCAAAAACCCAGAAACTTGGTTCATACCTTTGAGTGCTGGTTTTTGCAGGTATCTGAAAACAACCAGCAAGGCGATCTGAGTCAGCACAATCAGTCCAAAGAGCGTACGAGCCTGAAAATAAACAGTTTTAAAGTCTACGCCAGCTCTGAAATATTAACAGCCTTTGAGCATCCCTTTTAGACACTGACAGAATTATACAAGTTTCTGATTGAAACAGATATGCAATGCTTTTTGGCATTATGGCATCAATGAATTAAGAAACTTAGATTTACATCCACTTGCATCTTACTGGCTTCAATTCAGTTGGATATATGACAACAGTATACTTGAATCTTTTAAAAGTGGTGTTTGTAAAACACATGTATTTATAGTCCATCGATACACTTCCTATGTAAAAAAAAAATATGTTTTTCAGTATTGTATAGAACTGCAGTTCAAGACACTGTGAAGAATACTGTTATTAATTAAAATTAATGTAATTGTTTTGAGCCAATTATTTATACTGTTTGCAGCCATGTGGACATTAATGCGCTCTTCCAAAATACACCTTAACTACTATTACATGCCTTCTTTCTATGTACCGAGTTGTAATGTCTGGATAATAATCTGAAACTTACTGAAATCAATGGGAATTTGGCCTTCCTTGCTACAGCTCCCATCAGCAGCTGATGGGAGACTGTTTTGTCCAGTACACACATTACAAAAGATCAGAGTGAAGTTTTATCTGATTTAATGTTTCCTTTTTCTAATATTTCCAGTAGCTTGTTTTCAATTTCTTGGTTACACAAAACAAGCGCATATCTTATATATATATAAACAGATAATTTTGACTAAACCATGGAAGGCAACTTGTGCAGCAATAGTTCATGCAAACTTCATGTTGGAAGTATGCACCTGGAGAAATGAAAATTGAAATACCTCTGAAGTTCCAATGAAATTATATCTGAAAAAAAAAATCAAAGTGCGTTCAAGTCTACAGGGAATTAGGAAAATGCATCCTGCAGTCCCTGGGGAGGCCAGCACAGAATGACAGCTGTTTCACTGAGAGCACTTACTAGAACATAGTGGTCAGTAAGAAGAATAACAGATGGCCAAAAGCCAAATCTAAGAGGATGGTTTTCTTCCATAGAAAATATATGACCCTGTGTGATAATTCTTCCAGAAGCATCCTAGATTGAAATAAAATAAGAAACGAATTATATACTAATAGTGCCAATGTAACATATTACACATAAATGACAAAAAAAAAAAATCAGGTTAAAGTAGCAAGTTGATCCCTTCAGCATTTCTGGAAAGCTGAAGGATAGATACATGCTACTGTATCAAAACACTTCTACCTACAGAATATTTCTTATTGACAATTTTACACCTCCATTAAGTTTGAGATTTCAATTTTAAAAATCAGAAAGTCCTGCACATAGAGGAGATTCTTTCAGATATTCAGCAGTTTTATGACAGCAACTATTTACTGGCTACCACTAACACTTGTTTTTTGAAAGCTCAATTCTAGATAATAGCCTGTCTTAAAAAAAAAAAAAAAAAAAGGATAAAACTTTGTTGCACTTTGTTCCTGGCATATTTGCTGGTTACATTATAAGTAATGCAGGTATCCTGATGATCCAGTAGCGCATTCTCATTCCCAATTCTGCCGTACTTTTTCAACAAAATTCTGTGATATTTGTAGAGATGCAATATTGATATCTTATCTACCAGGACATAATGAACTGGCTATTTATATTAAAGAACTCAGTATATTTACTGTGACACTTGAGACCATAAAATTTGGACAACCCCAGAAACAATGTACAGCAATCAAGTATTTGTGTTTTCTCTAGACACCTAGTAAAAGTTAAGGCTTCCATCTTTCTCTTTGCTCAAACTATTCAGTGACTAGATGTTATAAATCACTATTATTGGAAAGGGATTCAGATTATTTAACATTCTGTATTTGCAAAAACACGCAGAATTCAACAACAAACACCACTATTGCTATACAGGTCTATATAACCATCTTCATATGTTTTTCAGTTTTGTGCATAAGTTTGCAGTAGTCAAAATAAAAAAGTTACAAAACCCTAAAAAAAAAATCACAGAAATCAGTAACAAGCTAAGAGGTAGAACACTGACAGTACAGGAAAGCCATTGGAGGGGATGGGTGGGCAGGGAGGAATTATGGAGCCTTATAGTCTTGTCCTGTGAGGAAGAATGCCCAGCTGGGTTCTACTGGGCAGGACAAAGCTGAATTCCCTAGTCTGATTAGGTTCTTTGAAAGCCACTTGAAGGGTCAGAAATAAAATATGTTTGCAAAGCAGAAGCACTGAATAAGAAATATTTCCCCCCCCAGCAATCCAGTGTGACTTAAGTCTGATGTTCCAGGAAAGAGAAATCATATTCCCTGTCAGCCTGCAAGAGGTTGTAAAAAGAACTTCAAGTAAATAATGAAAGACAGCATTTACCATCTCCCATCTTCCAGACCCAGTTCCCTTGCATCCTGAACTAACATAATACTTCTTTGTATTTTCTCTAATCAATCCCGATCATCTTTATATGGATAAAGTTCAAGATAGTTTCTTTTGAGTAACAGGCAAATTTTTTTTCCAAACAGTGACTTGCTCTTCTGTCCTTTCTAAATATTTCTCATGAAAAATAAGAAACCTCACACTTAACCAGATGCTTTACTTACCTTCTAGTGCTCAGTAGTCTATGCTTTTCTATTTAGCAAACATAACCCAGACAAATATTGAAAGTCAGTTGTCATGTATTTTCCTTCTAATTATGTGATGCAGAAGGCTGATGGCACACTACATAAAGATTCAGCACAAAGAATGCCAAAAGGTATCTTACCTGGACAGTCACATCTATTTGATGGGTCCCTTCACTATAGTTCTGTGGGCTCCACTTCAGCACATAGAGAGGGCCAGATGCCTGATGAGCATTCCCTAGGTGAACTCCATCTATATAGACTTTGACAGAAGTAATGGCAGCAGGGGAGAAGGCCAGAATTCTAAGGATTGAGTCAACAGCAAAATAAAACAGATCTAATTAGAGGAGCTGCAGATTTGTCATCTCTTTTAAGAGACTTCCCTTTGTCACATAAGTTGTAAGAATTCAAAGGAGTTAGAAACAAAAACGATAAAATATCTGTAGGCAGATGATAATACAGAGCTCTCTCTTACAACTAACAAAGGAAGTCCCATACAGTATTGTGCAAAGTGATAGAACAGGAAATTGGGCTGTGGAGCTGACAAAAAAAAAAAGTAGATCTTCAGAGTCCAGGCAGAAATAATATTAGAACTTAGAATCTTGCTGTCAAAGCATTCATTAACATGAGCTGAATGCATCATTCTGCAAACACAGAGGTGCATAATACACAAACATTTTCATTAAAAATGGCTGCTCTCTTTGAACTCCTTTGCTGCTTGTTTTTTTTTCCCCCGTTTTTGACTTCTTGCCACTAGGAACATAACCTCCTCATGTTTGTAATTGAATTTATGAGAAATGAAGTGAAACACAAGAATGGTACTACAGAGCTGATGTACCAAGAAGGATTATAAGCACTGTTAAGTGGTCCAGAGAAACAACGATACTAAGATCGACTCAGTATATTGCATGTCCGATTTCATGTCCAGTAATAGAGGAGGCATTGTGGAACATGTGTCAATCAAATGAAATAGTTATAGTGATTACTCCACCAGTTCATATGTTTAATATGATCATAAAAATGTTTAGATAAGATTCTAAACAGGAAACTGGAAAGTAGCTTCCTAAACTGAGAAGTACAAACTTTTTTTGATTGTGACTCCGCATATTTAATATACTTGTATTTATTGATCTAAAAACAAATCTAAGATGATAGAAAGTGTAGAAAAATTTGAAACAAAATAAAAATAAAAAAGGCAGAAGTAAAAAGATGGAGGGATTTAAAACATGAAAAATCAGCCGAAGCACATATTAAATGTGTAATATTAAACATTTAATATCTGTAATATAGCTGTATAACTGAAAACAGAAGAAAAGGCTAAGATGTTTAAAGTAAACAGAGAAAAGAGACAAAATCCTGAAGTCAGTGAAGGTGATGTGAACATGCAGGATTAACAACATAGTTTAAGTGTTAAACTCTACCAGCTTTGGTCACACAAAAAAAGGCAGACTTGGCTTTGGCAGAAATAACTGCATATGCAAAACAAGTAAGAACTAGTATATAGGATAGAATAGTGCTATAAACTCTGCTTTCACTTTATAAATTACACAAAGTGAGCACTCAGCAACAATCTCGCAGAGAAGAGTGACTTTAAGGTGTATGTTTTATAAATAAATACAGATATACACCCTGAAATACCTCACCTATTAAAACATTGTGAAATACTTAAAATCAAGAGATTATTATAGGGTACCTGATATGAGTGGAGTAAAGAATTTTCACTAGTGGTTCATGAAAAGAACTGCTGTAAAGGGTGGATTTGGGATTGGTGATGAGAACTGCTGGCCATTCTTCAAAGGTGAGATCCACGAAACTAAGGAGGTCATGATCAAATGCAAGGATCCGGTACCTAAAATGAAAGAAAGATAACTGTTGACACAACTATTGCACGCCCAGCTGACACACATGCTTCCCAAGTTCCTACACAGAACTTGTTTGACTTAGTTTCTATTTCTTCTCTTTTGTATGCAGTCATATGTTAACTGACTGCTGTATTAACTGTACAGCTGGTTACCTCTCATCAGTTTGTAATCAGCTGATTACAAACCACTGAAGCAGTGCTCAAAAATTGAAATGTCAAGGTCTGTTGAAACTCACATTTGGATGACGGAGATGTACATTATATTTGGATTCTTTGACATTCATTTCTATAGTGTCTAAGATCAACACAGAGAAAGATCAGCTTTTGCCAGTACAACAACATACACGCACACACACTTCTCTTGGCATTACAGCAGAATAAAAGCTAATATACTACCATTCATTCCATATAGCATCACATTTTTTGACATGCTGCTAAGGTAACAGCACAGATAGATGTTTTATAATTACTATAATTACTATATATATATATCCATGCTCCGGCCCAGAGCATGGATCTTAAACTACTGATGCTGAATTTCATTACAATGTTTTCTTACTTAGAATATTAAACACACATTACATAGACATTTACATGCCATCTTTTTAGTTTTTAAATATCAAGAATGAATCAAAAAGTTAGTCTACATGATTTATTAGCACACCGTTGGTATGGGGAGAAAAACAAATTACACAGACATTTTTCAAAAACACTGATAGTAATAACCAGTCAGACAGATCCAATGCTTCTCTCAAATTCTTTAAATAGCATAAAAAGGTATTAAAGTAGAACTACTTAGGGCCCATAATAATAATTTGCTCGCACAGTGTTTACTTACTTCCTATTATCCTTCCAGTCTCCTAATTCCAGTTCCAGAGTGCCACCACGATGTTGGCTATACAAGGCTGGCATCAGTCCACCCATTGTATGGAGATGTCCACATAAATAAGCTGTGGCAGAACTAATAAAAAACGTGATTGTTTAGATAGGAAGGAAATGCCATTGCAGAAAACTGTGAAGTGATAGATGAGTACGTGAAGACAAACTAGAAGTGTACTTCAGATCAAAGACGTAGGTGCAAAAAAGACAAATAGGTCTTACCTCATTAATGCTCGTATCCCTGGGGCAGGGGATATGATTGTTGAGGTGGGATAATGGCCAAACCAGACAGTATGATTGCTGCGGAGACTTTCTGTGGCCATCACAGAGAGCTCTTGCATTTGATTCTGAAATAGACAGGTGTTTGGAGAAAAACAAACAAGCAAACCATTAAACAAACAAAACCAATAAAACAACTATTTAACTATTTACTATTTCGGTTCCACTCTTTCACCATTTTGCAAATCCTCTTTTGGACTAAAAGAAAGAAGAATCAGTATATTGTTTTCCTTCCTACCTAAAAATGAATATTGTAATGCATACACACAGGAAACAGAAATAAATCCTGTACTAGAAACAAATGGATTCAGTATACCTTTCTGAGTTAGCGTAACTAGTTTAAGTGAAATTAAGATTTCATTTGTCTTATGAGTTTGGTCTCTAAGAAAACTTCTACATAAGATACCTTTTAGAAACCCAGCTATGCACTGATACAAATGCAATTTATTCTTTAAATTCTTGGCAGAGGATTAATTCTTAACACAGTTACAAGTGCCTACCAACCCACGGCTACCTTTTTCCTTTACCTTAAGATTTATGCAAAAACCTGCAAGTGAGGCTCTTCATACTCATGATGTTGGGTAATTACCAAGAAAGTTCTCTCCTTATTGCAGCCTGGACAGGAGCTGCATTACTTTACTTCCTAAGAATTTATATGCAAAGCTACCTATGGATCTACATACCTATGGATTACAGTAAACAATGAGAAGGGTACTACACCTTGCACTCCTACATCATCTTTCATCTAAGTATCATCAAGTGATTTAAAAACATTTAATGAAATGGTGAGTTCCTTTGGATAAGATTAGAAGAACATGTTACTTGTCATTGAGGCTGTTACCACAGACAGACTGTGATGTTTGCCAAAATATAGCAACTCTATGCAATAAGTCAGAAGAGTATCTCAAAAACAGCAAACATACATATAAACTACATACATATTAACTTAGAAATGTAGAGACTCTTTTTGATGAACATAAATCTTTTTATAATCAAGAATCACCTGAAAAAGGAAAACACCCCCCAGATAAATATACCTTAAAATAGACAGCAAAATGAAACACTAAGACTTCTTAAATACCTTATTTAAAATCCCAAAGAAATTATAGGGTCTCTTGGGGCCTGGGCTGAGTGTAGCATCCACACAGATGAATGAATAGCTCCCAAATGAGGTGGTGTGGACATAATGGAAAGAGCCATCTTTCTGCCAGGCAGAGTACTTCCTGTCATAATAAAATTGAAATATTGTTAATAGGAAAGCCTGCAGCAATGACAAAAATGACATGCATAGGATAAATGCAAAAGTTTGTGCATTAGATCTAGCTCCATATTGTTACTACAATAAAATCTTAAAAAAAAAAATCAATGGCATTGCAAAGCCTGTACTTAAAAGAATATATACTATACTTCCAGTGCCTTAAGGACTCTCTCAAAATCTTTGTATTTTGAAATTAATCTTGTGAATTATCTTTATGAACATCATGAACTTTTAAGAAAACTGGAAGCTCAGTACTACAATCCTTAGATTTCTGCCTCCAGTCTCACCTAAATTATGTGCAACAGTTGAATTATCCCCTGCTTACACTGTGGATGTAAAATAAGAACTCATGCATTTGTATAAAAGTAGTATATTTCAATACAACTGCTGCCTTCTTTAACTTTAATACATATTTAACATCAAATCTTACTCTGTTAACTGTTTTCCTTGGCCTATACTTTTGTACCTGCAGCCTACAGTGCCTTAGAGGTGTGCAGCAAAGAATTATTTGACCAGATATCATGCAAGGGATTCACTGTGTCTCAGACAAAAAAAAAGATGCTGTCCTTTAGACTGTTTACTGTTTACTTGATTACAAATTAAAAAAACTTCCACAAGACTCTGTTTACTCTGCCATCATCTTTCTATCTCATTTGAGTGTGGCACATTTCATAAAGATGTTCTTTATGTTTTATTAATCCTTTTGAATCCCTTTTGCGAGGACCGTCTCTTCAGCAGGTGATCCATACATCTTTCCAAACAGCAATCTTTCCAGCCCAAATATCAGCACCAAGAATTCAGGGGTGTTCCTACAAATTTACTAGTGCTACATCTTCCCACACAATTCACTAGGATTTCTGATAGCAACCATTAAATAAATAGAGTGGAAGATATACTACACTGCTGTGTTGCCACAGCTGTGGAAAAAGATACAGGGACATGCACTGAACTAGCCCAAGTAAAAGCCTCATTAGTGCCATACATGCACCCCTGCACTGTAAATCCACATTTGAATTCCAGTCTCCTGCAAACAAAGCTGCTGTTGGATACCATCTGTGAATTCATGGGAAAAAATTATCTGCTCTTGCCTGACTGCAGGAACTGAAGCAAATTGGTGAACTATCAGAAATTTTCTGTTCTTACTCTGAAAGAGCTTGAATTAAAGTAGAAAGTAGATTTCTAAGTCCTCCCCCAGTTCTAAAGAGTCAGAGCTGAGAGCATCACTGAAGTTATGAGACAATATTTTGTGTTCAAATGTGAAGGGCAGGGGAAAAAAAAAGAGGTACTGAGCATCAGTAACAGCTGTGGCTACCTTTACAATGTAAAAACCAAAGAGTCAATGGAAAAAGTGAAAGCTTCCTGACTAATCTTTCCATTTAGATCTCCAGTGTGTTCCTTAAGACTTGTCCACCCAGCATCTTTTTTTCCCCACATTTCTATTACTACTTCTATTCTTTAAGGAAAAAAAAAATCACTCAAGTGTGAAGAAATAGTTCAAATAAAATTCAGACCCATATGACATGAAAATGAGCATGCAGAAAGAACAAGTAGTGTTGTGTTGCTTTTTCTTTTCCCCCATCTATTTCAAATAGAAAAGATTCTTCAAAAACACTTGTTTCACAGAAACATGCCACAAAATTGCTAAAGAAATATAATGCACAGTATGTTTCCTAGACACAGTAGATTTACTAGGTGTGCAATAACAAAATATACAGGGCTAAGAGATCAGAAGTCTAAGCAAATAATTCTCCATACTCCAAGTCCATTCTACACAACTACCCAGGAGTAGGAATGGCAAATGTGATCCTGAGCTATAGAACAGTCAGTGAGAAAGCATAACTGACAACTGAAAACAATATTGCTCAACAATTTCTATATTGAATAAAATGGTGTCTGTGTAGAAAATAAAAATACCTGTAGTAGTTCTGAATGCTGTCCAGGCGTGGAATGTTGAATGAATCTGTAAGAGAGAGGAAAGAAAGGAAATGAATACATTTTCACATTAAATTGATTATTTGTCTATATTTCTTAATTCTTGATGTTGAAATAAAGCGGTCTCAGCAAGTACTGGCAAGCTATATTTAAAAAAAATAATGAATACACAATTGATAAGCAGATTGTCCAATTGTACATAGAAAACATCATATACTTCATGCAGTTGACCCAGTAGTAGAATGCTTTTCTCATTTAAGTTCCAATTCAAAGGCAAAATTTTTGTAGACATGCAAGTTGTAATTTAGTGGCTAAAAGCTAACCACACAGTTTCAGTTTCACCACTAAGCTTTACAGAAGCTTTTGAGATTGAGCGTGTTATACAAAGACCTAACTAATCTAGGGAAAATAAAGTAGCAATAGCATCAGAGACCAGCATGTGTAAAACAGAAGCAACCTGGGAACATTTGTACTGCACTGTACTACTACTGTCCTACTGCAAACTGAGTGTTTGTACTGGGGCCCACACCTCTCCATTATAGCTGCTAACAGTCCCATTTTCCTGGAAGGCTTCTGTTATGGGCCTAACACAGGATGTACTACTTCTCCACCTCAGTACTAAGCTTTCTAGCTGTGCCCTTTCAGTAGGCTATACAAGCCAGCTGTTACAAGATTATTGATGAACACATGCTACTTTTAGAATATAAACCTGTTAGAAGACACCTGCAAAATGCAAATTAGAACCATTTCTTCAGTACAATAAGGTTACAGCTTGCTCTTCTATTAAAAGATAGGATATATAAAACAACAACCTGGAAACTAACATCTGAAGATAATTCTACCACTTGACATGCAAAGCAATAAATGAAGACCCTTACTTCCTTGTTACTAAAATTCCAGTAAGTGCCTGTAAACAAAATATGCCCTTAGTGGAGCAGATACTTGGATGACAAGCCTTTCTACTGACTTATAGCCACCATTAATATGCTTGTAACTACTAACACTTTATATTTTAACTTACTTAAATCTTCTCTGTAATCACAGGGAACAAAATGATGTTTCAGATCCTTCTTACCATGGTTTCCTTTGATGTCTATCCACTTAGTTTTTTCCCTGACTCTTGATCGCTTCAGGACTGATTGGTAAATTTTCCACTCTTCTTCTACCTGCTCAGATCCCAATTTATCTCGTGTCTTCGCATCTGTCAGATCACCTGCAAATGTACAAAGGTGAGATCTAACTAGATATCTAACAGTTCATGCAAATACTTCATACAAATACAAAGTATTTACAAGCATGCAATCCAGGCTTCCTAGTGTAAGTGGCAGCAGACCTCCTGGGTACAATCTGGACATTCCTGACTTCTGGTCCAAGAGGTAAATGCCTTCTAATGCAGATCAGAAAGTTAATCAAACATCACCGTGACACTTTTACTAATGCCAGGCTAAAATTAAGTGCTATGCATTCTTTATCCTTGATAATTTCAGTCACGGAGACTTTGTTTGACTTCACACTTTCAGTATTTCCTTAAACTCTAATTGAAATAATTCTCATTTTTGTTTGTATGCTAACACTTTCCTGCAGCATTAGTAAAAAGATTAATGCTAACTATTTCTGGAGTTAAACTTAAAAAGCAAATAGCAGATAAGCAACTGTTGTCAAGACAGAAATGGAGAATTAGCATGAAACCACATCTACAGTAAGGGCTCAAAATCCTTTCCATTTGCTTGCTAAAACTTACTCCATTCCAACAGTAGAATTAAGGTATCAAATAAAATGGCAAGACTTATTTTACCTGTCCCGGCATATAAGAAGTTCAAACAGAAACCAGCAAAAAAAAAAAAAAATCTTACATTAGGTCACAGCAGAATTTCATAGAAATAAGCAGGGGCTGTTCTAGGGCACAATAATTGAAAGAGGAATTAACTCCTAGTTTCTTTCAGAAACAATGCTCTCTCTTACAATTTCACACACAAAGAATGAAACATAACCTCTACAAGAAAAGAAGGTGACTACTAATCAGAACTAATGCGTAGTGAAATAAGGGAAAAAAATAATAGCTACATTACAACATTATATCTTAGTTACACATAATATGCTGAATTCCCATCAAATTCAAGATATTAAGCAAAAACTAGTTCTCAAGTTCAGAAGTTGGCCTCTCCTGCTTCTAGCAATCTATTTTCACCTGCAATTCTACTTCCACAGCTTTAAGTTTTAAGGCCCTCTTCTGAAATTCTAGAATTTTGCTTACTTACTCTTTATTTGACAGCACATTCAACAGGAGGTTCACATTTTTGAATTGCTTACCTGTTGCGAGAACAAATGCTGGTTGAATGATATTGATTGTTTCAGAACAGAATTTTTCCAAGTCAGAAGCTCGTGAGGGATCCTGAAATCTACTTATATGTATATCTGATACCTGCAAAAGAGAAAAATGAAATGCTGTCCCAAACAAGTTGTACTGCAAAGCCAAATATGCTGGAGTGCAGCATAGGGGCAGTCACATTGATTCATACCAGTACCAAAGATGCAAGTAAATACAGAAACAGATGACTAGGGAAAAACAAGAGCAGACCAAGCATACCATACAGTGTTACCTCTGGGGATCCACGCTCCACCCCTTCCAATTACTAGCTGCATTGCTCACACCTGAGCTCCCTGGGTTAGCCACACCTTCTCACCTGGTGCTCAGCCATTGGTTCAGGCTGTGACCTGCCAATTCCACTGCACTACCTCAATGCACCAAACCTACTTTAATCACTGACAATGCTACAGCATCTTATAACTTCTCCTAAGTCTGTGGATTTGCAACTTATTTATCTCAGCATTCTAATGGAGAATATGCAAACTTCTATCAGTTCTGTCTCCAGATTCTTGAGCAAAAGGTCTTATAAGAAACCTCTCTCTTGTTCTACAAATAACAACAGAGAATGTAAATCTCAACGTGATAAGTAGACAGTTGTCAAGAGGCCTGATTTTCAAGAAGAGTCTTCCCATTCTTCTTCCCTACTACAATACTAGCTTAAGATTTACAAAAGGCTTTTCTGTTAAGTTCCAAGAGCTGCAGCATCCCAACACTTCTGCAGAACTGAAATGAACTTATTAAAAACCATGAAGTATGAAGGTGACAGGAGTTACAAAGAAGTGGAAATGAGTAGACAAGGGGAAAAGTTTGTAATGCTCTTAGCAAACCGGGAAATCAATTTCACAAAAAGAAATACAAGTCCAGCTGCCGCATTACTTTTCTCTTCTGCCTCCACCTGATGAATCCAGAAAGAAGCCTCTCCCACTGAGACACAGGAAGTGGCTTTTATCAAAATGGGTTGGAAGAGCCTTAGGGGTGAGGAGAAACCACTATTCACATCCTTAATCTAGAGAAGCGGTTGTTTATGAAGGATGGGCTTTAAGAAGGGAGTATTACGAGGCTTATAGAAACAGGATATACAAGCTGAGAGAAACAGGAAAAACAGTCCGAATGGTAAGCTTGTTGAATCATAGAACAGCCTGGTTTGAAAAGGACCTCAAAGATCATCTAGTTTCAGCCCCCCTGCCGTGGGCAGGGTCACCAACCACTAAACCAGGCTGCCCAGAGCCACATCAGCTTGGCCTTGAATGCATCCAGGAACAGGGCATCCACAACCTCCTTGGGCAAATATTGAATTTGAAAGCCTACTGGGTACTAAGTAAATAAGTTTTACTATAGGAACGTTGAAAAAATACATGACTGTAGTAGAGAGATCAGAATTTAGTTCGGTTTCACAGGAGATGGTCCTGTGGGTGAGAGGAAAAACATTGCAAAAGCTGCTGTGAGAGGAGCAGAACCTCTCAAGCTCGATCCAGTGACCCAGGTTAAACATGGGGAGTCACCAGGGAGCTCGCAGCCCGTTTCCCATAACATCATCTGGCACAACTCTGGATTTAGTGCTTGATTCATTTCCAAGTTAGGTCAATGATAAAGTTGCTGTTAAAGGGCACATCTGAAAGAGAACATAACCCCGTGAAAGTAAAGCCAAGCCTCAAATTAGCCGTGCTGTGACCTATCCTTGGGAGAACTCCACTGGAAGTAACACAACCAAAGAGAAGTACAGAGCTGTGTGTGCTGCTCGCCAGCACAGCTTTGGAGCTACATACTATTGTAGATGGCTCTGAGATTAAAACCTCCAGATAAGGATGTTATCTACAGTAATTCAAACAAATATCGCATTTTGAAAACTGTTCTGCAGTGACAGTGTATTAAGTATCAGAAGGAAAAAAAAAACACTGGAAAAACTGGCTTAGAAAATACAGAGCAATTGGAGAGAACAATAGGACTCATAGTAAGCTGGACTGCACGCTAAGAGCATTGCCTGCAGCTAATATAGAAAGCGTTTCGGAACAAGAGAATAGCAGAAGGAGCCCATTTGTCAGCAGGAACGGTGCAGCCACCCGGCTGCTGCCTCAGCCGCCGGCGCCCACCCGGCACGTAGGCGAGCAGAGCGCGGGGAGCGAGCAGGGAGCGCTGCGGCGTCAGGAGGCGCCCGGCCGGGCCGGCGCACGGCCAGCACCGCGCAGAGCTGCTCCGGGTTCAGCCTGGAGACAAGGCCGCGGGCACGAAACCCGAGCTGTGCCGGCCCAGTGCTTCTGACGCTAAAAAACAGCGTAGGGATTTTCTCCGTCACCTGTTTGCTGATCTACGGAGGAGGAGAGGGGCGGCCGAGCCCGGTATCACACAGGACGGGGTACTGATGCAACACAGGTTAAAGCAATAATTAGGCGAGCTTTCATTACCCCTCCCTTCTCGCACCTCGTCTCCCGGGCACAGCGGCCGGACACCTGTCGCTCCTCACGGACAGCGCAGGGAGCGCTTACAAGAAAGCAGAGCTTACACAGGCGCGGAGCCTCCCTCAACCGCACGACCCCCGCCACCGCGGCGGACCCCGTCAGCGGGGCCCCGCTCACCTGCACCGCCCACAGCAGGTTGGCGGCTTCCGCCCCGGGGGCAGGCCCGGGAGCCCGCTGGCGGCGCAGACCCGCCGGCGCCGAAGAGGCTGCCGGGGCGTACCAGTCCAGCAGCAGCGCCACGGCGGCCGCCAGCAGCAGGCCCGCGGCCAGCTTCAGCATCCTGCGCCTCGCCGCCAGCCCGCGCCCGCCCCGGGCGGCCCCCGCCGCCCTCCGCCGGCTTCGGCACTTCCGCCCGGCGGCCCGCCCCCTCGGGCCGCGCCTCTGCGGGGGGCTGGGAAGAACGAAGGCGCGAGCTCGGCGCCTCGTGCCGCCGCTGCCCCGCGCGGCACGTGGGAACCGGGCCGCCTGTTCGCGCGGGCCGCCGCCGTCGTGTCGGGAGTCGCGGTCGCTCGTGTCGATGCTGACGCGCGAGGAGAGCCCGTCAAAACTCACTGCGTTTGCGGCCCGGGCTTGCCCCTTGTACGCCAGCACTGCACCAGCGGTCGGCCAAAAGGGGCGACTGCAAACCTGCGGTGCGTTCAATGAAGACCTGCGCTGACGAACAGCTCTGAGCGCGCCCCCAGCCAGACACGCTGAGGGAAACTTACTGACGATGCCTGAAGGCGCACCTGCAGGTTTTCTCTGCAGGTCAGGGACAGGCGGCGCGCGAGCCCCTCACAGCGCCCCTCGGCCAGGCCGAGGCAGCAGCATCTCCTCGCCCCAGGCTCCCACCTGCCTCCACAGAGCGGGACGCTCGCACCGCCGCCCTAGGGCGGGACACAAATACAGACACACACACGGACGCACGCCTCCGCCTACAGCGGCTGAGAGCCACCGCGCATGCGCAGGGAGAGGGCGGCGCCTGCGCGCTTCAGCCGTGCCGCCGCTGGGGCGGGCCGTGGAGGCGGCGCAGCGCGGCGGCCCGGTGGCCGTGGGAGCTTCTTCCGGGCGGTGGCGGCGGCGGCCGCCTCTCTCTCGCTCTCAAAATGGCGGACGGAGGCAGCAGAGGGTCCGGAGCGGCGGCAACGAGAGCGGCGGGGGGCCGGGTCCCCGCGCAGCCTCAGGAGCGGGCTATGGTGAGGCTGCCGCGCGACGCGACGGCGCGGTTCCCTCTGGCCCCGCTCGGCGGCAGCCCGTGCCGTGCCGTGCCGTGCCCGCGCTGCGACTCCGCCGCTCGTCTGGGCGTCCCTGGCTCCTTCTCGCTCCCTGGGGCACGGACGCGCGGCAGCAGGCCGGGCCGCGCTGCGCCTTTGTGTGCCCGCCGGTCTCCGCGGCACCTGCCGAGGCAGCGTCGAGCAGCGGGGCTGGAGGCCGGGCAGGGAGCTGGAGGCACGGCCTGGGCGGGCCGCGGCATCGGCGGCGGGGAGCCGGCTCTGCCCCGCTCCGGCCCCGCGGGGAAGGCGGGCCTGCCTGGGGCGGCCCCGGGGAAGGGGTTTGTCGGCTGCCGCCTGCAGCGGCGCCTCATCCGCGGCGTCTCCGCCCAAGTCCCGTGTCGTAACCGGGCCTGGAGGTAATGATCCGAGGTCAGACTTCTAGGAAGCCTTGGGCTTTCCTGCATCCTTCAGTCGTTTAATGCGTGTGCGCATCTTGCTCTGACTTTGTTCCTTAATTAAAGGTCACTGTTTCACTGTGAAAAAAAGGATAGTGCGATCGTTGTTGTGGTGTGTGTGAATAAGGCAACAAGAAGTGAAGGGTTGGGGTTGGAGACAGCTGCGTTTCTCACCTGAACAAAACTATCCTCTTCTTGAATTAAATTTGATAGCAGGCTTAATATTCATTCTGAGCACTTCTTAGGACTGATTTGTCCAGAGGCAGCAGGTAAAGGACCTTGAAGGTTTCCTTCACAACCTCACAGTGTCTGTAACCATGCCGTACGCTCTTTTGCTAAAGTAGATTAAAGCCCACAGCTCGTCTGTTAGCTAAAAGCGTGTCTGAATGCCTTTTGGAAATCTTCCATTTCGTGTTCCTTTTTCCTGCTCTAATAAGAGCAACCTGGGTATGTGATGTGACGTGGAACCTCTGACTATGAATATTTAGAAGTAGGGCATAGGTAGGCCTGTAGAGGAACTGCTCTTTGCGTGGTGCTACCTTTTGTGAGTAAAAACAGGATGTAGCTACTTAGGGGACCATTCATGCAGGTAGCAGGTCTGAGCCAGTGACCGCTGTCTGTTATACTTTTCCTCAAAACAGTGAGGATCAAATCAGAGGGGTGTGTAGTCTGATGCCAGAACCATTTCTCAGGACTGTATTTTTTTTCTGGCTGTAACAGACCTATGCATGGATTTCTTTTTTCTATATTAGAAACAACTTGATTTTAAACTAATAAAAATGTGATTTGGTTGAGTTGCAATGTCAAAAAAAAACAACAAAAAAACCCCCACAACAACCAGAGTTAAGAGACCTGGTGAGTTTGAATGCAGCATACAGTCAGAGGGGTACTAACGGCAGTTGTTACAATCAGCTAGCAAGGCAATGATATCCACTATTCATTACTTGGGGATATTGGAGGCTGACTTAGCTCCAGCAGTATGGGATATATATATGTGATAATACTGTAAACAACACACGGAATGATGCTGAGGAGCATCATTCCATTTAGTTGTCTTAGTTTTTTTGTGGTTTCAGCCAGAGTTACCATGATTTCAAGTTTCTAGAGAGTCTGTTGTCATGGCAGGTGGCCATCTAGGTTGCATTGTCTGGCACGTGTACAAGCAAACTGCAAAGGAATTTTTAGAGTTGAGTGTGGGGTAAAAGCATTATCCTTAAGGGTGACTGAAAGAGATGGGCTTGAACTTAGACTGAGCCTGACAGAGTTCACAGAATCACAGAGTGGCCCGGGTTGGAAGGGACCTCAAGGATCATGAATCTCCAACCCCACTGCCACAGTCAGGGCCAAGTTTTTTATGTTAAATTGCGATATCAGACACAGCTGCAATCTGAAAGCAGTACATGCAGTGTGCTACTATATTAAATATGGTGCTGGTTAGGAGGAATTAACTTATCCTGTCTGAGTTGTGTCTTTGTAGTGACAAGCTGGTCTGTGCCCTTTTGCTGTGGTGGCTTGTGGAGTGTGGAACAGACTAGCAGCTGAATGGAATGGATTTAAGCCAGGCTATACTTGTTAAGTTTGCGTCAGGGTCAGCCCAGTCAGACTCACCGCTGCTCTTGTTTTTCATCTCTGACTTCAAGGGTGTGTTGCTTACAGTGCTTGGTTGTGTTTGGCTGCGTTACACTTGGACTGGTAAACCTTTGCAGAGTGTTGAGTGCTTGGTGCTGAATTACCGAATGACTGCAGGAGCCAGGCTCATTCCAGTTTGGATGGGGATGACTCAGGTAACCAGCACTTCTGCATCCAGCCCAGCTCTGTGGTTTTATCTGTGCTCTTAACTCCAACTCTTCAGGTTGGACAACTATAGTTGGGAATACCTGTGCTTCCTTTTCACTGCAGTATTTAAAAGTCTGTGCTTTTTCTTTCTTCTCTGTAGTGTCTGTATTGCTTCCTGTCCTTGAAAAAGGTACAGCTGCTCTTGTCAAATTGACACTGACCTACTCATAAACTCTGTTATCCAGACTCCTGTTTCCTCTGTTTTCTTTCCCTAGCAGCACCTCCAGTTTGCTTGGCTGACTGTTGGGCTGGACTTGGCTCATCTGGTAGTTGGCTAACAAGCATTGCCAGTGGCCAAATAAAAGCCTGCTTAGCAGGCTGGGTCCAGCCCATTGGTGGTTTGTCCATCTGTATTCCTAACAAGTTCCAGTTTGAATCCTACTTGCTTTGGTGGCTGCTATCTGCAATATACCAGCAGGATTTAGATATTAAAATACTTCAGAGATTTTCATTGATGCTAAATCTTCAGTTTTTGATGCAATTGTACCTTTTCAACAGTACTCATGAACAGATCTCTTTTCAGAATTCAAACCTTTTGTCATCTGTCAATACCTACATATAATAAATATAGTTTTGAATGGAATAGTTGTGCAAAGGAAGAGAAAAGCTTTAATGGTAGGATCAATTTATGTAAGCTGAGTTAGTTTAAATTCTTAGCATTAGATAAAGTAGCTTATCCCTATATTGTGCATAGTCCAAGCTGGATGCAGTGTGTTAGCATGTCCGTGGAATATGAAGTTGCTACAAGTAACTGGAGTGTTGCCAAGGTCTTGCTTGTGTCCTTATGTATTTAGCATTCTGTTGAAGTGCTTTCATTTTGTTGTGGCATTGAGCAATGCTGTAGTTTTTTCTTCCTTGTTTTCTTTCATGTTTACTGATGTTTCTTGGTCATTTTTGTGGCTTTTGTTAGTGCAGGAGTAAACTATGATTGTGAAGGTATGTCAGCTTCATTCAAGTTGTGGTTGCTGAAATACTATTTTGGTGTTGCAAGGAGTATGTGACTAGGGGAGGATGTAGCTGCAAGTGGATACTACCCTTTGAGGGCAGCTGCTTAAGTGGCTTCTGGATCTCAGAGCTCTGGAGAATCTAGGGGTGAGCAGGTTGGTTTTGGAAAGTGTAGAGTTATTAGTACTGAACACTGATGGATTAGTCTGATTTCTATTGCACGGTTATTCTCTGCGGAATTATGTATATAGGGGATTTGAAAATTCATTTTATTGTGTGGGTACACGAGTTTGAGTACATGTGAATCAATATGAAAACTTAGTATAGACAAATGTGATTTCCCTCCCAGCAGTACCAAATCAGTTGTTTATAAATGTCCACCGTGTCTATAATTTTTGATGAATGGTGTGGTGCTAGGAAATTAATTAGATATCTTGTTCCCTAGGATGCAGGAGACCATGCATGGATGTTAGGAGAGGAATGGAGAGAAACAAAGACTTTTCTTTGTTTCCCTAGAAACAAAGGGATCTTCAATCTGTCAAATGAATATTCAGAACTTAAAGAAAAGGTTCTATTTTAAAGTCTCTTATGGAATACAAATAAATCTGCAAATATTATTTTGCTATTTTTTCCAGGGGGAATGGCTTTTTTTGAAGTATTTATTTTTCATGTTGGTTTAACACCCGATTTTGAATTCCTGTTTCTCAGTGTTGCCACATCAGTTACACATTGCTCTCTGCCTAACTCTGATTTGACCCGAAAGTTTGAAACGTGAAACATGTTCAGGTTGCATCTCCTCGGGCACCTATCTGCATCTAAGCAGTTATCTCTGTGTACTGAAATTGCACTTGTGATTTTGGCAGTGAGTGTGATTGAAAACTGACAGCTGAGCATCAGGGTGATCGAGCAACCTGCAGCCAGGCCTTGCTTGCCCTGAAGGTAGCCCTGGCTTTATCCATCCAGCATCTGAAACAGTAACTCATCGTCCTGCTGACTACTTTTGTTTCTCTGGTGGTACTGGTTGGCTGTGGTTGATGGGACTGGTAGCTATTGGAGACCACTGGGATCGCAGTAGGTTGTGCTGTAGACCACTCTTTAGTAGTTGGCACTGATATTAAGAGCCTTGTTCCCAGGGGGCAAACACCTGCATCATTACAGCATCTTTTAACATTAATTGGCACCTTGCTTTGGCTTAGGGGTCAAAGTTTAAATGAATGTAGACATCAAACAGATCTTTCGTGTCTTCAGGTCAGAGTTGATGTTTTGTTAGGACAATTTAGACAGTACTGAATGTTGTCCATGTTGTGCCAGTAGAAAATAACTTCAGAAGCCAAACTTGCTGCTTTCAGTGTAATTGCTGATATCCAAGGCAGACCAAAGTTCGGTACATGATTGGTTTCCAGCTGTATCGTGTAAAGGAGTTGTGCTATTGACAGGTCAGAAAGCAGATGTTTTGTAACTGAATTGTAAGCAGTCTTTTTTTAAGCCTAGATTCCCCTCTAATCCGTGGTTATACTTTGTCAGAGAATGTGAAACATGAACATGATGTGGTTGTGGCAAAAGTTGTCCTTTTCCAGTTTCAATCCCTGGACAGTGTTGTCCCCCGTCCCCTGATGTTTTCAGGAAATTCTTTCCATTTGAACAGCATGCTGTACTGAATTGTCTATGTATGATGTACTTGAGAAACAGGGCATTAGTTTGTTTCCAGCAATTAAATATAAAGATTAAGTGCAAATTATTGAAAACTGACATGTGTATGATCAGTTGAACAGTTTTGCATTAGACAAATGTCACGCTTATGTGAGATGATTTGGATGAGTTTGTGCAGAAGTTACTTCTTGGAATTGTCTTGTTTATCCTACTCTCTTTGTAGACCTACTGAAATGAAGTCAGGAATAAATCTTTCATATGTTTATTTATTGTATTCTGAGTTAATAGAACTTCTACTCCTAATGACATTTAATTTGATTTAGGGTAGGGTAGGACAAATGTGATAATGAGTTTCTGCTTTTTATTTGATGCCTCTTTTTTGGAGAAAAAATGTCTTTGATTCTCCTCATTATGTTAACTAAACTAATGCCTGATGCCCCCATACTGCAGTTGGCTATTTTCAGTGCATTGGGAAACTGATCATTTTTAACTTAAAAAAAAAAAAAGAAAAGAAAAAGAAAAATAGAAAAGTTGAACTAAAAATATAGATCAGAACCTTACATGAAAACATTAGTTGAAGAACCTGTTAGTTTTCTTTCAAAGGTAATTTGAAGTGATCTGTATGCTCATGGAAGAACTTCTGTGTTTGTCCTTATTTTTAAATGCCTTCCGTGGTTGCTTAATTGGAGAGACTTTACCAGAATCTCCCAGTTTTCTGGGATCTGTTGTTTTGCTAAACTGTTTGCTACCAACTGTTCTGTGCGTTGAAGAAGAGCAGCCTTTTACATTTAGTATTTCTCTTGAATGTCACTGGCTCAAAATCAGTGTGTTGACAACATTTTATACATTTATTCTTAAGATTTTGCTTATCCTTCCTGCCTTGGCAGCCAGCTGATATTGCCATCTCATGCTTGGCAGATTTACACCATGCACAAACTAAACTTTTTTTGTCTACTTTAAACTGGAATATTGGGCCAGACATGGTTTTTAGTTCATGCTGTTTGCATTGTCTGCTCTCTCATAATCTGCTTTTCAATATTTATAAGTATTAATATTCCTTTTTTTCACTTGTTGCATTAATATATATTTCTAAAAATAGTCTTGAAATTTATGCAGTCAGTTAAGCACCAAAGGACCAATGTGTCAATCAGTTTAAGTGTCAAGCAGTTTAAGAAGAGCTGCTTTTTTATTAGTATTGCCAAATGCAAATGATTTGTCTGAAAAGACTTGAGAATTCAAAGAGTGCTTAGAATTCAAATGTGCTTTGAATGGAAAACTGCGTGGAGGCGATGGCTACTGATAGTAGATAATAAACCTGTTGCAGTGATTAAGTTCTGTCATAGTACTGAGAAATCACATTTGACCACTTACTCTGTAGGTGAAAAGTGACTTGAAAAAGTTTTTTGCCTTTTTTCCTCAGATATAAATATACTTAGAGAGAGATGTGGCCAAAATGATGGATATTCTTCTCTTTTTACAGGAGTATTTGTAGGCAAATGTAATTCTTCCTCTTGTGACCTTTTCTAATGTCACCCTTCCTTTTGGAAAAAGCTGACGTGCTGCCTTTTTACATGTAGGACAAAACCAGATGTTTAGCTGGAATTCATTTTGGAAAGTTCTCTGTATGTTTATACATGTGGAAGAAGTATTAGTATTTTGTTCTCATGGGAGAGGACGTGTTTTAATACAAGATAAGAGATGATCTGGTAAAGCCTTTGTACGGTATTGTGAGGAGCTGCTTCTGCAGTGATATTCTCCTGAAAGGTCGCATACGGCTCTAGGTTGCTGCTTGTGTTGCATGGAGCACTTGCATTGCTTGGACTAAATGGATGTGATCTCTGCTCTTTTGACAAAACTGCTGTGCCTTGAGAAACATAGCTTGTCATCTCCTGGTGCCCAGCATCTCCCTTTCTCCTGCAGTTTGCGAAGTGCCTTCCTGAAAAAGAATGTGACAGGAGCAATTGGTTAGAGAAGGGAAAGAGATGGGGCTGCAGAAGGTTAGAGCTGCAAAGGGGAAGGAAAGGAGGAGGAGATGATGCATGTCTGACACTCTCCTTGCTGCTGTCAGGTTCCCAGTGTCACATTTGCCTGCAGTTAGCAGTGTGTGGGGAAGCCCACCAGTGTGCTGTGCACATTGCTGTCCCCATGAGGCATGTGATATTGCTGCTGATTCTGCTGATTGTGGTGGTTTATTTTTGGCTCACCTGAGTGTCTCTGTGGTTCTATATGATGACTTATCTGTTTCTACAGGCAGTATTTTCTAGAAATGAGAAAATGAGACTCCACAGCCTCTCAGGACAGCCTGTGCCAGTTTTGGGCAAAGAGCTTCAGGGAATGCCTGATTTCTGCTTGCAGTTGGCTTGTACCTTCTTTGGACTTTAAAGGACACCCTGCCCATTCAGTGTACATGATGATACTTAATTGAAGATAATGCAATATTTTATTTCCTCTTTATTTGCCAGTATGTGCAAGGAAATAATAATTTACTTTTGGGGGATAGGAAAGAAATGGGTAGATTTGAAGTGGAGGTGCAACTTCAGAAAATAAGAAAAAGAAAATTCTTATTTCCCTTGTGAATATACTGACTATTTCCTGGGTGATGCACGAGTTGAAGATAAATGAAATGTTTACCAGAAGGCAGCCGGCCTGCTGGGGAGAGTTCTGTCTTCCCTTCTTTCCTCTCTTTCAGTACTTCCTGCCCTCCATTCTCTGAATAACATTTAATTAGAATTAAAAGCTTTCTGTAGGAATACTTGAAGTGTTTCTGAGTTAGACTGTGAGAACCCACTCTGTTTCTGGCAGCTTTTCAGGAAAGCTTAGTCCTGCGTTTCTTGGAGCTATTATGTGTTCTGTTCCAGCAATACAGAAGCTAAACTTACAGCATCTCTTGGGAATGCCACTAACAGAGAGAGAGGAGCTACAGACTGGGATTCTCTTTTGCTCTGGAAAAAGTGTGTGTCAAGAGTCCCCATCCCTACCTCCAGTTTATACAGTTACAGAGCAATACCATCATCCATGCATTCTCTCTTCCATCAGTGTCTGCTCTGCATTCACTTCCCTAACTTTGCAGTTCAGGTATCACCATGCAAATCAAATAAGGAGCTACCCCCAGAGTAAGCTAAGGTAGATACACAGCCAAAATGTCAGTAGAAGCCTCAGGCTAACTCCAAACATATTGGAAGTACAGTGTTTATTATTCGAGATGTTAAACAAATGTTTTATGTGACTAGAGCACAGAACAAATATCTTAGGACAGATTAGCTTTGGGTACTGGATATTATTGTAAATCTGGACAGACTTAACCTGCTATTTTGTTCCTATTTCTTCTGTTTGGATCTTGTGTAGATAATTTTTTGTACTTGCCTATAGTGAGTAGATGTATAATTCCTCAGATAACAAATATGTTTGTTTTTTTTCTATATGATATCTTGGAGTTTTGACTTCAATTGTGCTGGAGCTGCAGCACTTTGTACTCCATCTATTATAGTTTCATTTCTTTTTCCAGAGTTAAAGAACTCTTCTAATGTAGGTAGCAGACTAGAGAGCTGTAGCATTAGGTCTATTACTTAATCTTTTGTCTCTGATTTTAGGAGGAAGACCACTGATTCAAACCATAAATCAGGATTTTTTGTTTTGTCATTTACATCTAAAGTCGAGCATTTTTTGTCCTTCAAACAGTCTTAATTCCTTGAGGCTTTCCTCCAGTCCAAAGTTTTCAGTGGTTGCTTTGCTCATTCTCTGCTTTTTGGCCTACAGAAAATTCTCTTTAGAGCTGTTTGTGATGTTTCATTTTATATTTTTACTGTGAAAATAAGTTTTTGGGGGATAAATCAAAGTCATGTATGAAAGCAAGTTCTCTTAGGAATTCTGGATAGGTAAATTTGTTATCTGATGCATAATGGAGAAAAATAGAAGTTGTTTTTATGTGAATAATATGAAATAATGTTCAAACTTGGAGGACCAATAGAATATATGAAGAGAACCACTCAGAATGAGAGAACTCAAAAGTGAAATTAGGGTTTTATATTAAGAAAATTAGGAAACTTGGGCCAAATCATGACCACTTTTCTCATAGAAATGTGAAATTGTATTTTGGTCTGGTTTCCCAAGGGCATTATATTTATATAATTAGTTGGCCTTCTTTCTCCCTCAGTAGTTATTGAACACATATGAACAGTTTGAAGAAAATTCTACTGAAGGGTTGTGATTTCAAAGACATTTGAGTTGCTGCATGTTTTGTGACTATCAGCAGGCTAAGGAATAAATCTCAAATCTGTCTTCCAGCGAAGGCAAGGAGACCTCTGCTGCTATTCCTGCCATTTGTTGGCAGTTGAACAGGTATTAGGATTTGTGTATTGGCTGGCTGCTGGCATTCACGTGGTTGAAAATTAGTACATGTGTAGCTCCACAGTAGCATAGCACTTGCCAGCTCTGCCTCGTAGTGTTTTAATAGAAGACTTTAAGGGAACAGAGGTTGCTGGGGTGGGTATATAAAATCAACAGGGAAGTTTTAGAGAAATGATGCTTTCTGGGGTTTTATTGTGCACAGAACTGACTTCTGATGTAAGAAAGAATTCTGGATTTACAATAAAAGTACTTAATCCTGCTTACTGTGAGTTCATCAATGTTTATGTCTGGGTTTACTTCTCTTGTAGTGGTGTGATGAAAGATTCGACTTCCAAGCTACGTTTTTACAGTGCTTGGCAAAACATGTGCCAAATATTTACTCAGCTGAGATGGACCCCTTGCTGGAGAAACAAGAAGAAATGGTCCAGGCAGCAATATTTTACCCCCTGGAATGTTATTTATTTGGGGAAGACCCAGATACATTTCTAGAGAAGCTACAGCAGAGCGGAATCTCCCAGCTCTGTGGAAAGGTGTTCAAAGGAGGGGAGACAACATATTCTTGCAGGTAAGGATGAAGCTGTGTTACCATGTTTCCTTGCAAGGTAGTGCACCAAAGTGGATTTTATGAAAGTAGTTGCTGTGCTGACAATTCATACCTTGTGTCGTGATAGATCTTTCCTTAACTTAGAGTAGCATTTACTTCAGATTCCAAACCACCTTAAAATGAGCAAAATAACCTATGAAAAGCAGACTCTGGTAGAGTAATGAGAAAGGAAATGAAGAGGATGCTAAAGGTACCATTGATTAAAAATAATGGATGAGAGCCATTGATTAAAAATAACGGGATGGTAGGATATGATAGAGGTCTTTGCGTGGTGTTGGGAGATAACACGCGTACAAATGTGTGCACTCTACAGTATTCAGCCTTTCAGAGTCTGAATCAGAATCCAGCATTTCTGATCATCCTCAATCCTCTGCTCAGGCAATATCTATGTAATCAATTGTTATTTTCCACCTCGCTTCTCATTCTGGAGCATGTTAAAGATGACAGTGTATTCATTAGGTATTTAATTAATTCATATGTTAAAGGTATTTGCAGTGAGTTTGAAGATTCCTACTGTGCTGGCAATTCATTAGCCCTAATATGATACAATTGGCATAGTTTATATTTGTTCTCAGTTTATTTTAAAAGCCTAGAAAATTGTACCGGAAGTGTCAGAAAAATATTAATAAGGAAGAATGTTTTGGATTGAAAAATAAATAATGGTGACTTCAGAACTTGGGAAATGTCAAAAATGAAAGCCTCTTTTAAAAAAAAAATAAAATAAAAATTGTGAAATGGAATGTAAGATTTTAATTAGTCACGTAGGATGTATGATGTATGTTCTGGAGCTAATTTTGTGGAGGAGTTCTGCTGAGATTTTGACTTGAGACTGTTGAAAAATTTTAAATGTAACTTGACAGAAGTGTGGCTTAGTAAAGTGGCTACGTTGTTGCTGGAAACCATAATAAAGTGAACTCCACAGTCGGTCTCTTCTAGTAACTGTTCATTCTTGGCAAAAATAAAAATGTTAGTAACAACTTTTGATAGTGGATATCAAAGATGTTTCTAAGGAATTTGAAACTCAGGTTCCAGTATTTGATTCAAGCCTAAAAAGTCTATCTTTCATCCTTCCCTGATGCGGAATTGTCAGTATATTTATAATTTGTATCTGTTGTTAATCTGGGTTTTCAGAAAAGTATTTTCTTCTGTGCATGAAAATTCCTTTTGTTTGTTTTGGAAAATTCTCCATTTATCATTTTTCTTGCAGAGACTGTGCAGTTGATCCAACCTGTGTACTCTGTATGGACTGCTTCCAGAATAGCATCCATAGGAATCACCGGTACAAGGTAGAGACATCTTCTGTTAATAAATGGTACATGTAGGTTTAGAGAACTTTTGCTTGAAGAATCAGTCTGCAATTTCCTAATTAGTAAAGTCATTCTCACATTTTTAGCTATACAGAGCCTTTGATAAGAGAAGTACATTTCTAAGATAAGAACCAAAGAGTAGAATTGTTTGGCTGCATGCGTTATTCTCTCTGGCAGTTTCACCTAAGTACCTGCCATAGCAAAATGTTGTGATGGAAAATGGCAATTGTATCCTCCATCCCTTTCAGTACTTTATGCAAGAGTACATTCTGTTTGGAGATGTAGGAGTGTTTATAAACAAAGACCCCTGTTTCACCACTGCTGTCACTGATGCAGTCTCCACATTTTCACTGTCTTTCCAATTAGATTTCCATAAACTACTTTGGACTATAAGAGTTAAAATAAATGTTAAGCAACACATTTCTAGGGAGATAATTGTAGAACTGGATAATCGCTTCTTGGTATCCTCTTGATTCTCTTTGAGCCAAATCTGTGTTATTTTCAAAAGATTACCATAATTTAACTGCAGAAAGAATTTTTAAAATAGTTCTTAGCTAACTCTCCCACCTAGGCTGTTGTCTGCTCATTACTTCCTAGGCCTCTTTTTTGTTTGCTCTTTGCACTTATTCCTCTGTCATTTTAGCAGTGTTGGAAGCAGGAATGGAAGGTGCAGTGTAATTTTTAAGCTGGTCTAACTCTGCTGCAAGGAACAAGAAAATGTGCAGAAACGTTATGTATTCAGTTTCATTATCCTTCACCACTGAAAAATGGGCTGATTTTTTTTTGTCATTGAAGTTGCATCCATTTCAGGGATCTGTCCTATTTGTATTATCAGCTGATCATAAATCACCTTTAAACAGGGATGGTTCAATGAGATAGTTGGGGAGAAGGTCTTAACAATCTCAAAAATAATGAAGAAATATAAAGATTTATATGTAAGAGCAGAATATTGTATATTGATCTGAAAATGTAAGTATTGATTCAAAGTTGCATGAGGCTACCCTGGGTAATGGAAATATAAATTCTATATGCACAAATGTGCACACTCACAATTTATGGAGGGGCAAGGTGAAACCAAGGGAGAAGAGACAGCAATGGCTGTAGAGCAATTTGGATTTGCAGCAGAGCTGAGATGCTGTTTTGGTAACCTGCTGTCCTTCCTGATTTTTTCAGTAACTCAAGTTTGTGTCAGCAAAAACTAGTTTGGAAATAATAGCGGCTGTGCTGCATTCCCATTTTAAAGATGCAGTCTAAGGAATGCAGACTGTTCTTTACAGGTTTATAGAATAATTTAGGTTGGAAGAGACCTAAAGAGGTCACCTAAATAATGAATTTTTCATTTTTTTTTTAGTGAGTGACTTAGTATTTTCATAATTAATTTACAGTTGGGGGGTTTAGAGTAAGCTATTGATAATTTTTTTTGGCCTAAGTTTCATCTGAACTTTCTGTCAAAGTGAATGGTTGTTATTTCTGAAAGTGCAGTGCAAAGTTAAAGTTACAAATATGTATTTAGATACTGATTGTCTTACTTTCTTTGGTTAGGAATAAAGGCATGTGTTAATACATTTTTAATACATGCATTTGTTGTATAGATTACATTAAAACTTTTCTGAGTGAGATGTAAAGAAGGAATTGATCACCTTTCCTATAATTTTCTAATACAATCAGAAATATTATTTTCTATATATGAAGTGTTTTTTTATCAGTCATAGTTCTCATTTATTTCGTGTTAGATTTGTTGAATGTGCTTTTTTTTTTTTAGCAGCAAAAATACAACTGTGTTTCTCATTTACTTTCTGTTCAAAATATTTTTTGCTCATTAAGTACCCGTGACTTCTTTTTGCATTCCTCTGACTACTTTCCTTTTATCTCAGAGAAGTAAAAGAAATTTTGTGATAGGTCTGGATTACACTGGAACCCTTGTATTTTGTAAATAGGCATTTATACTTGTGTTTTACTTAAAGCATGTTTCTGTTTTCTTTACTGTTTATGTGCATACCTTGTGACTGAACTGCATGCCCTTTACAGATGCATAGCTCCACTGGAGGTGGATTTTGTGACTGTGGGGATACAGAGGCATGGAAGGCTGGACCAGTGTGTACTAAACATGAGCCTGGAGCATCAGGTTCTCCAAAAGAAGTAAGGATGTTGCTTAAATAATAAGTATTGACTTAAAAAATATATATATATATATGTATAAAAAAAAAAAAAATGCTGATTCCGTGTATGAAAGTAAATATTTTGTATAATTGATGTGGAATGTCCAGGAAGGTCAAATCCTCGGTGAAGTTCTTCACTGGAGTAAAACACATTGATTGGACATTTGTTGTCTCCAAGCAGAAAGCAAAAACAAAAGTGCAGTCCTGACTGCCTTTCTTGTCTTTTGTCTTTGTTTCTGAACCTTAATGGCAGTGTCTCACTCCTCTTTGCTACTTGTATCATTTGGTTCCTATTTACAAATAGTTTCCTAGTGTATGGTATGTTTTTAGATGTAGTATATATTATGGATTTCACCTGTGTCTCACAAAAAAAAAAAACATTGAACTTGTTATATATGGGTGTAAGAGGTATATAATGTTCTTTGAAGAGCTGCTCCCTTTTTCAGCACAGGAATGGGTTGCTAATAATTTTTATTAGTATTTGGATCATTTTTTAGTATTTTCTATTCATGTTACAGTTGATTACAAAACTGGCTGGTTTTTTTTATAGCGGTTTAGGTCAACATATGAGGTGTTAAATATGCTATTTTTGGATACAAATTATTCAGTGTCGAGCCTCTAAACAAAGGTTGCCAATTGTTAAAGCTTTGGTTGTACATGATTTTTGTTAACTGTATGCACTTAAGAATTGCAGATAGCTTCTGCAGGACAAGAGGGGAAAAATGCAAGTTATTTGTTCCAGCAATTCTACTTATAGCCTGTGCATTCTGTGAGTGTGAGACTTGAAGGTTGGTGGTAGCATCAGTTACTCAGAAATAGATTTCTAAGCTCTTTCCTTAAAGGATATGTAAGAAAACTATGTAACACTGGTGTTTCACACTCTAGTGTTATGTGCTTTACGTTGTTAAGTCATACCCTGGCAGATTTTTATCACTCTGCATTCACATTTTAAATTGCAAATATTCAAGTAATTGATTTTTGGTAATCTCACCCCAAATGAGCTGAACTTGTTAAAAACAAACAGATTTTTGCGTGGAAAGAAAGAGGCTGCCTAGAGCCACTTCCATTTCTGTTCGCCTGCTTATATTAACATCTAGGTGGAGTCCTGTAATATCCAAGGTTTGGGGAGTGCTATCATTACAAAATGTCATGGAAACAACATAATAAACTTTTAAATCTCATTAAGCTGCTCCACCTGCATTCCAAACTCAATGTGTTGTTTCTGTGTAAGAACACAGAAGGCCAATTTAAAGTAAAAAAAAAAAAAAAAAAAAGCTGATTCTTTAATTTCAAAACATGAAGTAAGATGAATAGGAGCTGATTGAGACCTATATTAGTGCTTATGTGCAATCAGAGTAGCTTCCAGCTCTTGCTGTTCTTACCAGTCTATGTGAGAATTTTTTCTCAAGCTAAGAGCCCCATGTCTATCTGCTTCCAACTGACAGGATTCTTGGTATCTTTACAGTAGGTGAACAAACAGTAGTTGGTTATGAATGCTGCTATAAGTTTCATCATCATTAGAATGGAAGAAAAGCCTGATTTAAAAAAAAAAAAATAAAATTACAGAACTGGGAAAATTGAAATCTTTTGTCAGATATTGGTGGCTGGTTTGATAAATGCTAACATAACAGTATTCCTTGTAAACACAAAGCTGTTGTTATTCTGTTTTAGCTATATTTTGTGCCCTATAACTCAGCGTTTGTGGGTTAAGTTCCTACCTGTGTATGATGACCATATGTTGCTACCTGCCTTATGCTAGAAACCATCCTGGACACTTTTGAGGACTAGATCTTAGCGTGTAGTAAGTTAGAAGCAGTAGTGCTGTGAGATGTGAACTCCAGTAAGGGGCTGATGCAACTCTGTACACTGTCATCTCCTCACCATGTTATTCTAAATCTATTCATGTTGACATCAGATCTGAAGGGAACTTAGTGGATTTCAAAGTGAAATAGCGAGGAAAAGGAGCTTCGTGCAATCAGCATGGGATTATGCTAGTAATAAGGCATTCTACCAACCCTTTTTAAAAACTTTTTTTCACAGAGTTCTGAATGTCAGTTAAATGAAGAAGTTATGGAGCACTCTAGGAGGGTATTTCCCTCCGTGGTAAAATACATTGTAGATATGCTTATATGGGAAGAAGAGAAGGAGCTGCCTCCGGAGCTCACAATTAGGTAGGGAGCATTCCCAGCTTTTTCTATGTGGTGTTAAACTTTTATATAACTATTTTGCATGCTGGTATTACTGCAGTTATGATAACTTAGTGTCAAAATCTCTGTAACTAACTCTATAGAATCTTTGATCTGCAATTATACTGAGAAAAACTACTATTTTTTTCTGAAAAAAATAGTGTGTGATGGTACTCTAATCAAAACAGAAAAAAACCTTTCTTTGTTAATTTAAGTCAAATGGGATTGTAAAATGGCAGATAGAGGAAATAAAAATAGAATATTCAAGAAACTTAAAGATCTCTTCTTTGTACTTTCTTTGTGGTTTCTGTGGCTTATTTTGGTATAGACGGTGTGGTTTTGGTTGTTTTTTTTAACATGAAAAAAAGCTTAATTTTGTTATGTAATTTGTATTTGCTATTTATCTGAAGCTTTCAAGTAAGCTGTTGTTTATGTTGGATAGAACATAACTTACATTTTAATCTTGAATTGTATGTTGAAATGTTGGCTTTTTCCCAGTAGGGAGAAGGTTGACAGCTACTACTGCGTCCTTTTCAATGATGAACATCATTCTTATGATCACGTCATCTATAGCCTGCAAAGGGCGCTTGGCTGTGAACTTGGTGAAGCCCAGTTGCACACTACTGCTATAGATAAAGAGGTTAGTGTATTCTGGATGTGAAAAAAAGTCATTTTTAAACATTAAGAAGGGCTACTGTAATCTCCTGATGGTTTGTGAAGGAAGTTTCAAAATTACTGTTTTTTTTCTTTGTGACAGAACTCATTTTGTTGAGGTGAAGAGTTGATTTGACTGAAGTTGCTCTTGTGCTGATGTATCTTGTTTACTTTTACTAAGTTCTCAGAATAGATATCTGTGTTTCAGACAAAAATATTAAAAAAAAAAATAAACAACAGTTTACAACAGTAATATGCTTATTCAGTTACATTTAATGAGAATTACAGTTTATATTTTGCAAGCCTTAGTCTGAACCAGAACAAACACCTCTTGAAAATTGTAAAGCTTCAAATTAAGCAAATAAAATCAGAGGCTCCAGGAATGAGCATCAGTGAACCTGACAATTTTAGTACTTTTTCTCAAACCACAGTTCCAACCAGTGTCTCAAAACAAGAGACCTTAATGTAATTTTTTTCTGTTTGGGAGGGGGCACATAGGGGGAGAAAAACAGTGTAGGAAAGAATGTTGAGTGTGTGACTTTTCTTAAATGCTGCTGTAATTTTTTTAATTTCATCTCACAAAAATATAAAACTGAGGCATTTACACACAAGCAGATGAGCTTCCTCTCGTGAAATTCTCCTGTTGAAAACTTGTTTTGGAAGTCTGATATCCTTTGAGTGAAATTTGAGGACTAAGCTGATGCTATTCTTGGCTTTGTTGAAAGAACTATCAATCCTACACTTTTAATGCATCCTACTATTTCACATACAAGAGTAAGAAATAATAGGAATGGTTGTAGAAAAGCAATCCAAGATGAGTATTTTTGTGTTAGGAAGAAAGTTGATCTGGTTTCTACTTATAGCATTCTGGGGAAACTGATTTCTTCTAATTTACTCTGAGCATGAATTTTCATTATCTACCAACACTGATGTTACTGGAACTTTAAGCTATGCCATTTTAGTTTAATCAAATAGCTTTTTCCTAAAGATAATTACATTGATTTTTTATTTGCTTCAAGATGTCTAAAGGCACCATAAGTGATGTTGGTCTCAGTGGACACAAGTAATAAAACAAAGCCGCAGTCAAGCTTCTGTGACGCTTAGATTTTATTTCAGGTTGTTCTCACTCAACATTTCTTTCAACAGGGTCGGAGAGCTGTTAAGGCAGGACATTATGCTTCTTGTCAGGAAGCAAAGGAAGAAATCAAGGTAACTTCCTAAAATGTTTTTCTTAAGGTTAAAAAAAAAGAACAAAACAAATCAACCTCATTATTAATGCTGAAAATTTGTGTATTGTACAGTATGTTAAGTGCTTATGTTCTTGTAAAGCCTGTCTGTGAACTTCTTGACACAGAATTTATCCCGCTACGTTTGGTATGAGTAGATTTCTTCAGAAAAAGAAACATCTTGTGAATTTTTTCATTAGGTTTGCTATTAACATGTGCTTTGGAGAGGTAATAGGTGGTGAAAATCCATGTTATTATTATTCTATATCTACTAATACTCACCTGACTCCTAGAGGCATTCTGAAAATGTTTCACAACGACCACTTCACGTGGAAGTTCTGCATGCTGATGTCATGGCTCACCAGAAGTTTGCCTTGCGCCTTGGTTCTTGGCTGAACAAACTCATGAGCTATTCAAGTAAGTGTAACTAACTTTGTTACAGTAATGCCTGTCAGATTTTTAGTGAGTAATTCTCTCAATGTTTTCAGCACTTATATACGATACCTCCTTAATAAAATACAGTTATGTTCCTCCTAATTAGTAAATAAATCATATATGAATATGGGTGCTGATATTCACTGATATGGTATGAGTAGTAGTACTTCATTGTTCTTTCTTGCTAAAGTGCTTTTCCCCTGCTTGAGCTTCTGTTTTTCTAGAAGCTTTTATCCTCAGTTTCAGCATTACGTGCCTTATTTCAGTGATAGGTGTTTACTTAAAAGCTGCGATCCCAAGTGCTGGTGGAAAGCTGCAGTGAAAGCTGCATCAGTGAAAAGCATATATCTGCTTGAATTAATTCCTGTTTTAGGTTTGATATCTGTTAATTAAACAGGGTCAGAAAAGAAAAAAAGCAAACAGTCTTAATTTAAAAATGGGTCCAGTAGTAAGAAGTCTGCTTTAAGCTTTCATATGCTGTTCTAGTGCTCGATGACATTTCTGCTTTTAAAGAATAAAGTGTGTTATTTCTTGTCTGAATCTTGCCGGATCTTTGATACATGTTGGACTGTGGCAAAACACAAGTGTGACAACTAAACCATTATCAAATTCATTTTAAGATGAATTTTAAAATATCCTTCTGCTTCAGTGGATTGATTAAATACTCTTAGTAAAATTAATAGGAGAAAATGTTAGGATAGCATATGGGAGTATGTCTACTGGGAAAGATAGTTAAGAACTGATTGATAATTAAATACCTTCTTGTTTTTTTCCTTTTATTATTTGAAGAACAGAATTCCATAATTTTCATCTTATTCGTTCATAGCGTTTAATTATCAGGGTATTCTTGTACAAATTACTAGTTTTATATCCCTATAGGTGACTTTCGCAAGATCTTCTGTCAAATATGTCTAAAAGATGATACTGGATCTGAAAAGCCATGCTTCATAAGCCAGTTAATGCTTTGGGATGCAAAACTTCATAAAGGTTTGTGTTGCAATGTTCTTCTGAACTGAAGAACATTTTTTTTTAAATATATTGAACAAATATTTTAAAGTAATTGTTATGTATGTTTTCATTGTCTGTATATTATGCTTATTTTGATACAGTTTTTGTCTTAGGGCTGAGATTATTGGTATTTGCCTTCTTAATTTTTCCTGCTTTATGTATTTTTAAGAAACTTTTCACAAAATATAGCTTAAATGTGAGTGACTTTGTATTTAAAACACAGCAAGTATATATTGTGAAATGTCAAAAGTAAAAGAAATGATGTGAATAACATTGTCCACATACTTTGTGACAATATCAAGGCTTGTAATTATTGTTAAGTATTATTTTTAAGAATCTGTTCTTTTTCACAAAATGCTGCATCTTATTAAAATAAAGTGAATTATTGGTTTCTCACAGGAGCAAGGAAGGTTCTTCATGAGCTTATCTTCAGTAGTTTTTTCATGGAAATGGATTACAAAAAACATTTTGCTGTGGAATTTGTAAAGGTAAATATTTGCTTCTCATGTTATTAATGTTTAGTAGACTTGTAAAATTTCCCCTAAACCTAGAAATTGTTTCAATAGAAATAAATTGTGATCAAGGAGAGTTTTAACAATTTACTCAGTCTTTGTAGAGTGTATTAATCCCTTTTGTCTTTACTTTCTTCTTTATGATCATGTAGGTATACATACAGATTATGAATATAGTACTGTATTTTCTGTGTAATTTGAAACAGCTGTTGAAGTGCAACTGAAACTGGTCAGCTTTAAAAAAAAAAAAAAAAAAAGTGTAATAGTTGGCTCTACAATATAAGGCTGTTTTATTGAGACTTTAATTTTGATAAGAATGACTGACACTGACCTGAGAGTAAAGAGAATAGATGAAGGGTCATTTATGTACATCTTTCTAAACAGCTCTTAAGCAACTGCCAAAGCTTGTTTATTGGAGAAGGAGGAAAACTTGGTTTATAATATTTTACTATCTTATTCTTTTTACGTGGAGAAGTTTGGCTGTAGGAGATTAAAAATAAATAAATAAAATAAAAAGGGAGAGCAGTTTGTGCTCATCTTCACTACTAGGGGCACACTTTAAGTACTGAGGTATATTGAGAACATTGTGGCATTTTTATTTGAGCTACTTCTGTTAGGAAGAAGGGCATCTGAAATATAATTCTTGCTAATAAATGAAACATTTAATTCAAGCTCGTTTTATTTAATTTTGAAATATTCTCTTTTCCCAGTATTACAAGACATTGCAAAAAGAATACATCAGTGATGATCATGACAGAGTTCTTTCTGTGACAGCGCTCTCAGTTCAGATATTCACTGTACCTACTCTGGTACGTACTGCCTGTCTACATAGGAATGTAAAACAAACATGAAAATTGCTAGCAGTACTACAGTACTTTTCTGTTTGGCAGTCTATGTATTGCTGAGTTGAAAATGAATCATTTTGCCTTTTAAAGTCAATATGCAAGTACAGGCATTGAGTATACGTGCAATTTTATTACAGAAGATAATGGGAGTGTAAGTAAGTGGATGTTTTGGGCAGAGTCATTCTCTGCATTAGCTTGTGTTTAATTTATTGTTCATGTTAAAAATGATGTAAAAAACATGGTTAAAAGCATTTTTGTGTGAGTGAGATGTTAGTGTGTGTGGGGAAACTAGTATACTTGTTTTATTATTGTTTTTTCCTTGATTTTTTTTTTTTTACGTTGGTACTCCAGGCCTTTTCTGTGATCCTCCTAGGTCCATTGGATAATGTCTGTTACATTGATGCTGTCAGAAAAAAACAAAGGTGCCAAGTTGTTACAAATTGTTTTCATACATAGTAAATATTATCAGAGCATGAATGGCTTTTTTAAGTGCTTGAATAATTTGTAGTTAAGATATATTTGAAGGAAAAACTTTGACAGTTCTCTCAAACAGAAATAGGGGAAATAAAGGGCTTTAATTTTTTTCAGGCTCGCCACCTTATCGAAGAGCAAAATGTAATCACTACCATTACAGAGACACTCCTGGAAGTCCTTCCAGAGTATCTAGACAAAAATGACAAGTTCAACTTCCAAGGTTACAGCCAGGATAAACTGAATAGGGTATATGCAGTAATATATGACCTCAGGTAAGTATGAAGTTGACAAGCTTAAGCAATTCATAAAAATTTGTAAGTAGGATGAGGTCTTGGGTTACTGTAATGAATTAAGTAAGGTAAAAGCAAAACAACCAAGTATCTTGGAATTAATTTCATTTCGAGTTGCACCAAGCACCTCTAATGTTTGGTGAAAATTTTAGAGTTTGAGATCAGTTGTAATGTAATGTGATGATGATGTTGAGCATTTTAATACAATGAATACTTTAAATACAAGCATAAGCAAAAGAGAATTCTGAACAAAAGAAGATAATGTTTTCTTTGGGGACAGGTATGTTTTAATCAGCAAGCCTACAGTATGGACAAACCGTCTGAGGGAGCGCTTTTTAGAAGGATTTGTTTCTTTCCTAAGGATTTTAACTTGCATGCAGGTATGATACATTCACATAATCTCTTCCATATAACCATATGCTTATATAAAGACAGTATAATGCTTTTGTTTGATATAAATATGCAATTAAAATAAATACTTACATTTTGGATGGGTGATGAAGTAATGCTTAATTGTAGAAGTACTAGTCAGCAATTGTAGCTACAGCCAGACCACCTGGATTTTACCATTTGCTTATGAGATTTTCTATTACTTTAAGCCCTATGGCCATTGATTTTAGTGTTTTTATTTTGTGGCATCTCTATTTCAGGGAATGGAAGAGATAAAAAGACAGATTGGTCAGCACATTGAGGTGGATCCTGACTGGGAAGCAGCCATTGCTATACAGATGCAGCTAAAGAACATACTCTTGATGTTCCAAGAGTGGTGTGCCTGTGACGTAAGAAAACTTGTTGTCTGGAATTCATGTATGCGTGGCATCTTGAATATTTCTGAGTACTTCTAAAATGGTAACTTTTTAAAAAAGCTGACTGTTGTATAATACAGATCCCCACAAAAAGGAGTATGAAAGAATTGACATGTGGTATGATGTGGAGAGGGAATCCCAGAATATTATCGTCTAGCTGACAGAATTGCATAGAATATCTGACAAATTGTGAAGAAGTGTTTCTCAGCATTCATAGTGATCTGTCAAGTTTTAAAAGTTTTGAAGTATATGGTGTTCATTCTGAACACCAAATTTCTGCAAAAGTGAACTGCAGAAACTTCATACTAATTGTGTAATTAGCCTGTAAGTAATCTTATTTGGTTCTGGAGTTCATCCCTCTGCTGGCGGAAGGGAGGAAATTGTCTAAAGAACAAAGAAGTTCTTTTGAAATGGATTTCTTTTTCTTTTTAACGAGAGAAAGCAAGAATTACAACAAATGAAAATGTGATGTAATTTGGGATGCAAACTTTGCAAACCTATAAAACAGTGCAGCTTAAGTAAGCCCATTGATTTCAGAGCGTTTGAGAGAGCTGCTCTTGGAATACTCTTAGCTAGCTTCAGCTGGTGCTCCTTTGCTCCAGTCCAACATTTTTCACTGTTAAGTGACAATAGTAATTATGGCGTGGATTTTAAGCAACTATTTGCAACACTGGAAAGAAACAGATGATGAAGTTTCGTGCGTATGTATCAATTTAAAATGCAAATCTCTGCATTTGTTTGAAATTTCAGGAGGAGCTGTTGCTGAGGGCCTACAAAGAATGTCATAAAGCTGTGATGAGGTGCAGCACAAACGGCCGCTCACGGGAAAAGACAGTGTTTCACTTATGTGGCCATACTTTGGAGAGTAGACCTTACAGAGTGTCTTCAGATCCTGTCAGCATACATTTACCACTTTCTAGGACTCTGGCAGGTAGGTGTTTTGTTTTTGCTAGTTATTTGAATTAAGTTTCTCACCCATCCCTTTCTTTATTTTAGGAAACATTTAGATAAAATGCTTCACAGATCACTTGCTTTGTGACATTCTCATGAGGTGACCGTTTTCCTCAGATGCTCCACTATTGGCATTTTTTCTTAAAGGAGTATTTGTTGTGTTGGAGGACATTTTTAAAGCAGGAGGGAGAGAAGAAAGCAGAAAGCCTAGGAGGAAATATTTCGTGTTTTAACAAGCAGAGATCTTCAGTTCTGTCTGATCTGTTTTTGAATTTCTGTCCTTCTGTTCCTTTTTCTAACTTTTATACCAAAATGAATGTTCATTATTTCTAGATGCTGGTTTTATTTTCCAGCCACTTATATCTTAGGACTGTTAAAATGTTCCTCCTAAAAGACAAATGTTTGCAGCATGCCAGGACAGATTTCCAGTCAGAATCCATGGGGACCACAGTGCGTGATCACCGCTTTCTCTAAAATACAAGTGAAATCATGTCTACAGCTTAATAACGACATTTTATCACATCATTTGATAACAAGATACCATCTGTTTGAAATTCCGTTATTAGTGACAGTATGTTATGATATTAAATATGATATTAAAAACTTGATGATATTTATTATCTCTATTTAAATGGTTTTAACTTATTCTTCAAATGAATAGACTTATTCATAAAATAACGGATTGTAAAACTGGTTAAAACTGTTGTGACAATGTAACAGTTTATCAGACTTAAAGAGAAAAAAGTAGTGCTAAGTTTTTTTCTGAGTAAGCCTTTTGTAATTCTGAATTGTAGGTAATTTCACTAAAATTTTGAAGTGGTTGAAGTAGAAACTTGACTGATCGGATTTATATATATATTTTTTTTCCTGTTTGTTGTGCAGGTCTTCATGTACAGTTAAGCAAGACTGGAACCATCTCAAGATTGCATGAGTTTGTTTCTCCTGTAAGACTTTTGTTTTTCAAATGCTTCGTATGATTTATACTTGAGAGGGGAAAAAACGTGTGTTATTGAAGTTACAGAATTTTGGGCTATTTTGCTATTTTGGACGTGTCTCTGTTCATTAACACTTTCTATAAGATCATTGACAAACACAACTCTTCTTTAATTCTAGGAAGAATTTCAAGTGGAGCTGCTAGTAGAATATCCTTTGCGGTGTCTTGTTTTGGTTGCTCAGGTTGCTGCGGAGATGTGGAGAAGGAATGGTCTCTCCTTGATAAGTCAGGTACTGCACCTTAGGTTGAACAGTGGTGATCTTAATGATCTTGATCTTAATGGCGTATGCAAGTGTTTCTCAGTAGTGTTCTTGATGGTAGTTTAATCCAGGGCAGAGGTAGGTTATGGATGTTACTTCTACAGAAATTCACAAAATTTCTAGATGGGAATTTAGATGATTTATTTTACCATTGTTCATTCTGAAAGAAACATAGAACTTGCCTTTAATAAAAATGCTTTAAAATTTGAAGTCTCAGATGTTGACTGGTGCAGATTTGATAGTGTGTTACTTCATTATATCTCTGCTTAAATTTTGTTTTCATATTTCTCAGGTATTCTATTATCAAGATGTTAAGTGCAGAGAAGAGATGTATGATAAAGACATCATCATGCTCCAGGTATAATGTTCTGAATCATTGCTTGCTTAACATGACATTTTAATGGATTTGGTTTTTATCTTAAATATGTATCTTTTCAAAATATTTTCTTGGTAAAAGGGTATTTTTCATAATGCAGAATTGTAATATCTGATATTCATACTGTTATTATTTGCAGATTGGTGCATCTCTTATGGATCCGAACCAATTCCTATTGCTCTTGCTCCAGAGATATGAGCTTGCTGATGCTTTCAGAAAGATCAAGCTCACCAAAGATCAGGTAAGTGTCAAGTATTTCTGCTGCTTAGTTTATTTATTTTGAATGGAAGGGCACAATAGAAAAACTAGCTACTGTTGCTTACTGTATTTCTTTTTTTAACTACACTAAGTGAGTCAACAGAGGATGTAGCGGTTAGATAAAATACAACATCACAAAATGGTTTAGGTCAGAAGGGACTTCTGGAGGCCATCTAGTCCAACACCTGTTCTCAAGCAGGTCTACTTACAGTGGGTTGCCCAGTACCATGTCCAGGTGGCTTTTGAAAAATCTCAAAGGAGGGAGAATATCTTGGAGTATTTTGAAGGGTGGTTACCCCACAACCTCTCTGAATAACCTGTTCTAGTGCTTGGTTGCCGACATGATTAAGAAATGTTTCCTGATGATCAGAAGGAAATGATTTTGTGTTCCAGAACAGACTTTCATAATTTGAAATGAGCAGACAGATTTTGCTCTCTGGAACATGTAGTTCAAAGTGCTTTCCAATGAACTAGGCAGTTCAGGAAATAGCAGTACTGGCATGGCATAAGATTGAATGAACAGATCAGAACAGTGACCATCCTATCTAGTAAGTGTCTTCTCTACATATGTTTCTTCAGCTTTTTGTTACTTTTTGTTCTGCATTCAGAAGGTAGAATGATTGCTTGTGCAAACTGATTTCCTTGTTACTAACTTCACTTCAGAGGTTGTCCACTAAAATACAGGAAGATTACTTATATACAGTATGTAGTGTCTGTCCTTCTGTTCTTGATGAAATTTCCCTGGATTATTGTGCCACTTCTTGAGCCTTGAAACTTTTATGTAACTCTTCATTTGGAACTCATTTATATGTTGTTTTTTTTTTTTCCTGAACGTGGGACTTGCTCTTCAGTTGCAGAATAGATGCACTGGAAGTGCAGGCTTTTGTTCAACTCATTACAGTGGAGAAATCTTTTCACAGTACAGTGCTTCAGTGATGTAGTACATCTGAGGTCAATCTTACTTGATGGATTTCCATATAAAAAAAACCCTAATTTCTCTCATTCTTGTAGGATTTGATCAAACAATGTAACGTACTAATAGAAGAAATGTTACAGATTATCATCTATGTTGTGGGTAAGTTATTTTTTTTCCTCTCTGGTATTATGATAATGATGAATAACTACAGTTGAAAAGAACAGACTTGATTTACTTTTTTAAAAATACAGATTATTTGGGAAGGATAGTAGAAAATGCTTTTTTTTTTTTATGTAAATGGTTCAGTAATTTGAGCATTTGTCAACTGAAAGCAATAGCTTTATATAATAAAAAAGTTAATAAGTTTACTCCATAACTAGCTACAAGATATATCATAAGAAATTCAGCCCATTTTGTTAGGAAATTAGGCCAAAAAATCCTGACATCTTCTCTCACACTGGATATAGTAGAAGTTTATGTTCCCCAAATGCTATAAATCTCAGCAATAGCTTTACTTCCTTGCAAAAGTCAGAATTGCTTTGTAACTATCGTGTTTGCCATTGTCTTCCTTTTGATCAAATCTGATAGGAGAAAGATATGTGCCTGGTGTGAGTAATGTGACAAAGGAGGATGTTATCATGAGAGAAATCATCCATCTACTGTGTATTGAGCCAATGGCTCACAGTGCAATTACCAAATCCTTGCCTGAAAATGTGAGTCCTTGTTTGTTACTTTTTTTAACTTAATTAAACTTCTCTATTTTTATGTCATTCTCCTGTTAATATTCTGTAACTTTGTGTGAAACTACTCTATTTCTTAGTATAAAAGTCAAAGTTTGCTTGAGAAATAAAATACAACATTGCAAGTGATGTTCTGCACCTTACTGATGTGAAGGTAGACATAATGAATTCAAGAGTGGTGTAATCTGGAAAGGTCTGGGGGGAAGACGATTCATTTTGAAGAAGGGGTGGTTTTTTTCTTTTTTAACTGTATTTAGGCACAGCTCTCTTCATTTCAAGAGCAGAGATTTTTGAAGTCATTTTTTGGCCGGTGGAACCATGCAGTTGAATTCTGTTCTGCCTATTCTACTATCAATAAATGTGATTCTATACTTGCGATCTCTTTAACTGGTGCAATGAAAAGTTGGATTTGTCTGAAAGCATACATTTCTCTAGTAGTATTCTATCTAAATGCTAAAAATTCACTCAAAGAGGAGTGGAGTGGATTAGATCTTGGAGCTTGTGCAAGTTTGCAGGGCTGAAGATCAATGTAAAAAATAAAAAAAAAATAAAGAATTATTTGCAAATGTAATACCCTGGAACCAGTAACAGGTGATTCACAGTCACTATTTTTAGTGAGTAAAATTCTTTTTTTCCACTCTGAGCTTAGTAAAGTCAGTGCTCTGTTTAGGAATCGAATGAAATTTTATATAATGGGTGAAAGTATTTAACTGTCTTCAATAATTTTTTGCAGCTTGTTAGTTATGGGTATCTGCTTTCTGAGTAACAATGGGCAAAATCTATTAATGAATTATAGAATTGCTCTGAATTTTTATGTCTATTTTTGTTATAATATTGAAGTGATTTGAATCATGACATGGTTATGCCAAAATAATTTTTTTTTTTACCAGGAGAACAATGAAACTGGCTTGGAGAATGTAATTGATAAAGTAGCAACATTTAAGTAAGTTCTTAACGCTTTTTTTCATAACTAGCTTGAAAATGAAATACTATATCTTTGTCTTATAAGGGTTAAACAAGTTGCACTACACTCTCTATTCAGCTAATACTGTACTGTCTTGAACTACATACATTGTCATATGTGCTGAGGAAAGAAAAGCATATTGAATATCTGTAGCTGCTGTTTCTTTCCTTCAGACCCAGTTTGAGGGGCCTTGCAACTTTAGTGATGTTAAGTGGGAAGATGTTCAAAAACTAATTTAATTTCAGAAGTAGTTGGGAACCATAACAACTTGTTATATCTTTGATCACCCAGTCATTGATTCAGATGTTATTTGTTTGCTAACTTTCTCTAGCTTTCAGATGAAGGATACAGAGTCTTTGAGGAAAAACTAGTTCAAATGTCTGCTATATTTTTGTCACAGAAATGTCTTTTTATTTTAATTGGTGTAGTGTACCTTTTTTCAGTTTCATGTAGCTTGCTTATATTTAATCAGTGGCAACTATAAGTTTATATATATATATATGTGTGTATGTATATTCCTATAATATGTAGGAATTTTGCTGTGTGAATTGTATTTAAGAAATTGCTGTTTTGGCTCTTATAGATGGGAGGTAGCTCTCTGTATTGCTTGTTTTATACCTTGGTTAAAGAAGTAGTGGATTTTTATACAAGAACATCCAACGTCTAAAATTGTAAGCCATACAGTTAAATGAATTTACCTGTCTTCATGGTGTGGTGCAGATCATGGAGACATAAATATTCTAGAACTAGGTTGGATTTAAGGTAGTCAACAATCTTGAAAGACTTAAAAGCTGTATGCAGTCTGTTCTTTGTAAGTTAACAAAGTAACCATCACCATTTCTTTTCTTAATAGTTTTTTCTTGGAAAACAAATCCTGTGTCTGGTTTATTTACTTCCAGAGATACACCAAACTTTAATTACTAATCTCTATCATGAAATATTTCTTTTTAAGGAAACCAGGTGTGTCTGGACATGGAGTTTATGAACTGAAAGATGAATGCTTGAAAGAATTCAATATGTTCTTTTATCATTATACTAAGACCCAGCATAGCAAGGTAGGCTAATGTAAGATTCATTCTCAAAGGTAAAAATTGTATGTGCTTATCAGTGGCTGAAGGATCTTGCTGAATCAGAGGAGTTAATGGAGTTTGAAGTAGATGATTCAGGAAAGAATGTATGCGGAACTTCAGTTCTGAACCTCTAAAGCAGCTTACACTGTTGATACAAATTGTTGCAGTGTGGCTTGTGTTTGTATTTTTCCCGTGTCGACTTATGTATTAACTCTGCTAACTGTTAAAGCTAAGAACAGAATGTACCGAGAATTATCTTTGAACTGGAAGAAAGCAAACATTGCTTTTTTTTAAATCTTACTGAGGAAAAAATGTATGTTCCTCAAATTTCTTACAAGAAAATGAAGTGCAAAATTAAGAATCAATAAGCAGATTTCATACAAGATTTTAGTTACATGACCAAATATTAACTGTATATCTTGCCTTTTCTGTAGGCAGAACACACACAGAAGAAAAGAAGAAAACAGGAAAACAGAGATGAAGGTAAAAATTTAGAACTAATGTCTCAACAAATGGGATAATACAGTGGTACATGTAGTTGTGTGTAAAATGAGCGTTGATAGATAGCTTGTGACTTGCAATGGATAGCTGAGTTCACGTTAAATGTATTTTTACATTAGTATTTGTAATTGATTAATGCTTGCTGATTTTTGTTTTTGTGATTTAGGAATTTTGGAAATTTTAGTTGAACTTGCATGTAGACAAATCAACATGGCATAGTACTTAACTGTTCAGTTTATCAGTGGGTCTTTTATGGTGAAGTAAATAGAAGTCAAGAGTTATTTTTGTGAGTGATTTCTCTGACAGACTTGAGAGGTAGTAGTGCTGTCTGGAGAAGTATGATGCAGGAACCAGTGCCTGTTATCTATTGTATAAGTAGCTAATCTTATATTCTGTAAATAAAAATAATTCTTAAGTCTGCAGAATCATCCAAGCTACATATTTCTATTGTAACACAAGCATTATTTTACCTTTGAATTTACTTTTACCCATTCAAGTCATGAGCATTAATTGAGTAAATTTGAGGAAGACTTTGTAAACTATTAAGTAAACAATTTAATGAAATAAACTGTTTCCTACTTTTACTAGATGCAATGGATAATTATTTTTTCTCTTCCCATGTTACTGTTCCACTTTAATTCCATAATCTTTGTAACATCCTCTTACTTAACTGACAGCTGGTTTAAAAAGAAAATTGTATCAGATGGAAAACATACTATGTATATGTTTGTGATACATAAATGATACGAGGCAGTGCTAAATATTGAAGACTTGCATTTTTAGACACAACTAAATATTGTGATTGCTTGTTTAACTTAGTTTGCATATGTTTTATGTAAGAACTTCTTGATAGTGCTTAGTTTATCTAAAGACAAAAGCTGATTTAAACATTTGCATTTGAGCATGTTTTTATTAATTGTCTTAAGTCTGGATGTTCTTTTGCTGATAGTATTGTGCTTGCCTCCTCTCCTTTTTGCTGCAATTGTTGAGATGGCAGTATGTGTATGAATGTATTTGCATACCTCAATTTCCTAGCATTGCCACCACCGCCTCCTCCAGACTTCTGTCCTGCATTCAGTAATGTGGTGAGGATTTTGAACTGTGATGTAATGATGCACATACTGCGAACCATCCTTCAGAGAGCAGTAGAACTGGAAACACACTTGTGGACTGAAGCTATGATTCAAATGGTATGGTTAGTTTTGGTCATCTTCCCTCCATGGTTGCTGTGTTGTCTTGTAACAGCTTCTGATAAGGTCAAAATGTGCAAAGGTAAACTTTGAATGATAAGAAGTGACTTCATGGTCTCCAGACCTGTTTTTATAAATCATAAATGAAGAAAATATTTATCTCTACCATAAAATAGAAATGCAGAACAAAAATGTTATTTGCAAATGTTCTGTACTGCTTCCCCACCTTGGTAGCTTCTTCACTGTGTTTTAGTATGTAGTTCTCCTTACCTCATCCTTGTCGTGAAATAACCAACACACTTGATCACATTAGGAAGACATTAATATATTATGTCATCCTGTAAACTGTAGAATGCAAAGATAGAAATATCTCTGGGATATCAGTCACAAAATAATTTTGTGAGCATTTATGTATTTTATTTTACCACAGTTGACTTAATGCTTTTAAAAAAATTGCTGACTCTCTTGATGCTTTTCTGTATTTATAAGTTCAGGACCTGAATTTATAGACCTACTGAGTTAATTTTGTCAATTAGAATACAGTTTTTTTTAAAAACAAATGGCCTTGCCTGCTAAGCTTTGGATTTGGGAAGTAATAACATACTAAATGTTTCTGTTTATAAGTAAAATTATGTGGTTCATATTTTACTAATATAGAGTGTGCAAAATTTATTAATTTTAGTGTAAGAGATATGCAGGAAACTTCATTATATTGTACATCACTATTTGTTCTTTCATGTACGATTTTTGCACCTTTTCTTATTTCTGTGTTTTATTATGGGTAAAACAAATCTATCATAGTACACTATATTAAACATTCTTATTTGATATACTAGTTCTGCAGACCTCTAGAATAAGAAATGCCATTTTTATCTTTTTAGGTGCTCCATCTCCTTTCTTTAGGGTTATTAGAAGAGAAGCAGCAGTTACAGAAGTCTCCAGAAGAAGAAGTAACATTTGATTTTTATCACAAAGCAACAAGTATGTTTAATTTTCTTGAAAAGAGTAGAACAAATTAGTGTAACTTGATTTAGTGAGAACAGGAACACCATCAGAAAAACCCTAACCTCATTTATACATTTCTATGAGAGATGTAAAAGTAATCATTTTTTCGTAATAAAACTGTACTAACAAATAACTTATGAAAAACTTCCTCTCTTCTTTTTGATGTTTTTGTCTTTCTTCTAAAAATGTGAAATAATTCTAAATGAAAAGTGTTGCGAAAGAAATCTAATTGAGGAGAGTGTTCCCATTTCTAAACTATACTTGGTTTTTTTAAAGCCAAAAAAGTTCTTAGGAGCCCAACTTCAAAGAAGAACATTAGTAGAACTCTATTTTAATGGCAAAATTATCTCATATACAGCACATACCAAGCTGGTATGAAATTCAAGGGATCCATTTATTCTCTTTGTAGCTGAAGGCAGCTCTGTTTCTGTTTTTGTCTCTAATTCTCTGCCCTTAGAAGTAGAACTACTTATCCACAATTGGGAAAGATTATACTACATTTAGATGATTAAGTAGAGTTGAGACAGAAGTGTAGCTATACAGATTGTGTTTTCATAAATGTGTGCTATATAATTAGCAATATTTTAAGGTATATACATGGCTATAAGTACAGGCTTTTTTCTCCCCTCTGAATGCATTTGCTTTCTTTGTTAAAGGAATGGGAAGCTCAGCCCTGAATGCTGTAAATGTATTAATGCTTCTGGAAAAATTAAAAAGAGTTCCTCAGTTGGAGGCACAGAAGGACACAGTCATTTGGATACTGCAGGTACACAGTGGGGAGATAAGTATGATTGGATTGTAGTAATTTGGAAAAAGCTTTTTCCAATTTAAAAATATAATAAAATTTATTTAAATTATTTATATTTTAAAGATATATTTATGTATCTACGTATATAAATATATAAAACCCACTAGGGTACCGTTTGCAGTTGCAGTAATTTCTTTAGAAGCTGAGACATGCTGGAATGTTTCTTGCCCATACATGTATTTTATGCATAAATTTTGTTCCTCGTGTTTCTGTTGCAAAATACACAGGTCACTCTGAAAGTAATGCTTCCTGTTTATTTCCATGGAAACTACATCAGATGCAAAGAGCTGCCCTTGTAAAAATCTACACCAGTGGAGGTGATCCTCTGTCACCACTGCTGAAATGTGCCACTCACCACCTCACTGTACTCATATCTGCTGTTTTGCCATTATAAATGTTCATCAAGCATCAGTGAATGATGTTTGATGAGTGATGAGTGCAATTTTTTCTGCGTGAGGGAATTAAATCACGAATACATGCACTTCTATGTCAGATGCCATTTTGTCAGGCTGCCCCTCTGCTGTCATCTGTTGCACAGTAATAAATATAACTCGATATTGGCAGGAAGATTAAGCCTCTACAGCCATACCACCAACATCCAGCTCTGTTGTGGGCCAATGCTATAAAAGAGGAGGCATTACTTTTGGAGCAGCCCTCTTTAGTTGTAATTGAACAAAGGTTTATAAATTGGGAGTGCATTTCAGAGACTGCTTGTATGAAGACTTCAGTCAGATTTATGTAATGTCTATGTTGTACATTTGATTTGGGGTATTTTTCCATCTATCTCATTGTCTTTTCCCAGCCAAAGAGATGGGAAAAACCTCTAGAGCTGTGGTGCCTTGCCCAGTGTAGAAAAATTGGGTGCAGCTTCTGCTTAGCAGGAGTTCAAATTTTGGGCCTTGGTGGCCTTTGGTTTAGGTGGCAAACAGAATTCAAGTGCTCCCGGAAAGGAGTAGAAATGAGGACAAGAATCCATAGTAAGGTTCCAAAGCTATCCTTAGCTACTGAAATTTGACTACCCTGGTTTATACTGCAGCAGCAAGTTTGAAAGGTTTTTGAAGAAGTTGCTCTTGTAAAATTATAAGAGCAAAGGTAAAAAGATACTTAACACGTAATTTGCTTTTTTAACAATACGTAAATGTATTTAAAAGTATCTGAATTGGAATTTTCTTAGAATAGACAGCTGGAGAAAGTAAAAAAAAAAAAAAAAAAAAAAAAAAAAAAAAAGTAAATCTATGTCTTATTTTTAACTCATCAGACATAAGCTGCAAAACTTTCTCTTCCACACACTGGTGTTAGTGTCTATAGACTTTCCATTATTCACTCTCTCTCCTCCTGGAGGTAAGCTAGCATCTGGTGTTCAGATGTCATTCTGATGAAAGAGCTTTAGCTCTTTAGAAATATTAGTGTTGGTATAATTCTACTTTCCCTTATACTCAGTAGTATTCTTCAACTGCTGGGTTGTTTTTGTAACAGAAGAGTAGGGCAGTTGATTTCATACATTTGAAAATCTGAAAACAATGAAACTATGTATCAAGAAGTTTGATCTTATATTGTTGCAACAGCCAATTTGCATTTGGTTTTTAACATGCAACTCTTTTGTAGATGTTTGACACAGTGAAAAGAATGAGAGAAAAATCTAGTTTGACAGCAGTAGTGGCTCCGTCAGGCTCAGAAACTGCAAAAGGTGATGAGGTAATAATACTAATAAAGTTCAATAGAAGCTTTAATGTTTTTAATTGCATTTTGAAGGAGGTGCATGATTTTATTATGCAAAAATAGTCATTTCAGGTATTAATTCCTAATATTGCTTACAGATGGCATTTAGATTTCAATTCTTCTGTTCATTAAAAAGAAATATGCTAAGCATGTCTCACTGAGTTAACAGTGGCTACATGAAACATGTTTTTTGTTGTGCTTGCAGTTTACTTAAGTGAGAATATTCAGGGAAAGTAAAAGGAAAAGGGAATTTGCTTGTGTCTGTTTTTGCTTTTAGCTTTGTGATTTGATCACCTTTTATTTTATTTGCGGTAGTGTCTTCTTTGTCCAACTTAGGTGATTGCTCTTTCTGTGCATCAGTGTTTACCCACTTCTCTCAGAGTAACTCCTGAATCCAGTGATGAAGTGACACAGTAGAGTGGAGTTATTACAGATTACTGCAGTCCTAAAGTTTCTTTTGACAGTAGGCAGCTGAATGAGAGAATCTAATGACTCTTAGTGTACCAAGGTTGGCCGGTTTAATCTGACACATTCTATTTGGCGATAACTTGCTGCTGAACAACTCCTGGGCAGTCATTTGTGCATAACTCCAAACTTAGCATATGCTGTGTTTCTTTTTTGAGAAAGGTGTAACGTGATAGCTAGTAAGGGAAGTGAACAAAATACAAGAAACCAGTTGATTAGTTCTCCTGCTTAGACAGAATTTTTTTTCCTGATTTTCTTGAAAAGTAATGGCATCCTGAATGAAAACTGTGCGTATGACGTAAAATTTGAGCATAAAGTTGTTGAATCAAAATTTAGTTTCATGTATCTTATCTGTGTTTTTGAATTCTACATTTTCAAGTTATGTAAATCCTTTCCTTTATAGTTCTTGAGATCATAGTAGATGAGGAAATACTGAAAGAGGAATAGTTCTCCAGTCTGCAGTAAAGAAGAATGGGGGGAATGTACAATCCTCAGATGCATAAAATTCTGCCACAAAACTAGAATAACAGTCTGACAGTGTCTTTCGCAGACAGTTCACGACAAAATCATCTTAAATTTCTTAAAGGGATATGTAGGATTCACAGTAGGAATGATGCTTAAAAGTTTCACTTATGGTGGGAATAACAACACTAGAAAGACAGCTTTTCATGTTTGCTAAAGTTTCTGAAGAATAGACAGTGTTGGCACTTAACTGACATCTCTTCAATGATTTTTATTTAAGTAATTTGATGTCAATGCATGAATGCATAGAATCTACTCATTTTGTTCTCTGTTACTTGTGATTTCTTTTACTCTAAGACACAGAGCACTCAAGATAAAGAGAAAGCTGAGCGAAAGAGAAAGGCAGAAGCAGCTAGGTTGCATCGTCAGAAGATCATGGCTCAGATGTCTGCTTTGCAGAGGAATTTCATTGAAACCCACAAACTCCTTTATGAAAACACGTTGGAGGCACAGGGGAAAGAAGATGCTATTATGGAAGAAGAAAGGTAAGAAAAAGCAGATGTAGAGTTCTGGTGGGGAAATGTTAATTACTGAATGGGATTCTGCCATGAAAAAATCCCGAGAGTCATCAAATTAGTTTCTCAAATTTCCCACCTGCAATGCTTATTTACTCTGTTAAATAATTACACATAAACTAGGTTACTTGATGCTAGAACAGTGGATTTGCTTTATAGAGGAGCATAAATTAAACTGTAAGTAAATTATTTTTTCAAATGATAAGTAATTATCTGGAGAATATAATTAGAAAGCTACTTAGTTAACATCACTGTACTTCAAGAAATGACTCTCTACCTTCTATGAGAAATTAAATATCTGGAAAGATTTTGGAAGCCACTATGTGTTACATTTAAGTTGCAGTGAAAAAACTATACTTCTTGTAGCTCTAGTTGCTGTTACTTCTTTTCATTAGTTTTTTAAATCTAATATTATATTGGAGATGTTCAGTTTAAATTGATAGAAAGGAAAAAGGTACTTCAAGAGAATGAATTGCTAACTTGCAGACTAGATAACTCAATTCTGTGTTACTCTGTAATTATATATACTGGAATAAACACAGTAGAATTTATTTGCTTTCACTGAGGTCATACACAACTCAAATTTTTTTTTCCTCTTGTACTGCTTGAGACGAGTAGGTGCATTTTAAGCTTTTCTTTTTTCCTCTGTTGAGGCTTCAGATATATAAACAGTGTTGTTTGTATTGGACAAACTTCTTAACTGTTACGGTAAATCCTGATTTGAGTGTGTATTAACATCATGTGACTTTTTTTTTACCATCTTTATAAAATCACAGGTTTACTATTACCCACTCTTTTTAGTTCTTGTGCTGAATTTCTTTGATTTTTCTTTATTAGATAATTATTCTTATAATATTGTATTTTTAAATAAGTCAGTTGCAGAGAAAATACTGCATTAGCAGACAAATAATAGGAATTGAAAGACATTTTTGCATTTACAATCAAAGGGGTCCTTGTTATTCATGAGTGGTGGATAATGAGAGTAGTGCTGCTGCATGTATGCGGAAATAGCCAGATGAGAAATGCCTTAGCTTTATGTCATAAACTTTCTGCTATGTGATTATACTTTGATAGGCAGTGTGATGCAGTGCAGCTAATAACAGACAGACTCTTTTAATATGGATGGGTATTGGTTTAAAAAAAAAAAAAAGCAGAGCTTTGTGAGTTTGAGTATGGCTTATCATTTATGAGCAGAACAGTTTAAAGAGTAGCTATCTTTAACTGTTTTAGCAGCAACATAGTTCTGGATGTATGTATTGCTCCTGTTCTAGAGATGCTTCAACAATACACTGCACTTACACCAAGAATTATGACTTATCTTAAACGCATTTGGGAAAGTAGAGAGATCTGCTGTATGGTGATAATTGTTTTTTTTTTTCCCAGGAATGGGTGATACACACTGTATCTGTAAGATTACAATAGATTTAATTCAGTCTGTATTGCATGTAATTGCCTGAATGACCTGCTGTTTGATTTCTTTCTGTTATTCAGTGTTAATTGGCTTCCATTTTTTGTTTTAAAAAAGTACTAGATTTTAACGAGGATTCATGTTTCTTCATTGTTTTGTCATTGCTTTTTTTTTGTAAAGCACTATTGTATAAAATGTGTGATGTTGGCCGTATGCCTTGAAGTCTGTTTCTTCAGGGAAAAAAATTCTTATCTTCTACGTGTGTTGTTTCAGCATGTCTTCAGGAATTGATTACTCCAGAATTGCTTTGGGTCCCAAACGAGGTCCATCCATTGCTGAGAAGGAAGTTCTGACCTGTATTCTTTGTCAGGAGGAGCAAGAAGTAAAGCTGGAAAGTGCTGCTATGGTATTATCTGCTTGTGTCCAGAAATCAACTGCCTTAACTCAGAATAGGAGCAGAATTCTTGAACTCTCAGGGGGTATGCAGTTTTCTTCTTTCAGAGTGCAAACAATTCTGTTCCTAGTGTTATGTCCTTTGAACCGAATTAAACTCTGCATTCAAATAGCTAAATGACCCACTTCTGTTTAAAAAAAAAAAAAAAAGGGAAAAATGTTAAACTGCTCTAAAATCTGTGCTTTAACATTTGAAAATGAGAAGTATATGAAGGTACAGACTTTTTCCTAGCAAATAAGAAAATGCTTTTGTTATTCTCACAAGGGGTTCAAATGAACTTAAAGATTTGGTGGGAGTGGTTACCTCAGAGGAGAAAGCAAGCAAGTGTTAACTTCTTTTTTTGTTCAAGTACACCAGCAAACTTTCACAACGTAGGAAAAATACATTTTCAGAGTGCCAATATGGTAATCATGAGGGTTCTTTCTTTCACGTTCAGGAAGTATGCTTTTCATGTTCAGTTGTGGTTTTTTAGGTTTGTCAAATTCAGGTGTATTGTTTCAAAATCATAAAAGTACACCAAATTAGATATAGAGATCTGCTGTTGTTGAGCTCAGCGTTATTTAGCTATGTTTAAGTAGAAGATCTGTATCTCAGTTTGAGTTCATACGCAGCGCAAAGGCATCAGTATGTATCAAAATACTGCTATAAAGATTTAGGCAGATTCAGTTAAAAGATAGCCTTCCCTTTGTTATTCATTCATGCTGTTTAGTGGCTTGTGAAAGTACAGTGGGTTGAAGAAATGCATTGTCTAAGGACTAGGAAAGTGCTTTGTTCATTTAGAACTAAATGAACACCATTTTTAACCAGTTTACTGTTGCATTTGGATTTTCTTGCTAGCTTGTGGAAAGCCTTCAGTAGTTTGTGAACTCTGACTTGTGATTTTGTTAAAATATTGGCCTGGAAATGCTCATGAAATCCATTTTAATTTGACTATGCAAACTGTGGAAAAAAAAATCGAATGTCTTATATATGCAGATGTTCTTTTCTGTTCATATTGATTAAAAATTGTTGCTGTTTTTAAATCTTTTTGTTTCTGCTTTGTTTTTTTATAGATACAGTAGATCCTCTGTTCATGCATCCTGACTTACCATGTGGAACCCACACAGGAAGCTGTGGCCATGTGATGCATGCAGCCTGCTGGCAGAAGTAAGGATATATCATGGCAGTTTTTTCATGTTAATTTACCTATTTTCTGAAAAGAAATCTAAATACATATTGAAAACACAGTATAGTAAGAGGATATTGAATTGAAAACTATCTACTCATCTAAAAATGAAATATGGCACAAAAGAATTTATCAACTGATGAGAAAATCCATCATCAAAAGGTTTTTGTTGCCTTTTATGACCCAGAGAAGAATCTGAGGAGGTTAAAGAAAACCAATGGGGTAAAAATAATCAAGAATAAGGAACTTTATCTAGTAGATTTTATTTTTCCTCAGTTCAGTGAGAACTGGTATGAGTCTTCTAGATGGGTGTTCTACAATAGTCCTTTAAGATGTGAAGTCTGTTATCTCCTCAGTGCTTAAAAGAAGCTGCTTAATCCCAGTAAACCCAGGAGAAAACTTGGCATTTAGACTAGAATACAAACAGTTTAATCTACGAATGCAGTTTACCCCCTGCCATGTTGAACAAACTTAATAAAAAGTAAGACAGAAGAATTGGTACATTGATTAAAAAGTATAATAGGTGTTTATTGTTTGAGGGAGCCAGGGGTTTATACCAAACGTTGGATTAGAACACAGTCTGAAATAATAATAGACCAGGTTGCTCATTTTCCAGTTTGTGGTCATCGTGTTTGCCTGTAGTTTCATGTGTAGATCACAGGGATTGGAGCTGACATTCTCTGCATTTTGAGTCCATATGGGGTCAGTAACTCTAAACAAGATAGATACTGTGAAATAATACTAGAACTTCAGTCCCACCAAGATGTTATCAACAAGGAGAGTTGGGTCATGCAAATACAAGTTATTTTATGTTGTCAAATAATATAAATATTTTCTTGATGGTTGTTTTTTGCACTTGTGCCATTTTGCTTTAAGAAGCCTGACTAAACTTTTGGTATTTATCACTTATTTTTCTATATTTATATTTTTATTAAAAAAAAAAGAAATGCTACAAGAAAGATAGGTGCACACACTTAAAATGATACAGAAATATGTTCCTTGAGTATAATACATCTGCTCTTGGCAGATCGATCCACATCTACGTAGATCTAAGTAGTACAACACTGGAGCTCAATTCCCTTGCTCTTTTTAAGAAAAGATGACTTGCTGTGTGGGTAAATGGGATTAAAATGGACAACAGGCTCTTCTCATACAGGATGGCACAGAAGGTTTGAGTATAGTCTTTTACTTATTATGTAACAGACATTCTAACTTACTAATATTCCTCCAAATTTTCCCTGCCAACTTTCTAGAGTATCTGTGCAGCCTAACAATACTGCACAGTACTCTAAAACAGTACAGGTTCAAAAGAACCTTTGTAGTTGATATATGGGAAGAGAAGACGTTTACTGCAGTAACAGTTGTTTAAATTTGGGAGAGCAGGTGTATTTTTTTGTTGATTGTAACAGATTGTTTTCATAAATACTCTGTAATATAAGGACCTGTCAATCACCCCTGCATACAACCTTCTTCTTATTAGATAAATTATATTTTTTTCTTAAGATATTGTACTTCAAAGCAAAATAATAACTAGCTATTACCTTAGTGTGGAAATTAGATAATTTCATATGTTTTAAAGATCCTACATGTCCACCCTGCGTGTTAGTAATGAAATTACTTGCCTGTATTCAGACAAGCAGATTTGAGTGTTGGGTTGTTTTGTTCCTAGTAATGTCAATGCCACTGTGACATTAATGAAATCTGAAGACTTACTGCATTCACTAAGGGATCAAATTTATGTAAGAAAACCTGTAAAAATGTTTATAGTTACTTCTAATTTTGCTTTTGAGTTAAAAATGTCATATGATGTTGTAGTACAAATTACTTTGGTTTTTTTCTTTTAAGAAAAGACTATAGATTTTTTAAAATTAAATCTTAAATAGGTTTTCCTAAAACTAAATACAACTACGTACAAATCCTATTTCAGTACTTTAATGAGTTTCTTATGCAAGATATTAGATATACTGTGTTTAAATGTTTAGAAGATGGGAGAGAAGAACAGAGAATATAAGGACTGTTTGTGTATGAAAATGTCATTAAAGTAAATCTAAAAGGATCTTAAAAGCAAGGAAGAGCTGCCATTATTTTGACTGAGTGGCATACAATGCATTTTTGCCTGAGTTCATATAAGAGTTCATATAAGTGATCAAAGGTTCAATTTTATTTTCATGTCCAAGCACAAGAAATAGTTATCAAATGAAAGGTATTAGGAAAAAAATTAATAGATAATAAGACTTAATTATGTGAAATTTTGTTTTCAGGTCACATTTGAGCCAATTCTGCTTTCTAGTAATTCTCTTTTCAATGTTCTAGGTACTTTGAAGCCATGCAGCTGAACTTCCGACAACGCCTGCACGTTGAACAGATATTTGACTTAGAGAATGGAGAGTATCTTTGTCCACTTTGCAAATCTTTGTGCAATACTGTGATTCCCATTGTTCCATTGCAGGCTCAAAAAATAAACAGGTGAATTAATAGACTGTACAGCCTTTTTTAAGTATGACTTTTGGGGTGAGTTGACTTTTCGTATTTTGGGAGGGTGGTCTTGGGTTGAGCATCTGTGTAAATGGTTGTTTATCTCCTTACTGACCACTCACTCAAATATGCTGCTTCTGGTAGCAGAAATCATTTTTTAAAGCATTTCTAGGCTATTCTTGGAGTATGTGTCATATATGGAAATCTTCAAGTGTTGTACTTGGGCAAATGCTGCTTTTTTTAGTGTTTGCTCACTACTTCGCCTGCAAAACTATGCAACTACTGAGTTAATTTTTATTTTTTTATTTGTGTGTCCTTTATTTTTTAAAGACTTTATTAAGATTATTTCAGAGTTAAAATAACTCCTTTCCATTTCTTTTCTCAGTGAGGATGCAGAGGCAGTAGCTCAAATTCTCTCCCTGGCTAGGTGGCTGGAAACCATCATAGTCAGGATATCAGGCTACAGTGTGAAAAATGCGAAAGGTTTGTTATCTTCATTTTGGAGCTTGTTTGTGAGATATCTAATACACCAGTTTTAATTATGGTACATGTGTTTTATGTAATGTCAAAAGAAAATTTAAAATTTAGGGCAATTTTGCTCTCAGTCAAGACAGGGTAAAATAAAGCTGGGGTTGAAGTCATAGGTCTTTCAGAGCTTGATAGCTTTATTTTGGGGTGTTCTCACCAGTTTTCTGGTTTGTTAACATTTCTGCCTTCCCTATACAAGAAAATTCCATAACTTGGGGAGGATAGATGCTTGTTAATGCTCAAAGTTAAGTTTTTGCTTGAAGGGTTTCTAACGATATGAAGAAAAATTTTAATTCAGGGGGTTGGAATGAAATGTTTAGGAAACATAAGTTACAGAGAATCAATATATTCCTTGCACTTCTATGATGCAGGAAAGTTTTCATCTGCTTTGCTGCATTTTTTTCTTCTTCTTTTTTGAAACAAAGAAAAAATAGTAACGAAGCACTACTTTAATCCTCACATATTTTTAAATAGAGAGAAATGTTAGGAGTATTTGTAGAGTATCTTGGCGAGGTTTACAATTATTTTCAAACCAGTTAAAAAGGAGGTCTTCTGTTAGAGTGCTGTAAAAATGATAACTTATTTGTGTTCTAATTTGGATCTGATTTCTTCTCAAAGGAGATCAACAAAATGCTCCAGCTTTTGTCAGCAAGGGATTGGGGAACTCTGCTTTGGAATTCCATTCTATCCTTAGTTTTGGAGTTCAATCCTCGTGAGTGATTTTTTGGCTATATTAATTATCCATGAAATAATCTAAAAAACTTCAGGATTTATATTGAAGGAAGACATTCACTTTTTCAGTCTCAATACAGGCTTACTGGTATGTTTCTCTAAATATTCATTGAATATCAGCTCTATACAGACCTAGATGGACCTCTTGATCAAACCTAGCTTGGCAACGTTTACTTTATTAGTACAAAACTGAGTTTTCTATTTCAGAATTCCAGTTATTTGGGCCACTTCCTGTGCGTCTAGGCAAGTCACTTAATGTCTGTTTGCCTTAATTTTCCTGCTATATGTGTGTTTCAGGGTTAGCTTTCAGTTGTTTTAGATAAAATAATTTAATACAGATTACTCAGAGCTGTCTTGTCTACTTTTGTTGCAGTGGACAAAAGCTCTCTCCCATCAAAACAAAGCAAATAGGTAGGGGCTTCTGAAGTGTACTTAGCTATCTTTTAAAACAACACTACTCTTAAATCAAGTAATCTACTACTGTTACTTCTGCCTGACATCATTGTTATGCAGAATACTTATACATCTGCTATTGTAAAAATGTCATCAGAAGGTTAAATCAAGATCATAGACAGGAGGAAGACTGAGTTTTACACAGTCTGATAATGATAGGACAAGAGGGAAAAGTTTTGAACTGTAAGTGGGGAGATTTAGATTAACGTTAGAATTTTTTTACTCAGAGGGCATTAAAGTGCTTGAACAGGTTGCCCAGAGAAGCTGTGAATGGCCCATCCCTGGATATGCTCAAGGCCAGGTTGGATGGAGTTGGATTTCTTCTTTCTCTCAGGTTGGCTCCAGCCTAGTAGCTCTTATTCTTTCTATTTTACCCTATCTGTTTTTCCATTTTATTGCTATTTTATCATGGCTCTTATTATTTGCAGTAAGAGAAAAAGTAAGAGGTCCAAAATGAAATTAGAGTACTTGAAAAACAGAAGTTAGTGAGCATCAAATGCATTCCTTGCACTGCTATAGTGCAGGACAGTTCTTTTTTGCTGCTTTTGCTATTTTTTCCTTGCCAAGGCATGAAGAAAATAGTACTGAAAACTAGTCATTTTTTTCCTCCTCTTTAGAAAGGGTCTTTGTATTTAAGAATTCTTTCATAAATAACAAGCACTATTAATAGTGCAGGCTGAAGTTATCTTGGTTGACTCTTGCAGGGCCAAATACTCAAGCAGCATCAAGGAGATGCTTATTCTGTTTGCAACCACCATTTATAGAGTTGGACTAAAAGTTGCTCCAAATGAAGCTGATTATCGGATTCCTATGATGACCTGGAGCACGTGTGCTTTTACCATCCAATGTATAGGTAAAACATAATTTGGGTTTACTTCTTTTTATGGCTCAAAACTCCTAAGGCTGTTTGATTTGTAAAAATGTGTACAATCTGGATATGTATACAATAATGAGAGTCCCACATAAGAAGAATATAGGTTAATAATTCTTATTACGTGTAACACATGATCTTTAATCTGATATAAAGAGTAGAATGTTTTTGTTAGATGGTACCGTATAAATAAACTATTTACATATGTAATGCTAACACTGGTGAGTTTAATCTTTAAGAGCTGTATTATGAACTGTAACATTAAGCATCTGCTGATGATGATGATTGAAATGCCATGCATCTTCTATGTAGCCAAATATCTAATTATTATGAAACAGAAGATCCTTTCTCAGATTTTACTCAAAAACACTTTTCAAATACTTCAGAATCTTAATCATTCTTGAATGATCTACTAATTATTTCTGTTTGTCTTTATTCTTGAAAAATTCTCGCACAATTTGTAGAACAAATGTGGTTTTCTGTAATCTGAAGTTGCTAAAAACATGTCAGAGCTTTTTTAATACTATGTGAATCTTTTTTTTTTTTTTTTTTTTTGAAGACAAAATAACTTACTAGCCTAAAAATACTTGCTTTTTCTGGCTAATGTATGGGCTTAGTGGTCAGTGTTGCTTCATTTGTCCTCTGCATGCACAAAGACAATGGCACTATAGACATAGAGCTTTTACTAAATCAGTCGTGGCTTTCAGGCAGGGGGAGAGTCAAGAGATAAGTCTTTAACTGTGTGTTCCAGGAATTGAAAATGTAACTCTACATATCCACAGGAATGATTTGCCAAGCATGCCACTTTTCTTTCTGACAAAGCTTTTGAAGTACAAGTGTAGTCTACTGTAATTTTATAGCACACTTGATCCAACTAGCGTGTCAGGAGTTCAGAAGGTTTGTAGGAGCACTAGGAACAAGGCACGAATAGCCAGAAAAGCTAATGACAGCTATTTTGAAATTTTATCAAGTGTTCAAATGGCTAGGAGAGGACTGGAAGCCACCCAGCTGTATTTATATGCACTTAATGCTGCATAGATTGTTTTTTATTTTATCTCAAAAAAAAAAATCCAAAAGCCACCAACTTTGGTGGCTGTCAAGAGTCAATTTTTGTCAACAAGGGTATATATGTAATAGCTTCTATTGCATGTGATATCAAAGACATGTGACAGAAGTATAAGATTTAGATGCATTACCAGACAAGGATTGTAGCGTAATGAGAGGTTTATATGACAGTCTGACATATGCTGGGCCATGTGACTTCAAAATACAAATCATTTTTTCCATGTTTTGTTTGCAGCTCTACATGTTGCATGTTAAGCATAGAAGTGCTAAGTTAAAACACTTCTTTATTATATATATATATATGTTTATTTATTTATTTATTTATTTATTTATTATATATATGATATATTATATATATATATATATATTATATATAATATATATAAATATATAATATATATATAATATTATATATATATAATATATATTTATATTTAGTAAGATCCTGAAATTTACCAGTTCATCTCTGAGGTGACTAAAACATAGTAGCATTTGTTTAGATGCCTTTTTACTCATTTAAGTTCATGTAGCTGCTTGTTTTTATTGGATTATTTTCTGGTTATTATCTCTCCAGAACCAGTGTGCTTGGGGAGGGAAGGTGAATTGTGTTCTAATTTGGGAAATCTGTTTTTACATTATTTTTGTTTAACTACAATCAAATAAAGTACTGTGAATCTGAGAAGATAGCTGTACAGCATCCCTGTAAACATACCTTGATGTTTGTGAGCAGTGTAAAAGAGTAACTGAAAGTACAACTAAATCCATAGAATCTCCTATTATCATTCAAATGAAGCAGTGTTCCTTTAAATCTTAGAAAGATCTGAAGACTTGAAAAAAAAAAAAAAAAAGCCTGTTACAGCTTTTTATGTAGGAATCCTTTGGTGCCAGTTATGCTGGATTTTTCAAGAGAATTCTGAGCAAGTTTCTCATCAAATTATGCTGTGCTTTAAGAAGGATATATGCTAAGAAATGTTTTTACACTTGACTGTATTTATATGTGTAACTCAAACAGAAATGTTATGTTCCTGTAGAACAAAGTAATGTAATTTATTCTGTGTTTAATTTTAAGAAAACCTCTTGGAAACAGAGGGGAAGCCTTTATTTGGATCTCTACAAAATAGACAGGTATGGGCAAGTAGATATGTGGTACATTTCTCTGTTGAGGATTATTTCTGAAGATATGGTTCAGACTGATAACATAAAAATATTCTGGAAAATGTTTCTGCATGGAAGTTTGTATTTAATTCACTTGTCAATACATTTTCTGTTTGTAGGTTCTCACTGATTAATTTTGCTAGTATCATTTTCTTGTCCAACCATTTTCTCTTGTGCTCTAGCACAGTGGCCTTAAAGCATTAGTGCAGTTTGCAGCTGCTCAGAGAACAACATCACCACAGGTCCTGATTCAGAAACATCTGGTTCGTCTTCTAGGAGGTATTGTATTCCTTTTGTGTTGCAGAAGTTAAAACAACATAGAAAGAAAAGATAGATACTGAAAACAGCGTTAACTTCAGTTTCTCTGTTTCCTTACATCACAAAATTTTGCTTGACCTGAACTAATCAGTAGTTCTGTTGAGCCAGCCCTTTATCATTTGAAGTTCCTGAAAATTGAAAATCCTCAAATGCAATTTACCAAGGCCTTGGAGCTACTCAGATCATTAATGTTTACAGATGGCAGTGCTCAGAATTAGTCAAATTCTAAAGACTAAACAGGTAGATAAAGCCACAAATCAAGTATTTCTCAATTGTTAGACTTGATCTGTTTACTATTTTTGAAAGGCTACTTGCATCCTAGTTTAAGATACCTGAGTCTCAGAATTGTTTTTCATATTTCTTGCCAATATGTTGAAAGTGGTGACCTTTGTGAATACTGTTTTTTTAACTAGCCTTCCATTGAGCAGGATGTTTATGTATACAGGCTTTTGGATTCTGCTAGATTGCAAGGCATCTAGTGTTGATGGTGAGATGCATAATTAATATCTTTATTTTGCAGTTCTTCTACCAAACTTTAAAACAGAAGACACTCCATCCCTCTTAGAAGTAGATATGTTCCACGTTTTGGTAAGGAGGTTCATTTTATTCTTCAGAAATAATGGTTTTTTAGAATCTAGATTTTTGTGATTTTACCCTGCATAAACTCTTCACTTGCATGAATTAAATGATTATGTCTGACAGCTGCATACAAGCAAATTATTGTATACGTCTGCGATGTAGAAGTGTTTACTCTTAGTTCTGCTGTTTCTAATTTCTGTGTCTTTGCAATCTCACTCTTTTTGAAGTTCATATTTGTAATTGCAACCATCTTTTTACTACCTGTTTTGCTATCAAAACCTGAAAAAAAGCATGAGTAACACCCTTTCTCAGATTGTGGTCCCTTCATTTTCCTTTTTCCAAACAGGCCTCGTACCTTCTCATTGTTCACGTTCATTCTCATTATCTTCTTTATACTATTTGTCAACATCTTCTTTCTATCTTAATGAAAATATTATACGAGGAACACTCTGAAAGTAGTGCCTCCTATTTTATTATGATGACCAGTGACATCAGAGGCAGATGGTGGTATGACAGTAGAGACTGAACCATTTTGCCAGCGTTCTGCTGCATTTTGTTGCCATGCAGCAGATGACAGCAGAGGAGCAATGTGACAATTTGACATGGAATTGTGTATGAAGCAAAGGTGTGGAATTTAACTCACACAGAAAAAAATGTACCTGCTGACCTTCATTGATGCTTAGTGAATGTTTATGGAGACAAACCAGTGGATGTGGGTGCACTCTGGTTCATAACTGGTGAAAATGCATAGCTGATGGTGGTGACTGTATTGAAAAAGTGTTTTGTAGCTGAGGATTTGTTCTATCAAGTAGTGTTATTGTGCTTTTTTTCTCTGTTGTAGTTTCCATGGAAATAAATAAGGCATTACATTCAGAGCAACTTATGTAGTTTTTTCTAGCATAAAACATGAACTACTTTGCCCTCATTATCTTTCTAACTAATACTTGGTTTCCTTTCTCACACTTTTTCAATGTTCTGTTTTTTTACATGGATCAGAAACTAAGCTTTCTAGGAAGCAGACAAGCTTTCTTGGCAAGTACAGTGAAACTGTATTTGTTTCCTATGTGCTAGCGGGACAACTTGTTTTCAATGAGTTTTTTTTGCTTTATACAGTGTGAATTAAAATCAGCAAGATAAATGATGTCAAATTGACAACAGGAATGATGTATAACTATATAATGATAATATAAGTATTTTACATTACCCATTTAATTAATAAATTTTTGTTACTTTAATATTTACTGTTTCCTTTCCACTGCAGGTGGGAGTTGTGTTATCATTTCCATCTTTATATTGGGAGGATGCTGTAGACTTGCAACCTTCATCAATTAGTTCGGCCTATAACCACCTCTACCTCTTCCATCTGACAACACTAGCACACATGACACAAATTGTTATCTCTTCAGCAACAGGTAGGGATGTATTTAGGTTATATCATTGTAGCATTTCATAGAATTTCTTAACAATAGTGGTTGAATGTTTTGCTAGTAATGATTAAAATCTTCTAGATGGGAACTTTCTTTTAATAAATGGCTTTTAGTGCTAGGTAGAAATAAACGTTGTTTGGTTTGAAACAAGCAGAAAGGTAGCACTATATCATTTTCAGATCATTTATTTTATCATTTGTGTGTTTTGCATAAGAAAATGAGGTAGTTACTGATCAAGTCCATCATTCCAGTGTTGGATCATCATACGTTCTTCACTCCTTGTAGGAAAAGCAAAGCACTGCCCAACAGCAGCACTCTGAGCAGTACAGTGAGAATTAGTATGGACTTTGGAAATATACTTTCCTTTACCCATCAAACTATTAAATAACCAAGATATGGAATCCTATAAACTGCTTAGGAGCATTTTTGCTTTTCCCAGTGTATGGGAACTGCTGAATCACGGCCTGAACCTCTGACTGGCTACCTGAGGTGAGCAGTGAATCAGCCATGGGAGCACAGGTGAAGGCAAGGCTCCACCATTTTTTTTTTTCAAAATGGATTAGGATAGTTTAAAATAAGAATGGTGTTGTAGTTTTTATAAGGTGAAGGCCTGGCTCCACCTCTTCTGGACCCATTTAAGAGCTGATTACCAATGGGGAACGATCTCTTCTGGAGATCCCCTCCTCAGGAGTTTCATAGCGAGCCCAGGATATGGGTAAGCATTCTATCTATCCTGTTTTGGTTTGGCGTAGCCAAACTCTTTGGTATATTTTGTAACTATAACATCTGTACACTCATTGATTATACATCCAGTATTTCACACTACTGCTCAAAAACATCAGTAACCTACAGGCGTTCTGGCTTCTACTTCCTGTTTTCTTGAGCATGACAGAAGAAGGAAAACAAGAAGTAAAAAATCCTGTAACTTAGTCCATACAGAACAATAACTTGTAAATTAACATGAAGAGGGCAGTTTTTACGTGAGTGAGCAGTGAGACAGTAATGATTACCTATTGTTTTAGGAAGGCATTCTTAGATTAAAAATAAGAAATAAAAAAGAAGCAAAATAAAGTGGGAGAAAAAAGCTCAATGTACTTAAAAAGTCACAGATGAATCCTAATGTAAATGCACTTCATGTTTGTGTGTCCAGAATCCCCTACTGCTCGATCATATGACAACAGTGAGGAGGCATGCTCTGCGCAGGCTTTCTGTAGAGAAGTTTGTCAGTACACCAGTGGGTAAGTAACAGTTCAGTTACAGTACTTTGTCTTCCTAGAAACATAGTAATCCTCAGAGAGTGACATGAACAACAAAGGAAATGAGGAAGGGAACAACACTTCATATGGGGAGTTTAGCCTTGTGCTTTGCTTCCAATACTCCTGAAACTTAGAAAGAAGAGGGAACTAGAGAAAGGAGCAGGTGTCATTAAAACACCTACTGCTTGTAGGCAACAGGGCAAATTCTTACACTGAGTAAGTTACCTACATTTATCCTGGAGAGAAATGTAAATGCAAACTGCAAGGTAAAGAAATGTAAGACTATTTTGAATTTTTTTAGTTACACTTTTCTCCTTCTCTCTTACATATATTTCTAGTACAAAAGAAGAGGTGAAAACTATAAAGCTAATTACAGCTATTTGTTTGAGCATTAGTACTGTCTTGGACTTTTTCATTGGCTGTTATCTGCTGTAGAGTGAAGCTCTTAAATGCTTCAGTATCTATATGAAAAAGAAAATAGAAAATGTGGATGCAGCCTCCACAAATCCTGCTGTGATTTATCTTCACCAAAGCTAGTTGCAAATATGTTTTTTTGTTTTTTCAAGGATTGAAAATTCTGCCATGTGTGAAAGTCTTAAGTCTAAATTTCTAAACATTAAAAATTTAGTGTTTAAATAATAGGAGTAATTTTTTTTTCATGCATGTGTTAGAATCATAGTTGCTGTGTATTTTGGAATGTTGAAATGCAGAATTAAATGCCAGAATCTAGGCTGAAACTGTTAGCGTTTTTATTCCTGTATATGCAGTACCTTCTGATCCCACCATGCTTTAACACTTAAAATAATAATTCTGAAATGGTCTACGATGTAGCTTTACTTTTGTTTCTCAGCAGATCCTAGGCAATGCTTGTTATCCTGCTCACATAAATGTGTAGTTAGCTGTGGTTAATTTTTTTCTGAGAAAATTATCACTCCAGTATTTTTTTTTCAGAAATAGGATTAGGATAGTTTAAAATAACAAGAATGGTGTTGTAGGTTTTATAATATAATGAAATGTGAGGCATATTATTTTTAATTGTTATTTTTGCTGCGTGTGATGATTACTTAATTTTTTTTTTCCTTATCCCTTTTGGATTGCATTTGGAGCTCTGAATGCATGGAAAAATGCTGTTATTAATGCCAACAATTGCTGGTTTTCTGTAATAAGAAAACCACGGATATACATTAGTTACTTGATGTGTGTTATGTAATGCTGTATTGTGCAGTTTGAATCAGAGTTGTCTGAAGTTATGCAGCTTTTAATTTTGAAAAATGTTAATTGAAGTAATCTGAATGCTTAATGTGTTCTTCATAAGCTCAATGTTCATTCTTTAGGTAAAAGGGAAGTTTGAAATTAGATTCTGGTGACTGTTTCACAGAATTTGGGGTACAGCAGTGTTGATTTGTACATAGCTAACACTGTACCAGTTCTAGCCAAAATGTGAAAGTACTCTAAAGATGTGCACTGTGAACTATTGCAGGTATTTCTCATTTGTGTATTACAGTTGCTTTAGTCAGGATATTCCAGGCTGGCTTGTGTGGGATTGTGTTAAGAGAGGCATCATGCCTTATCTTCGTTGTGCTGCTTTATTTTTTCATTATTTGCTGGGAGTTTCTCCACCCGAGGAGCTACTACAAGGTAAACATGAGAAAGCAAATTTATCTTTGTTGAAATTGTTTATTCTGTTCTTGGAGTGAAGGAATTTTTAATGATCACAAGAACTCAACAGTAGATAATGTTAATAAGACTAAGAAGGGAAAGTTCAATTTGTGTAGGAAGGGAAGATACAGGAAGTTGGGTGGTCTAGGATTTCCGTGGAAGAATTGCTTCTGAATGTGAGCAAATATTGAATTATGAATGGTGTTTTGGTATTGAGCATCTATGGCTACAAAGATTTTGTAATTTGCGGCATTTTAGAAGCGTAGATTATAAGATCTGAGAAATAACCTGGAATGTATTAACAATGAGAAAACACACCATAAAACTCAAAGAGCGCATCAACTTTCTTGTGCGATTGCTGATATTGGCAAATGCTAGCAAAATAGAACTTATTAGAAATAAAGCATGTTGTAAAACTTGAAACCTATTTCTTAAAGAATTCTAATGCATTGCAGTACTAAAACCAAAGTAAGTGCTTTGTTTTGTGTCAAAATGCAGGGAAAAGTCGAATTATCAACTATTTGAAAAGGAGAACCAAAGATTCAATACACAACAGAAACATAGTCTTACATTTATTTGTGTAGATTATGAGCTAAGATTGAGTATCATGAATTTGATTGCAAGTCCAAATCTTTGCACTGTGCTGTTGTTGCCATCAGTAGAAAAGTACTGTCAGTACCATCTGTAGAAAGGAGTCTCCTGGTGAAGCAGCGGTGCCGTTTTCTTCAGGTCCTGTGAGCCAGTACTTGACCACTTAGCAAACTAGTAAACTGGCACAACTTTGTTGCATGTTAGCACTGACTTGATCATAGAAGAATTAAATATCATTGCATGCTCAAAGAGTAGTAAAAAGCTGAAATAGGATAGGTAAGGAAATTGGCTGCACCGATGTGTTAGGTACTGTGCAGTGAAATTAAGTTTAAGCAATAAACCACATTTTTATAACGACTTATACATGACTTAAATCTGATGTTATTACATTATTATAAAACCAAAAGCAGATCTTGAGCTAATTGTCATAGCCCCAGTTACATCAATGAAGCTATAGTCAGTTGTACAATCTTAAGAAGCTGTGCTCTAGCTGGAAAACCTGAATTATTAAATGGAAGAAGAATGAAGAGAATTCTAGTTTTGAGCGAATTATTCAGCAACACTGAGGCGTTTCAATAGTCATTCTTTTCTTTTTCTTATGCAGTTTCTGAAGAAGGGCAGTTCAAGGCACTTTGTAGTTACCTCTCTCTACCCACCAATTTATTCCTGCTCTTCCAGGAGTACTGGGACACTGTAAATCCGCTCCTTCAAAGGTACTAATGGAACATGGACAGGACATGTTTTTGTGTTGTGATGACCCTGTGGGAATTGCATCAAATTTCTAAATAAGATTGAGCTCATGCTAGAGTTGTGAGTGTTCACTTGATGTGCGTAAATATAGTGAACCTTTTTAAGAACTTAAAAAAAAAAAAAAAAAAACAACTTAGAGTACAACAATTATAGCATAAGGAACTAATGTTTGCAGACATACAGGAGTTTGGTTCCTATACGCTAAAGGTATCATGAATCGTTGCATGCATGGTGTAGCATCTGCTGTTCATTGGTCTGTTTTTAACATCAGTAGCAAAAGTGTGAAATGAGAGCACAGAAAAATTTATAGCCTGCCAGATGAGGCTTTGTACTGTATCTTCTCTGGATTTCCAAAACAGACTGATGAATGTAGAAGATAGCTGAATTGTGTAATATAAATATTATGTACACTGTAATCTGACAGTAAGGAAATAATTGGTAAAAATTCTTCTTTAAAAAAGGAAAGTTAAAGTAAACAAGTCCTCACTACAGCCAATTGTCATCTATGAGAGTAGATGAATAATTCTGCTTATTGTGTTGAAAATGTATTCATCTCTTCATGTATTTACTGTGACTGTTTCAGCCCATGGTTATGTTAATTACTGTTGTTGATTCTTGGCAGAATTCTCTGGATCTCACTAGGTTTTTCAGGTTTTTTTCTGTCTCTGTTTTGTTATCTAGCTTCCTTCAATTAGTTGACATTCTGAGCTGCTGACTCCAGCCTACAGTGTATAGAGCTGACTTAACAGTCTGTTACATGGAAGTTTGCTATAGATACATCTGTAGTATTTACCATTACTTGCAAATCAATAGCATTCTAACAAGTATGTTTATAAACAAGTTTGTGTTTAGAGTTTCTCTGTGTGTGCTCGAAGAACTTATGAGAGAGGCCAACTCTCTTGCATGTACTTGTGAACTTCAGAAAGTAATTGGTAAAGGCAGATCTCAGAAATCTGTTGTAGTCTTCCTAGCAGAAACAGAAGTTTTGAATGAGATGCAGCCTATTTTAGGCAATAGTAACAGTTGACAAGTCATCATATGAGCTCAACATTTTACCTGTGTATCTGCTTATTTCTTATTAGTTGAGTTTAGCAACAAATGCTGTCTTCTGCAAATCTTTGTTTAAATAGGTGGTGCACTGATCCAGTGGTGCTAAGTTGCTTGAAGGGCAAGAGCACTGCAATAAGGTAGGTTGAGTTTTGTTGGTTTTCGATTGTTGTTTTTTTGTCCTTTTGTACCTTAAAACTGTCCAAGGAATGAAGTGGTTGCTAGGTGTAAATTAGCAGTGCTTGTATTTTTTTTTCCTGTTGATGTACTACCATGAATTCATTTCTCTTTGGCTCGGTGATTCTTCATTGAGAAGGCACAGCATTCTGTTAAGCAATTTATGTGCTTTGTCTAGGGAAAAACAAAAGCTAACTGCAACATAAGACACCTTTTGTGCAAATACATTAGATACGCAATTGAATTTCATCAACTTTGTTGGAATGTAGAAATACTGAAACTTCCATCTAGGCTTCTAGGACTAAAGAGCTGGTCAGGAATTGCAGAAGTTTACAGAAGGAACCAGAAACGTAGCAGGATAATGATCTTTATCTACCCATTATGGTTTTTGCTGTGGTATTTATTTTTTTTCCTTGTAATATTTCTTTCACTTATGCAGGTATCCTCGGAAAAGAAATAGTTTAATAGAGCTTCCTGAAGATTATAGCTGCCTTCTGAACCAAGCATCGCAGTTTAGGTAATGTCTTTAGTTGTCCTGCTAGGTGTTTTGTCATTTTGATACTCTTTCAGTTATTGTAGCTATTGTTAGAACTGTGAACAGAAATGGTTTTGCAGAAGCAAAAGCACTTCTGTAGTTACACAAGTCAATACTAGCAGTTGTTCATTTTAAGGCTGCAGTGCAGCAGCTTGCTCAGTGTATTCACTTTTGTTTGATAGTATTGCACTTTACTCTGCTGGTCATTTTTCACCACTGTAATGTGGATTTGATGTGGCATTCAGCCTGAGTATTTTTGCACAGGACACAAGAAGCCTGTCAGGTTGGCACTGTTTTATGCCAGGGAATATGAATCATAGGATAATTTGGATAAGTGACTTCAGCACATCATCTACTCCAACCTCCTGGTTGAAAGGGGGGTATCTTGCAGCTGAAATCTTTGAAGCGATGTAAAAACCGAATCCAAGGAATCCAAGCAAGTATGTGATACAAGGTTATGACAACAGTATATATCTTAGGTGTGACTTTCCTTTTAGGAACATCATTGGTAGTTAGCTTTCTTCTGAAATTTCATGCTTAACAATCTAATTACACTTTTTCTAGATGCCCACGGTCTTCTGATGATGAACAGAAACATCCAGTATTATGTTTATTTTGTGGGGCTATGTTGTGTTCCCAGAATACTTGCTGTCAGGAACTTGTGAATGGAGAGGAGTTGGGAGCCTGTACTTCTCATGCTCTCCAGTGTGGAGCTGGAGTCTGTATGTTTCTCAAGTAAGTAGCTAGGCAGAATTTAACATATTAATGAATAAAGGGAAACATTTGAAGGTCAAAAAGCAGAACGTTGTCAAAGCACTTAATTCTTTTTAGGCAAAAAACAACAGCCAATAATGACAAAAAATAAAGCCTCAAAAGCATTACTTTAACCAAGTAATGGTTAAATGTTAGTAGCATTACTTTAATACAGAATATTAAGAAGTCATATTGCTGCAGTTAGTTGTTTTGCATTGTTCAGGTTCTGAGTCAGATCATATGCTTTACAGAATGGATATAGAGTATGAACCTGTTTGAAGGTGATATAACTACTCTGTACTGAGCAGTTTCATTTAGATATGTTGGAATTACACGTACTATACTGTTAAGCTGTGATTTTCAAGTGAACTTTACCATGGCTTTAGCATCTAGGGGACTATCTGCTATGATGAAAATTTCCCTGTATTTTTGCTGTACTGCTTAGAAATGTGAAGGAAAGAACTTATCTTTATTGTATATTTATCTTTTTTGTTCCTAGTTCAAAAAATGTTTGTATTTCTACTTCAACATAGGATTCTAGTGGAAGCTGTGTGGGTCTTCTGTGTATTTAGAAGATCATGTATTGTAGCATTTCTAATGACGAGGTTAAATGGAAACCTGGAGGCTTAGATTTAGAACATTTTATTTCTTGTGGAAAGATAATATCAGGCATAACTGTAGTCCATGTCTGTTCTTTAAGTTGTGTAAGTTTAAATGACACTGTAAACACAGGCTCAGTTCTGGGTTTAATATTTTTTTAGCAGTCATATCTGTCTAGACTACTCAGTTCTTCTCTTTATTAAGGTGTCAGTGGCAAAACAGCTGTGACTCATACTAGTCTTTCTTCACACTTAAAGAGCCTCAGTAGGAATAGCAATCCAGAGGCCTGTGAGTTGGCAGAAGCAGAATACCTTTTTAGCTCCAGAGAGTACTGTCCTGTATAGTGTACTCAGAGATATAGGTACTGTAAACTAACTTTTTTCTCCTTCCATTACTTAAACACGTAGACTTGTGCATACATACAGCTATAAATGGAGGGGGGTATGTTTTTAAGACTGGCTGGTTAATTGCTAGCAGAGGCAAATCATATCAATGGTATGTTTTGTTTGGATTGGAGTTGTTTAATATAATAGAGGGTGGATGGATAAGGTGTGGATCAGAACAACATGGTTTTCAAAATGAATACATGCCTTCGGGGATAACATTTGGTTACCTGAACAGATTGTAATATGGAAAGGAACCCAGCTGCAATAACTTCAGGCATTTTATACAGGGTAGTTCACTGTTTTCCTTACCTCAAGCAGGACTTCTACTGTCTAAAGACTGCTCCTGGTAGTTACGCTAATTCTCATCTCACTACCCTACAATGTAGAACAGAGTAGAGATATCTAGGTAGGGCCTCAATTCAATAATGATCTATGGAAATAAGGTCCCATTATGGCTAACCTAATGTTACACAATGTTACAAAATAAGTTTCATATTTCCTCCTGTTTCTGAACTCTTAAATGCTATCGAGGATTATACTTAAAACAGTCTTTGAAGTTGACTTATGGTGGCACGTAAGTTTCCTTGCCGCTGATACGGAGACACCAGTTTAGATCTGGTGTATCTCTTTTTAAGCTAAATTCAATCCATGCTTTTGAATCTATCATAATTCATGCTATGTAACTATTAGTTAAATCTGTTTAAAATAGCCCCCCTGGGGATTGTATGCAAAAGCATGTTTGCTGCAAAGCGGTTGTAGTACTGACTCCATGCTTATGTCTATAAACTGGAATGTTAATATGCAGCACATATTCGACCAGAAGCTGATGCAAAGTAACCTGTATAAATTCTGGCTAATTGAATCTGCTATTGATGTAGTTCATATTTAAGTTATCAAAAGGTGTAGCTTATAAAAAATAATTTTGTGGTGATAATATTGAAGATAGATACGTTTAAAATAAATACCACTATTTTTCCTTAAGAATCAGGGAATGCAAAGTTGTCCTCATAGAAGGTAAAACCAGGGGCTGCTTATATCCTGCTCCATACTTGGATGAATATGGAGAAACAGATCCAGGTCTGAAGTAAGTAAATGTTTGACTTGTGTGCTTTCTACATTTCTGTTTTGGTGCTTTTGTTTCTTAAACACATTAGCCATGACCTTCCTGCTAGTGCGTACAGCAATGTAGTATGCATCTTTGCTTGGTGAACTTGTTTAACTGATGGCAATTTCCAGTCTTGCATGAGTCATTAGTAGTGGGAAAATCCGCTTTTTTGGTTCTGTTAAACTTTCTTAATTTTCTGATGAAAAGCATAAAGCAACTGCCATTACTGAAGAATCATCTTGGAAACAACATTCATTGATCGTTATATTTGGAATTCTTTCATTTCCCGTATACTTGTTGGAGTTGCTGTTCATACAACTGTTCAGTATTAATTGGCTATTGTTAAGACTTCTTTTAATGCTAGATTATTAATGAAATAACTTCAGTTGATATTCTGATATGCTTATTTGAGTATTCTCCTTTTTCCTTCTATGAAGAAGAGGCAATCCTCTGCACTTATGTCGGGAGCGTTACCGGAAGCTGCATCTGCTATGGCAGCAACACTGCATCATAGAGGAAATTGCCAGGAGTCAAGAAACCAATCAGATCTTCTTTGGGTTCAATTGGCAGCTGCTCTGAGTCTCTTTGTTTTAGTGAAATCTTTTACATTTGGCAGTGCTTTGGAAATGGAAAGGGGAGTGGCAGCAAATGTTCTAAAGTGGGTTCTGTAGTTCAGATGCAATTGATGGATTCTCGAGGTTGGATGTAGTGCTAATACAGTGAAACAGAATTTCATGTCAATTGTCTTGCTTTGTTTTATTTCTCAAAAGGAAAACTACCTTGTATAATTATTACTGAACCTTCACATCCAGAAATATTTCCACTTTTTTTTTTTTAAAGCTGCCGTCGTCTCACATGTTTGACAAGGACAGCTTTCCAAATCCTGTGCTTTAGGGCACATATATTTGTCTCTTCCTTGCCTTGAGAATATACTTAACTGGTGTTGCTAAGTAAAAAATAACTTTATTTTCTTTCTTTTCCCAGGTTTAGTGTGACTTTTAAATCTGTTGAGATCTGTGGGTTGGTAGTGGTACCAAGCCGGTAGTAATCTGTAGTAACAGAAACAGCAAACATTAAGTTGTATGAAAAAAGTCTGCATTCTGCTATATCCTGGAATTTAATGAAGAGTTTTTATCAATAAACTCTTTAAAGGAGAAATATGCATAGAAAGTGGAATTACCATCTTGTTTGTTGCATTAAAAAAAATAGTCTGTGCTTTTCGCACTGCCAGAACCGCACTTTATCTAATGAATTTGTCCTCTATTAATGCTGTATATCCTGAGAGGTCTAGGACTACAGCATTTGGTTAGGTTTTGGTTAGTTTTACTTCTTTCAGTTTTTTTACATGAATTTTTTCTTGAAAGCCAAACAGGAAGATAACTGCTGTAGTATATCTCTGCAAGTTACATAGGAGCCTGAGACTTCAAAGTAGACTACCTTCAACACTATCACTGGACTGAAATCAAGGCCCTAAATTCCAGTCAGCCTTGGAATTAGAAATAAATTTCTTTGCCCGTGTTTGGGAAACTTTCCACTCTTCATCCTCTGTCATAATTGTTTGGAGCCCTGCCTGCAAAAATGAAAGCGTGTTTTGGGGGTTGCGTTCAGCACTAGGAGCAGAAAAGTGAAAGAAGATAAGTATGTCTCTCTGCCCTTCAGTAGTTAATGATACATTGTGATTGAGCTCTCTCTTAAGGCTATAAGATTGTGCTTCAGTTCTAAATGTCTTTTTTGTTTTGTTTTCCAAATTACAACTATAACATACATGAGAGATTTTGTTATGTAATGGGTAAAAATGCTTTCCAAGGAAATCACATTGGTGTCAAAGCTGGAAGTTTTCAGTATTCTTAATTTCCCCTCCCTTTGCTATTTGGATTTTTTAATGTCATTTTAATAAGGCTCACAAGGGAAAGTTTTCAAAATAATATCTGAGAATGTTTTTTTCTATTGTTTCCTTTAACTTTTTTTTACTGTTTTATGACATGTAGTAGAATCTCAGATAATGATTTAGATATAAATAGAGCTGTTCTCCTAGTTTCTTAAAGCTTTTAGAGTACATGAGTCCACTGAACAGCACCATAATTCATCTAAAAGTGGAGTACAGGTAGACTTGAGTATTATGATTTGCAATTCTTTTTTTCTCTTCAAGAACTTTTGCAATAATCCTTCCCTGGTGATATAAACAGCTGGCTTTGGAATGTTTTCTAGGCCTTTTTTTCTTGCAGTTATGACTATTGTCCTTATCTTGATTCTTGCAGATTTTAAACCTGAATATACAACCCTTGAAAGCCAACCATAATTCTATTAGTCTTATCTAAAATGTATTTGAAACGTGTAAAGAATTTAGAAGAGGAGTTGTGATGAAAGCTTGCATTCACTGGAGCTATCTAAGGACATTGAAACACTTCTTACCAAGAAAAACATGAATTCAGACTAGGAAATTGTGGCTTATTGATACCAAAACTGTATTATTTTTTTTTTTGCTCAGAGTTTTACCTTTTCATTTATCAGAAACTTTCAGTTACCTTGCACTTCAGTGATAACTTCTGTTATCAACGATGAGGTGAAAACACTTATATTTTCTGTCTGAACTGTAATATATTTATAAGGACAGCAGCTGGTTTGAATAGGTGAGCTCTTGTTTGAAGTTCTAGAAATACGTTTGTAGCTGGAAAAATGAGAGAGAAAGAGAAGGGGCAAAGTTGAATCTCCATGTATGTTTGCACATACTACTTAGCAAATGGGCTCCCATATCATTCACTGACTGGTGTGTCATCTTTCATTTCATAAATTACTATGCAGTTTTGTTCACTGTGAGTATGATCTGTATTTAGTGATCACAAAATGCTTATGCCACCAATTTTCATTCCATCCAGGCTGACAGAAGAAATTTGATAATGCACATATTGGTTTCTTTAATTGCAAAAATGTAAATTTGAAACTTGTATAATGTTCTTGTGCTTTTGAAATAAAATATCTTGTATATGTATATTTAAAAAAGGAAATAAAGTAACTTCTCATAGTTTATTCCACTTTTATTTGAAGGCACTTTCACACTTCGCAGCTGATTTTTTGCAAGAGTATTACAGAAGGTCTGACAACATGGAAAAAAGGGAAGAATTATTAAACAGTGGTAAACTGTGATCCACATAATCATTGTTCCAGTGAGTGAGTACTGGTGGCACAGTTTTCCTTATTTAAATAAACATTCCACTTGAAACTTATCCTAATATTTTAAAGATGCAAACTTCTGCAGTGTTTATCTCAATTTTTAAAAGAAGTTGTAAGCATATAGGGTAATAATCAAAGGTCTTTTAACTGATTGGTTGAGTGATTCTGGTTTTATAGCTCTCAAAGTAGAACTTGTCACGTTGCCTGTCAGATACTGAACCTCTTGAATGTAGAAGCTTGTGTTTTGTCTGATGTTCTGTGTGATACATATGGAAAACAAATTTGTTCCAGAGTTGAGCAAACAGACAAGAAATATCTTATGTATGAAGAAGCAAGAAGTACTGACTAATTGTCTATCCCACAAGCTCATGGCTGTCACCACTTTCTCACTGCTTTGTTGTAACTTCAGATGCCATTAAGCTTATTGAGTTTGAGTTAATGGCATTACTCTCTGCGTATATTCTTAATACATCAATTTTTTTTAAGAAATAATTCCTGAAAAGCTCAAAGGTGGGTTGATTTAACATCTAGAAAAAGTGTTCTGTAAAACAGTAAGTCCCCCTTTTTTTTTTTTAAGAAAAAAAGGAAAAAAAAGAAGCCACAGCACTGTGTCTAAGAGATTCTAAGAATCTCAAGGTGCAGTGTAGAAAATAATACGGGGGGATGATTATGGCCATGATATGTTTTCTTCAAAGATGAAAATTGTTTCATTTCTGTGACACAGTCTTGTATTTTTTTTTATCTATGTTTTGCAGATGGAGGCTAAGTTTATTTGATATAGAAAACAAATGAAAAACGAATACTGACTGCTCTGCAAGTCTCTAAAATCCAATTAGTCCTTGTCGTAGCTCCGTTTCTGCAAGCTTACATTGTGCGGTTGAAAGTGTAGATTAAAGAGGAGCTGTTGAAGAAATGCACTTGAGAGAGAGACCTGAAATTACATGCATTGCTTCTTGCAATGATGATTGAGGTGTGAGACCAGGTATGAAGTTAAACATGAAACACTGAAAGTTGAGCCTGAGCTTTCTTATTTTTGTGTTGCTTGTTCATGAGGTCACTGTCAAGAAACAGGACTGTAGTTTAAGCAATTTAACTGTAGGCTGTCCTAGACTGACCTAGGAAATTTCTAGGCTTCATGCTTGAATGAATGGACCTGCACACCATGCAAAGCAGGGACTGGCACTGTGGGTTTAATGGCCATCTTAAGCCCTTTGTTTATCTGGGGAACTGTGGCAGGGATTTTTCTGCAAACTGCAGAATGTCTCCTCGCAGTACCTGGATTGTAATACTAGCTTCTTTAGGTAAAGGTAGTTAAGTGCAGTCTAGGACTTGGAGAGAGGCCATTCTGATGCATCTTGGAGTTTCTGCTTGAAGGTTTTGCAAAACATAACCGTGGCAGCTTGAGAAATAATCTACCTAAGATGATAAAAATGTTCCAGGTTTCTTTTGTCTGTTTTTTTATTCTATGAATTATGCTGCAATTAAAAATGGCAAAACCAATGTGCTTTAGGATTGTGATACTGAAAAATGGTCTAAGAATATTTATTTTCCCAGTTCAGACATGCACAGATTAAACTATGGAGTAGGAGTATTGTGTGGAGACTAAACTGTTACCACAATGGGAAACTGGTAAAATGTGTACCAAATGATTTGTCAAGTTTCAATGTCATTTGTTGTGTTGGAGGGAACTGTATGATCACACACCAGTTAAATCAGTTTGCGTAGGGGAGGCTTCCAGCTTCTAAGGGAATACAAATGAAATTCTTAATGTGCAATGTTCATATGTGATTCATTATATTCTTTATGAACAGTGTAAAGCAAGTGTCTTCTGTGGTAGTCAGAGTGCTTTAAAGGAAGAGCATCATAACTGTAGTTCCTGCAGGAGCCATTGCAGTCCTTCAGCAGGAACCAAATATTAAAATGTTTCAGTTTTATGAAGAGCTCCATAAAAAGATTTTACAGTTTTAGATAGAGGTGAATTCCTTGCTCTGGAAGTTGCTGGAGTTTCTTACACAAATGTATTGTTGTTAATTCAGACTGGATTAGGCATTAATAACAAATAGGATAAGAAGTGTCCCACAAATCGTATTTATTTCTGTATCTGAGCAGATGCTACGGATTATAGGCTTGGCTTGCTAATGCCATCTTTGTCTTTATAAGTTGCAGAGAATTAAAGAAAGTCTACAGTGCTACCTGAGTTTGTTTTTTTGATATAGTGGCAGTAATTAGTTTAGTTAATTACACAAGTTAATTTCACAAGTTTTCACACAGCTGTTTCTGCGTCTTTTCAGCAGTTGTCTGAGAGAAAGATTGACAAACCAAATATTACTTTTTTATGGTAAAATGCATCCTCTTCATGTGAAAATGATCTGTGTGAACTATAGGAAAAGTGTAGCCAGATATTGATAGCACTGCTCGTCGTGCTGATGTGGTATAGCGCTACTTACTGCTTTAAATTGGTGTCATTTTACAGAGACACTCGGTCTGGGTGGCCATTTTGGTTCGCTCTTCTGCTGAACCTGTTTTTCAAAGCAAGTTCCATGACCAACAGGGACCTCTGCTAGAAAACTGGAAAAAGCTGTTGTAATTCTGTAAGCTAAATGAATGGTCTAGAGAGATTGTATGTGGTGCATGATGCCAGGTTTCATCTGCTTCTAAAGTTAAAAAATTTCCTGATGGTAAAACACATTTATATAATACGGAGCAAAAATCCCCTTAAAAAATATAAATGAGCTTGTGCTCTTATTCCATGTCTTATAACAGTTTTCATCAAGCTGAACCATTCCTTGCTTTTATTTTTCAAGTATTTTATTTTAAAAATTATTTTTATCAAGTTCTCTTGGTTCATTTTTCCTAACAAAACAAAAGTTCTGTTTGTCACTGTTTTTCTTCCCTAATTGTGATTGTTTAATTAAGGAACCTAGAACTGTTTTTCCAAATATAGATGGATTAAAATTTTACTGAAAAAATGACTGTTTACTTACTGAAGCATGCGATGCTCTGCATGCTGATCTGAAAAAAAATATAGATAAAAATTGCATTTTTATCATATTATTTTGAAAAGTGTTTAATTTGCAGCACTTGACTGCCTTTCTCCTTAATATGTCAAAGTGCCAAAATTTTCAATGTTCATTCTTTTCCAGTATTACATCATCTAATCTTAACGTTTCTAGTAAGGCTCAGGAAACTGTTGTGCTGCAAACAATGAGCTGCTTCCTTCGGGATTGTATTTCCCAGGTTCACTGAAGTTTGTTTTGTCTCATAGTCTAAAAGGTGGGAGTACTTTTCTTAGTTCAGTGAGACATAAAAGCTGGGCATTTTTCAGTCTAATAATAAAGCTTTTTGGAACTTTGTCATTACCACACTGAAAGATAGAGAAGAGAGTGAGTCAGGATTGTGCCCAAGGGCATTAGGTAGAATTAGAAACAGCATAACAAGCTGTAATACAGGAATGATATTTTTGGCTCTCAGAAATGTTTGAAGGAATGATGCATCAGTTCATGCCTTGAATATTTTTATGGATAGCTTTGTGAAAATGTTACCCAAATGCTCAAACTGTCAAAAAAGCAAGCAATGACAGGAAATCTTAGGAAAAAGACAGAAAGCCAGTTTAATTCATAACATCCTCAGTGTTACCTTAAGGTGTTCTTCATTTAAAAATCATGAATAGAGTTACAAAAACTGTCAAAGGGGAGCAATAATTTCCATAGGCAAAAAGATTAAATAGTAGCTTCTTCAACTTGGGAAGATGGGACAAAGATTTTCAACAGAGGACAATCAGAATAAAATCAGGGACAGCATGAGGAGAATAAATAAGAGATGACTATCAGCTGCATCTTACAGCAAAGATTAAGGGATACGTATTGAGATTAGGGAGTCAAAAAGCAAAGCACTTTTTCAAGAAATGCAAAACTGAATTGTGAGAAATTAAAATTTGAAGCTCGTTAATGTAAGCATTTTGGATATGAAAACTGTGAGTGGGTTAAAAAAAAAACAAAACTATACAAATTCATAGAAAAAAAAGTCCATGGAGAGTTATTAAAACATTGTTTCATATACAATCATACCAAGTTAACAATATGCTGTTTCCTGGAAGTTAGGAAGCTTTGTCAGGAAAAAAGTATTTCCTAATGGTCTTGCTTCTTGTGTGCCTTTTGTAAAACCTCAGCTATGGTTACTACTACAGACAGACCACATCTGTCCATTTTTATTTTTAACAAGTATAGACCTAAAATTTTATGTAGTAATGCAATTGCATTTGCAGTTACAATCGTGCGTATAGCCTGCTTGACTTACAATATAGATTTTTCCATCACACAAAGTATAATTCTTGCTTATTGTAGTGTCATAGAAAACAACATTGGACAGGTAAAGTAATTTTTACTCTTAACTTTGTACAATTTCAAGAGCAGAATAGTTCTGCTTTGAGTATCACAGTGATGGGATTATTCCTTTTTGTTGATTATATACAAAGAGTCCACAAACTGACCAAAGTTATATTCACATAATGTATTATTCACAAGTTAACAAGTAATATATTTTGTTTTTTTATCCTCTATTCTGTATCTGTATGTTTTACTACTTAAAACCATATTATTACTGATGAATTAAGCATAGGCATCCTGTTACTGCAAGTACGGAAAGGCTTTTGTGCCGTATGCTGACATACAAACTTCATAAGAACTGTACTAGGAATGTGATAGGAGAGATGACAATCTATCTTGGTCTTTGTTGGTTGCAAATAATCTCTTGTTTTCCAGCCTGTGGAAATTAGGAGCATTTTTAACGTCTGTGACCATCAGTATTTGTTTTATGGGAAGTATTTGCTTATTTTTACTCTTGTGCTGCCATATGCTACTTGGAGTTTTAATGTCCTGTATGAGCTATCAATTAGTGTTTTTGAGCAGAGAACTCCTTTTAATAGCACTCTTGAACTTTTAGGCCAGCTGGCTTTCTCTAAGCTTGTCTTCAGATTGTTAAAAAAACAAAACAAGTCAAATACACTATACAAACCAACTTTTGTTGCCTTTAGCTTGATTTCAGTTTTACTTAGCTAATAAGTTCTTTTTGAGGAGTGCTAATATACTTCAATTTGGCTTAAAATTTACCTGTCCTAACTTAGACTTTAACGCAATTTTCATTTCTGTTTTTGTGATCATTCTCTTTTTTAATAACCTTTTTATCCAGAGAAGTTATTTCTGTTGAAATTTCTCTGGAGTTGGGATTTCTGAAGATGTGACAGTAATCACAAACTAGACCAATCCTATCTAGAACATATGGATATCCAAGCTGTTAGCCCTGTTATGTATAATCATTATTCTGATCTATTCAGACCAGGACAGGAATGCGCAAGTAGGGGAGACAAAGTGGGAAAAATTTGAAAGACTGTTTTGTACACATACAAAAGTCGAGAATTTCATTAGAGCAGGTAAAGAAAATACATCCTGCCAAAGAAGCATCAACATCCTGTTGCTGTAACCAGTCTATTTTTTGTTCAGTTATCATATTGCTTTTTTCCCATTAGTGAAAATCCAGTATCTAAGATTGTAGTATGTCAAAACTGCACTTGAGCCATCATTTTGCTGAAGACTTGTCTAGCTAGCTGCAGGGATAGATTTTGCTGTAATGTTGCTTTTGCCGCAGTTTGTGTTTTGAACATTAATGTTGGGGTCATTCATGCCTGAGACAGTGGAGATCTGGTTGGCTTTGCCAAGGTTCTTGATAATATTGATGTTGTATTTGGCAGTTTCCATAAAACTGTTTTCTAGTAACCAACCATCTGATTCACCCTGCAGATCTCCTCGCAGCAGAACGTTCTTCATTGCTGTTTGTAGGTACCGGACACCAATAAGTACAGAGAGCTGTAAGGAAAGGTTAGTGCTTAAACAGAGCTTAAATTACAGTCTGGATCCTACCCCTAAGTCAGCTTTTTAACTTCATTAGGTACAGACCTAATATTCAATAAAATAAATAGTTTTTTATCCCAGTGATGTATCTAAAAAATTAATTACATGTTTTTGAATAAAAAATACAAAGCAGAAATATTTTTGCTATTTCTTTCTCCCATTCTTCAGATAGCATTCCCACATAATGTGATTAGTGCTCAAATACCTGCAATTAACGTTGCAATTAAACGTTGTAGCCTCAGACTGTGGCTAATCAGTGCAAAATAGATGATCAATTAATGGAGATATCAGTGACTGGAAAAAGAATCCTAGTCTGTTAATCTTTGTGGAAGTCTTTCCTTGCTGACATTCATTAAATTGGTGTTTCATCAAAGGTGTTTCATTCATTATGTAAGCCATATGCATCCTACATGCCAGCGCACTAAAAATGAAGAAGGATGGTCTACAGAGGCTCAAGTGTGAGTTTAGGAAAAAACGCTGCTTCCATAGTCGTGTTGGAATTGGGATCAGTGTGTCTAGCTTGTTTGTCACGTTGAAGTGAGCAACTTTTCCAGGAGTTGCCAAAGGTCTCCTGTTTCTGGCTTTACCACCCAATCTAGCACTGTCTGATGACTGTTGTATTGAATTACTTTAATAGTGTTCATATTTATGCGAAGACTGCATCTTTGCAGATCTATATACTTGCCATTGAAGTTCTTATTTTGACTGCATAGTAAGTAGTCTAGTCTATACCTAAAATGTATTTCATGTTTTTGTGGTAAAACTATGCTATCTAGAAGGGAAGTTTTGAGTTATTAATATTTACACTCAATTTTGGCTGTAGAAGGCATTCATACATTCACCATAGGTCTGCCTCACATTTTTAATACTCTTTCTTAAAACTGCCTTGTAACAGCCTCGTGCCTTCCACCTACTAATTGTGTTAGTGCATGTGTTATCCTGCACTGTCCTCTAAATGTCCCAGGGAAGTGAATATGCCACAATCTGTTGAAAAAGCTCTATAAATATCCAGAATTATGTACATCATTTCTAGTAGTTCTCATCTTCAATGAGATTTGGTTCTGTACTAGGTGCTTTGTGGAAAGTATTAGAGAAAAGTCCCACAGCATTACTGAAGTCCTCATGGACTTCTTTTAGATGTTGAAGTGCTTCTTACGCTCCTCGTATGTTACAGCATATTTATTCCCCATCATGGAGAGCAGGAAGTCTCTGATATACCAGACACAGAGCATTTTTATGAGGCTTACCTCAAACAGCCAGATAAGCAATGTTGCAATACCAATAGATCTCATTATAGCTGTGTAGTAGTCCAGTAAGGCCTCTCTGCACCCCTTCATCCAGATATTGAGCTCCTCTGTCAGGAAATCATAATTGTAGTGGGCACTGTTGTTTGTCAGTTGGTACTGGATGCAGGGCCGTGGGGAACTTGGATTGCAACAGCTGAAGGGTACTCCATCCACTAAGAACTTCCCATCAACATTACTCTTGAAACGGCTGCAAAAGGACAGAAAGTTTGCATTACAAATCTGGTAGCAGCAGCAGGACGCATCCACAATTTTTCTAAGAGGACGTAATTTGTCTGCTGCAAGGTAGGCCTCTCCAGTGTAACAAAAGGGAAATACATTCTCATTTCCAATTAGAAATGTTGCCCACTGCAAGAAAACCAAATTTTTCATTTGCAATACGTTTCGGGATGGTATCTGCACAGTTGCCAATATGGCCCTTGGTATTATGTGTGTAAAATGTACATGGATATGATACCTTTCTAGATTTGTTTGCACCGAGACTATTAAAGATTATTTTAGAGCTTATCCTCATTTATTTATAAAACTTATTTTTCCGTTTCCACTACAGATTTTCTAAATGAAAGAGA